TCGAGAATGGTGTTGATGCTTGTGTAGCCCTTTCAATATCCGTTCTGGTTACAATTGCGTCTTCAGTAATAGGAAATCCAAGCTTGATTTGTTCATTAAGCTTTCGATTTTCAGCTCTCAATGTATCACAAGTGAGCTGAAGGTTATCAACTTCCCGATTCAGACCTTCTGCACGTTCATACAGATCTTCACTACGAGTAGTCATTTCTTTAAGTTGAGTCTCCAAAAGTACGATGGTTGCCTCATTTCGATTTTGCTGTTGGTGAGCTATTTCCAATGAATGTTGCAATTTCGAAACTCTATCTTCCAATTTTTCGGTTCTTTCATCAATTTTTGTGGTCAGTTGCTCATAAAACTCTTTTTGTTGAGCAAGTTGCCTATCATAAAATATTTTAAGATTTTCAAATTGTTGGAGATGGGTGGTTTCCAGTCGACTTTCTCTTTCTTCCACTTCCTTTCGCATACTGTCAATTTGTGTCTGATGGTTCATGTTAGACTGACGTAATTGTTCGACACTGGATAAACGTAATGCATCCATTTCATGATCAAATTGCATCTTTAATTGTTGTGCTTGATACTGAATGTGTTGAATCTCGGCGTCGTTACTTCTTTCGGTAGCTACGATCTGATTATAATCGAGGCTCCATGGATTATGAGGTTGATCCCCTCCATTAGAATAAGACATGATCGACAAGAATTAACAGTAAGCTGATTTTATTTGATTATTATCAAGGTTGTTTTTAAGACAATAAACGCTATTTAAGCTACTCCACCAATGTAAGAGGTAGCGGAATAAGATAGGTTATAAACTGAGTTTTATTATTATGTGCTTGGTCTAGGTATAAGTACCTAGTACCTAGTTACACAACTCTTACATATCCGTTACACGATCTTACAAAGAAGTGTGCCACTGCACCAAGTATTTGTCAGAATACTCGTGTTCCCGTTTCACACATCTGGGACAACGTTACCTTTAATCAATTCTAACGAGTAGAGTTTAGATAACACAAGATGGAAGACTAAAATATAGATTTATTCCAAAACCAGAAAGGTTGACTCATCATAAATCCAGGAGATGTTGGCAATATAAAAAGGATTGATTATTTTATAGCAGCAGAGTTCTTTAGTCTATTTTTACCCTAATAAAAATATTCGTTTTATCTCATTATTTTTATAAGTGCTTTTTATCAAATATCACAGATAATTTTCGTTATCTTTGTATGGCTTCTCATTAAGTGTCATACGACTTGCAACAAGAGCATCATCACCGAATGCATTGTGATTGGAACTGTTGTCAAAGAGGAAAACAGCTTGACAACCGGGTGGAGCAGCTCAAACAAAGGGATTGCATCGTCTTGAAGCTGCTCCAACATGTCAGTGTACTTCCAGTACCCTTCTCTGCCCACACCCGCTTTGAAAAACCTTCTAGAAGTCCAACCAGCACTCTTCATGGTTCCATGGCAAGGCCATTGAAATTCACTGACCATTATTGACGATCCTGGGCCCTTCTTTCTGATATGGCTCTCACCTTCTAACAACCACAGATCATCCTTACCATCATTTGCATAAAATGTGGATTCATCGTGCGTAACAAACACAATTTGTTTTATATCTTCATCCAGAACTGCCTCAAGAATCTCCTCCTCATTGTCACCAGCATAAAATTCTCATCTTTTCATGTATTCGACCATTCTTTTAGACCATTCATCTCGTTAGTTGACCAGATCTTCTCTTTCATGGCCATCGAAAAAATAGTCTTTTTATTTTTTCGGTATGAATATCCCCATTCGTACAAATAACGGGAAATTGTTGTCATACTTAAGTCATTTTCAGCCACACCAAGAACAGAAGGAATGATTTGCTCGTCGATAATCTTTTTGATGATAATCAAGGAACGAAGAGCTGGTTTCATCTTTCGAATTTCTTCCAAAACGGCCATCTTGACATCCGAGTCACTTAAAAGTGATACTCTCTTAACATGGGCGCCTTGCGAGTGGTCAGAAAGCTTACCCTCGTCAATGAACTCCTTTGTCCACTTGCCAATGGTCATCCCACGGTATTCCTTTGAATTTGGGGCCAGAATTTTTCGGCTGCTTTTTCTGAAGCCAATCCTTTCTTTTTTCCACCCAAACGATTCAAGCAATATTCGTACACAGATAAATACCTAGCATTGTTGTATGATGCACGAGCATTATTGTCCTTCTTCTTACCCATTACAGGTGCAATAAGAGCCATGACAGCAGGCATAATGTTTTTGATCCCTTCGATTTCTTTTTCGGTGTGCGGAATTAACTTTGTTTATTGCGGCGTTTCCACACTTTTTACAACAGTATATCCAAAACACGGAGGTGTATGTGCTGGATCAATGTTTGCAGTCTCGGCGTTCTTTCTCCTTTTGTTGTTCTGGAAGTACCGGTGTACGTAAGAGGTCTTTCGGTTATTTCTGTATTGCTATCTGAAATAATATCAAGACAACTCGCCTCAGCTCTAACAACTTTGTGTTGTGATCGAGCTTATATACAGATATAACTCTAGCAGCAATTCTTTCTTTCTTATTTGATAACCTTTCTATAAATCATTATTGCATTACTCTTTAAATCAAATACATGCTATTACACTCTATTTACTACGCATTGATTACTCATCAACATATAGAAAACAATAGTCATACATTTATTCCAGATAATACAATCCAATGATATGATCGCTCGTCAATAACAAGATTCTCGAAGGTACCATGAGATGCTCGATCTTCAATTGACAATACGCCTATTGTATATTTGAAAGGTTTCACTTTAATGATTGATATTCAGCCAGCCCTGAATATGTATATAAAGAACCCAATTTATTGTATAATAAAGACTTGAGTTTATTTTTGCAGTTTGATAATTTTACTTCGTCAAATTTCTTTATTTTTATTCTTAATTCGTTGCTTTATCTCTCGAATTTCTCACTTTGGCTTGATCCACTAGTTGATCGTAAATTAATTCCACTGTTTCCCATTCCAGGAGTACCGCCTCGGCAGATTGAATGCATCCGTCTTCTCGTATAAGTCTGTTTCTAATAGCCTTTTGTTTTTTGTTAGGTCTGGGCATGTTATGATAGAAAAATTGCAAAAAGGATAAAAAGGAGCATTTAATATTCGTCAGACGCGTCAGATTGTCCCCGTTTGATTTTAGGAGGCGACAATGAAAAGACTCTCAGCATTTATTTTTATATAAAGTAATAAAGGTACCTTAAAAAATGATCGTATACAGTTTTAGCTACCTAAATTTATATCTAAACAATTTGTAGAGTATTTATTTAAAAAACCTTAAAACTTTAAAAATATGTCAAGTCGGCTCACCCAAAAAGGAATATGTATCAGGGGTAATATTACATGCGCGACATAGTGGTGTAACGACCGAAAATGAAAGAAGTCGTAAATACTTTACTTTTTTCTTATAAGTTAAAAAAGCAATCATAAGACATTCTTGTACATAGTTTTCTCTTTTGTTTTATGCAACTAAATATTTCATAGAATTTATTTTTGGAAAACCTTATGCATTTACAAGATCTGCCATGTTAGGGATTCCAGTGGGACTGGGTTTTTTTGGGGGAAAACATTTATGGCACATTTCTCAGTAGAAATAAGGCCATTCTATTGGCTGACATTTACATGAACGGAGAATGAACTTAATGGGATGTGCATAGTAGTGTTTCAAATCTCCAACCCCACTTATACGCCCCCGCTTAATTTTTTGAAAAGCGACCAACTTTGATGTCCTACAACTTTTTTTTTTTTGCAGTAAAAATGTTTTTTTATTCATAAGATATTGTTTATAAAGACTCTTTAAATAATATCTTTTGATTCGCATTGGTATATCGGTTGATTTGGGAAAGTTTTAGGCAATTAAAAAATACAAAAAAAAATCGCTATTTAAAACTGGAGGCACGTTAACTTACCAAAATGCTTTGTGACGGATAGCGACGAAGCCTTGTTGGGAGTACTTAAGTCTGTTTTCTCGGAGAGTAAACAAATCTTGTACTAGATTCATATCCAAAGAAATTTCATTTTGAGATTTAAAAAAAATTTGTCCAAAGAAAAAAGACCGGACTGTATGTTAACTGTCATGAACCGCTTAGGTTTCAGTTGCATATTATCATGCAAAATGTCTCAGATCATTATTGAAACCCAAATAGCCAATTGTCCCTGTTCCACCTGTTCCCTGTTCTCTGTCTCCTGTCACACATGTCACTGTCAAACATCACTATTGTATCCTGTCTAACGTCTCTGTTCCAAATAATGTATCTCCGTTATCCCTTGTCCTTGTAAAACCCATTTAACACCCGTTTCCTTTGTACCTCTGCCTTTGAACTCCCTTGTAAAACATTAATAATATCAGCCCATGTTATCCTCTGCATCTATCCCCGAAATTATCTGTATCTATGCCCGCTACCCCAAAGATGTCCCAAACTCAATATGACTAATAATCTGTCTCTGTATATCTGATCCCCGAACCCTTGTTTACCCGACCTGTCAATTAATATAAATAACAGCATGTTTATTTATTCTTATTTCTGTATTCAAGATCTTATCTATTTTTCCTGTTTCTTTGAATAAACCTTTTGCTAAATTCCTTTTATATATATATTAATACTAATAGATATATAATTTCTCTTTGCCTCGTCCCTCACCTTAATAATCATTCTGTTCTGCTCTTGCCCCGCCCCGCTCCTGACATTAACATTTAAAAGACGGTAAGAATTCTTTCTGACTTAACTTATTGTTATAACACAGGAAACTTGTTGGAAATGAAGGTCAAGTCCTTTATGGCTATCATAAAGCAAATGGCAACAAAACGTAAAATTTTTTCTAACTAAAGATGTGTACGAGGCCTTTGTATCAACCAAGGGCATGTGTTTTATAAATAAAGTAAACTAAATATGGGAAGAGGAGGGCGGAAACAACAAAAATCCTTGCTCTCGTGTAATAATTTCAATACTTCATAAATTTGTATCTACATTATATTACACTTGGAGCTATCGGATCTTTGTTGTGTATCCAGAGTAAGTCTTGTAAAATCAGTAGAAGTGTTCACCGATACACGGTAAAATTGTCCAAATAGATCCTTAGAAGACCAGTTACCATGGACAACAATATCATCAACAGAAATTTCCGACAGTGCCGCCAATGTGGAAGCTAAGGCACGTGCTCTTCGGGGAGAAGTATCAGAAGGGCAAGTAACATAAGTCATAATCGACTGGATATGCTTGAAGATTTGTTCGCTACCTATAGCAACAGTATTGACTTTTTGACTCCTAAAGAGTGCGTTGATTGTAACGTCTGGAAAAACTGGGTGAGGGTTCATGGCCTCGAGGTGAACAATCTTGGTACAATAAAGTTGATAAGCTAGATCGGGCAGAGCAACAGATTGTCATGAGGATGAATAGTGTGGTAAACGGGATTGGTTTACACAGAAAAATAAAAAGAATAAAAATAAAAACAGGGAATAAGTTAAATATCCAGTGTGGTTTTATTCCAGGTTAAAGGTTAAAAATAAACTAAAAGAAAACTATCTATCTAGAACTTGTCCTATTTATATGAATTGTTAGATGGTAATGATTTCTAATTGTGATAAGCTGTTACTGTGCTTATCACTATCTTATGCTTGAGAAACTATATTCTGTGTATGTTACACAGAAAAATGGCTGTCTATCTTTTATGATTACAGCAGGTATATTTGGATTTGAAGATACTCTGTGAGGTAACACAGAGTTTTCTTTTTCTATTTCCTTATTATAGAAATTCTGTCCCTGTCTATGACTAATGGTAGAATGGTGATAAGGATATTTTACTGTCATATCCTTATCTAAATGGTATTATGTATTTTATTGGTTGTATGCTTTGTTATGCAATTGTGTATCTTTATTATTGGCTGTAGCCGTTATTATTTATGTAGTTTATGTAGTTATATATTATGTGTTTTACCACAAATAGTAATTGTTTTGGTTATGCGAGCACCAGCTCGTTTCACCTTGGGAGCCACGATGACCAATTTGAGGATCATATCTTGGGATATCGATCAATATGTCAAGTCTACGCATTCCATATTTGAAGGTATCAGAGAGCCCACTATAGCTAATAACCATACAGTTATAGCTGTTTACAGATCTTTGGACAATGAAGAAGTAGGGCAGAGTGAGATCAAGTATTCCAACGCTGGAGTGATGTTGTAGTCCCATGTTTTAAGTGGATTGATGGTGTTTGCTTTGAGTGCTTTGCAGAATTGTGTGTACTTTTCCGACATTCGAATAGTGTTTTGCACCTGAAGTGAAAAGAGTTGAATCAGTTGTGATGTATAAGTAGGTGTAGATCATTTTTTCCATTGTTTAAGAGAGTGAGATTCCGCCAAAAAATTGATTACTTAGGATATTGGCTGTCCTTGGTGAATTATGTCGCGTACGCTACACCAGTTAAGAAACGTACTGTGTATATGCATAGGGAGTGGGTCTCTTGGAAAAGTGCGTATTGATGATAGCTAACGGAGATTCGAAAAGACGGAGTCGTTTTACTAAAGGTTCCAGGCCAGAAAAGTCCATTTCCGACTCTTCGTAAGGAGTAATGATTCTTGATCGCTTGTGTTCTTTATGGAGACTTCTAACGGTAGAGGTGTGGATCGTGCCAGTTGTAACGCTAGAAAGTATCAGGAGGTCGACGGCCAATTCGGTGTGATCAGGGTTGCTGGTCGAGGTTCCTGCAGTAAACGTTGTAGTGTCTTCAGTGTTAGGTTCCATGGGGGTGTTAGTATAAGCGACCTAGTAGGTGTCTCCATGACTTGCTGAATGCGTTCGTACACATGGCTTGAGGATGGTAATTCCAAGTGACAAATAGCGGGAGAGGATTTCGTGTTGGAGACGCAAAGAGATCTACCTCTTGTGGGCCGCATAGACGATTGAGTTGATTGAAGGTCTTTGTTGGCAGTGACCACTCGATTTGATCATGTAGTGCTCTTGATGACGCCTCCCCCGATTCAACTTGGACGGGACGTATAAAGTTGACAGCTGAATGGAATTCTGAAAGCAGTATGTCCATATATCGAGAGCTATGGTGTTGAGGGTTGAGGATTCGGGTCCCCCAAAGTGCTTGATGTACGCAATTGCGGATGTGTTGTCCATGCATAATTGGAGATTGTGATGCCTGTGAAAAGGAATAAATTGAAACACCTTGTCGATCACTAGCAACTCTTTTTGATTGATGTGGACAGATTGCTCTTGCTTGGTCCCTTGGCCTTGGATAGAATGTTGATCCCAAACAATTCGAAATTCTTGATCGGATGCATCCATAAAAATTTGTGTTAGTGGAAGGGTTGACAAGAGATGATTCCCATTCCATTTCGTCATTTGTGTTATCCACCATAATACTTCTTTCTGCATCTGTGCATTAATAAGATAATAATTTAGTTAACGAGAACGGTACAATTGAGCTAAAAGGTGTCGAGTCCGAAATTGTGCTTGATAGTTGCCTAACTGAGGAGCCATGGCCGATCCTATGAACCGGGCTAAGGTGGACCAACTGACTGTTGATTGCTTGAGAAGGGAGTACGCCATTCTGCGGATTGCTCTGATTTTCTTCCCGTGAACAGAAATGGTTATATCTTCTTAGTTGATATCCATCCATAAGTGATTAATAGACTGTGAAGGTGTCAGTAATGATTTGGACATATTGATCAACCATCTCAAGCTGGTCATTTTTTTGCATACCTTGTGAGTAAAATCCGGAGCTTGTTCCATTGAGGCTCTTATAATCAGAAGATCGTCTAGGTACGCGGTAATTCGAATCCCTTGTTGACAAGCCCATTTCAGTACTGATTTTGTTGAGGATATCATAGATATAATAATAAAGTTAATTGTCACATCACATTATGGATGGATAATAAATATAAAAGTTAATCATGAATCACGCATTACCCCACTTGTTCTCATCCTACCGTTGGAGTCTGTACACAGGGCACATCCCTGTGGCGAGTAAATATTTATTCTGCAAAAGCAATACAATCGAATGGGCCTGGACTATAGAATATTAATAGATCCTGAGCACAAATATTACTCTTGTCATTTGATGTTATAACTGTTGATCCCTCTGACTAATATTTATATACTCAGTATGGAAGGGCTAAAATTAAAGACATGTTGATTATTTACTATCACCAGATTATTACATCATGATCCAATAAGGCGCTTACTATTCTCCCTAGAACTATCCCAGTTCTTTATATAAATATCCATAGTTTTTTCTCATACACCATCAATATCTTTTTTTGAATTCAATTTTATATACGTTTTTAATTATATTTTTTCGTCCATAATAAAAGTGGTATCCAAGTTCTAACAGTATCACTTTGGTTTATTTTTTATTTTGTTCTCCATGCAAAACAGGTTTGAGACTGAAAGATAAAACGCGGTATTGATACGTGTTGAGGTTTCACTGAAATCGCAGGAGATGACGATGTTGCGGCTGAAACAATACATGATAAAATGCGTCTTGTAAATCGATGAATGTCAAAAAATTGCCAGGTTGTAGTAGATGGGTGATAGTTTGCATGGTTTCCATCTTGAAATGCTGGACTGGCAGGTATGATTGAGAGGCTTGAGGTCGATTACAGGTCGCAGACTCCACCCTTTTTGGAATTATAACAAATAAATTACTTCTGATTTGATAAAAAAATATTAAGTATATAAAATGAAATAATGGCACGATAGGTACGATTATAAGTCCTTGTTACTTTATTTAACTGAAGTTTTAACTATAAAATAATGGGGTTTATTTATACTCTTTTAAACGCTGACTGTTATTAGAATTGCTAGTCCATAAATTTATCTTTACTGTTGAGTTCTACATGAATTCAAGGGTACGTTGTCGCCGACAGATTGCTTCAATGATTTCTAACAATATTTTCTATCGGCTCTTCCATTGTATTCAATGTGTCAGATTTCCAAATTTGGATAATTTATATAAATTTGGACTACCGATGATTTTACTGTATGTGCGTTTAGCACAGTAATCACGAAAAGGTTGGTGTGGTGATCCACCTACTGTTGTTACTAATCCACCATAAAACAATATTAAAAATAAATCTCATGTCATCACCCCATACATTATTACATCACAACACGAACTAATCTCTTATGCATTATATCATATCCAACTACAAGCACTATTTTAGTGCTGTGTAACTTATCCATCAAATTAAATTCATAATCCGATTTCTCTTAACATATATAAATATGCAAACTGATATTGAGAATAGAACTCTCAGACTTTGAATCTACTTTTACTCTTAATAAAACTTAAAAGCAGTCTCAAAGTATTTTATTGTTTTTATTTATCTATCTCTATCCTCAACTATCACAGTTGGAAACGAATCCGTTTGTTGGATGTTGATGCTGTAATACGTCAATTGCTTGTTGTTGAAGAAGGTTGTGTATTTCGGTGTCTCTCACTTGCTAAGTGCTGTTGACTGTTGAAAGACGACATAAAGATGGTTGAGAGGGGCGAAGAGTTGGGTTGGAGATAAGTGGAAGACGGTAGCCATAGATAAGACATTTAATACCCACGGAGGAATGGTGAAACTTAGAATATTGAATCATTCTAATCGAAATAAAGCTAGTCTTCCACCTGACATAAAGCCGCTGCTGTTGGTGTGGAAATCGATGAAGATTTATAAAATAAAAACAAGAAAATTATCAAACTTGCAAAAATTAACTAAGGCTTTAGTAAACAAATAAAAGGGTGTATTTATATACACATTATTTTAGACGTTGATCACAGATGGGCTGATGACGGTCGTGGGTAGATTTGTCCAGATAATACTCGGATGTAATGATCCCATATATAAAGGCCATAATGAGATGTCAATAACAATAACAATAATATACATTCTACTGTGTATGTCTTGTAGCAAAATATTCAGGAGAAAATGTAGTTCTTAATTCAGATACCTGTGGCACCTCAATGTGGCGGATGTAACCTGCATATGTTTTCATATCAATGTTATTATTTAAATGTATGTCTTATACTTGTATGAAGGATGATATGAGATCAAGCCTGTACATAAATTAAATGATCAGTATTTAATATAACAGTATCAATAAGAATTATATTTACGATTATCAAATGGAAGATTTAAGAAGTGTAGGTGGAGTCATATATTAAGTATAAAGTCTCGATCACGACATGCATCAAATCTGGCAAGGAGTACTATTCAAACAAGCTTTATGGGTAAACCATCAACCAATTCCAGTCTATAAAAACACTTTCCTTTCATCGACGAAAGTGTGTAGGTGTACCCCCGCCATTATACTAACCATACGAGCCGAGTTTTCATTAGAATTTTACAACTCCAGAATTGAATTATATTGCTAGATTTCCAGGTTTCTAACGAATATTTTTATTATCGAAAAAGCCAAGAAAATTTGTTTGTAAGACAATTTAGGAAACAAATGTTTAAAACATTTGAACACTCTCTTCGACTACTATGATAGCCAAAATTTAAAGTTTTTTAAACAATTCAAACTATGTTTTTTTGGCAACGCGATCGTTGTTCTTTCGCTGTTATGCTCGTTCTATGTTACCCTTACACAGAAATACCGGAGTAAAAACCTAACAAGAATTTGAATATAAGCTATGTCACAAACATATATGTTTATCACATGTCAATTATGATGGATTCAAATCTCGATAAGAGCGATATGATATTTCGACCATTTGGTGTCAGTTGTGGGTTCATAATCCCATAATACGACTACGTGCACCCTGCATGACCCTCATAAAATTAGCTATGTCTAAGGCTGTTCTCAAGCAAAAAATTTCATACCCCCCTCCGTAAGGGAATTATAGCCTTATATTTTCATAATTCTGCCAAAAACTAAGACAGTACGCTATCCTATTTTGAGAATTATTCCACCTTCTGAGGGTGGTCTAATTTTTTAAATGGCTAGTAAGAATTTTCAACGTCTTTTGGCTGAGAAGTATGAAATTTTAAGTTTATAATTTCCGGATGGAGGGGGGTCTCAAATTTCTCCAAAAAGACGGGGGTATCAACTTTTTTTCTTGAGAACAGCCTACGTTACACATTTAATTAAGCATATCATTCAGTGTAATACTTTCTGCGTGTTAGGGCTGATTAATGTTACGGTCGTATGTCAATGCGAATCGCTGAATTTGTGATTAGATGAGATGCCAAAAATAACCAAGATTACATATTTTACCCCATGTGGCTTAGCATGCGATTCCAGTTCTTATTTTATTTAAAGGGATAATAACATAGCGTGACTTCTTTTTTGTATTCTAAAAAAAATTTTGTTTTCAACTTTGAGTTTTTTCTTCTCTTCACAAGCTCCCGTTAAATTTTTTCCCAAATGGAGCAAAACAAGCGATCAAACGGCGACATTAAAGTCCAAGAAAGTCGAAATGATTTGAAACGAAAACATAAAGGATCACCTTCAAGCATGTCTTCCTCAATTAGTAATCTCGCAGCTGTAACCTCCATAGCTTACACACCATCCAAAATTACGAATGAGCGAAATTCCGAGGACCGTCCGAAAATAACCAAGTATGAATTACTGGAAAAGCTGGGCCAAGGAAGTTACGGGTAAGTTTGTATATATTCATGTCATTACTGAGTATACCATCTGACGTAAATAATATCACATTACAGGGAAGTCTTCAAAGCGAGAAATAAAGAAAGCAATGACTTAGTTGCCTTAAAAAGAATGCCAATTGGGGACGAAGGGGAAGGGGTAAGTATTAGATACTTTGACTGAAAACTATAAATGAGTTGATCTTAATTACATTAGATACACCTCTCAACTATACGGGAAATCAATATTCTTAAACAACTGAACCATAAGAATATCATCCCCTTACGTGATGTTGTTGTTGATTCAGGTACGTTTAATCTTATTGGAAGCCATGAATATGCAACTTAAACTCACTTTTTTTCTTAGAAAACCGAAATATTTATATTGTACTCCCGTATATGGAACATGACTTGGCAGGCTTACTGCATAACCCAAACGTACAATTAACTGCGCAAGATATCAAGACATACCTAAAACAATTATTAGAAGCAACAGCGCATATGCATCAAGTAGGTTATAGTGATTAAAATAGAACATTATTTACTGACACCTTTTTATTTCTATAAAAGAGCCGCATCCTTCATCGCGATATAAAAGGTAACTTCTATAAATAAAGACCAAAGAATTCCCACATGGTGCCAAAGTTGGTAGACTAGACTAACTTTTTTGTAGCTTCTAATATCTTAATCAACAATGACGGTATTTTACAGATTGCCGATTTTGGTCTTGCACGGGATATGGATAACGGTGATGAAGAGTATACCAAATCTGTTGTTACTAGATGGTATAGACCACCAGAGTTGATTCTTGGTGAAGGGCGATACACCAGTGCAATTGACATGTGGGGCGTTGGATGTGTTTTCGGCGAGCTGATAAAATCGAGGGCTATATTACAAGGACAAGACGACCTTGATCAATTAAAAAAAATATTTAATTTGTGTGGCTCGCCCAATCAAAAAAACATGCCTAACTGGCACAAATTACCAGATGCTAGGAAGACCCGGTTTAAAAAAACTGTGAGACGTGTTCGACGTGAATATTCCAGTTTTGATCCTCTTGCTGCAGACCTCTTAGACAAGCTACTAGTTCTTGACCCCAAAAAACGATCAACAGCTTTAGAAGCTCTTGACCACAATTATTTCTCTTCCTCGCCTTTGCCCACAAACCCTGCCAAGTAAGTCATTTATATATCGCCTGTCAGAAAGACCGCTTTTATTGATACCTTATACTATTTAGTCTTCCCAAATATGAATCATCACATAATTATGATCGTCATAGAAACAAGAAACCTCGACATGATTAGGTCTTTCTTTTTCACAATTTTTATTAAATTTTTTAGGATTTCAAAACTGCTAATATGTTTCCGGGCTTTTCTATTAACGATATCGGCGTGTTTTTCGTGTTGTTTTTATATAAACAGTAGTGACCTAGCAAGGCTGTAGTCGTATTACAGCTAGAAAAGGTCTATCCGTGCTTACACCATTTGTGATATAAGCTTAACAATTAATTTCATAGTAACTGTCACGGATGGAACAGGAACAAGACACAGAAACTACTTGGCAACACGAGGGGGGCGATTGGTTAAAATAAAATAGTTTGATTAATTAAGAGGGGGAGGGGTTAGGACTAAGATAAAGAATAACGTTTTTCTAATAAATAACTAACATCTATTGATACTATTTCTTGTACATGGGAAAAACTACGATGGGTTTAAATTATAGATTAACAAGGGTATTTACGGAACAGATATCATTAGTAGATTATTGACAAGGATGAGTAATTGAGATTTGACGAGTAGTACTGTGCATCTATTTTATAATGAACAATTTTCGTTAAAACGGACATTCGCAGAACTTAAAAGTCCGATTTTTACACTGGTGATTATCATATTTTCTGACAGAGGAATCTAATTTATCGCGGAAAAATGTTTGCCCGGGATATATCTGATAGATTTCTATGGATTTTTGCACTGTAAAACACCTCCCGCACATCTTTGGGTCTTCCTACTGTAAATGGCAAATTTTGTTTTGCCATCTGTAAAAAATTTTGTGTAAAAAAAAAAAAATCGGGCTCTATTAGTTTATGAAGAACTCTTTAATAAAGAACATAATAGAGCCAGATTTTTGATACATGTTAAATTCATCGAGGAGATAGCGTTTTTCTTTTTTTTTTTGGAAATCGGAGTCAAAAATTGTTCATTATAAAATAGATGCACTGTAAGACCTCTTGACTAGGTTCATCCACTTTAAAGCTGTTGTAGGCTGATTCAACATCAAGTCTACTAAACACATTTCCTTGTGATACCTGTTGAGGATGTCATAGATTATAATAAAAGAATCATCACATTTACATAATAATGGATGATCATGTATAAATATTCATGGCTCACACTTCGCCCCATTTGTTATCATCAGAACCGTTGGTGTCTGTGCACCAGGTGATTCGCCTTGTGACGAGTAAAATCTTATAATATACTACAATTCCTACCTTTTTGCAACACGGAATTTAGACCCCGCCGAAAAATTTATTTTCGAGGGGGGTCTGGGGGAAGGGGCTTGACCCACCCCCAGGAACAAAGACCGGTAGATTGGCATTGAGTGTTAAAATGTTGATTGGCATTGAGTGTAAAAATGTGGGTTGGCATTGAGTGTAAAATTTTTGATTTGCATTGCGTATAAATAATACTTATTAGATATGTATACTACAGCAACATCAGCAAACGGAATATCCGTATTGTTTTCAGATAAAAAAAACACTACTGAAAATGTTATTTATCCTGATTTACTCATCCACACCTAACTCCCATTAAATTTTACAGTATATCTTATCTTAAATCATCATTTTTTATCCCACCTTATATATTACAAATAAAGGCTATATTTATTAAGTTTAAGTGCGTTTCAGACACTGGCTCCGCTCACGAAGTGAGCGAGATGCCAGCTAGTATCATAATACGATAAAAGTATAGTACAATCCCATAGGCGGAATATTCGGTTACTGAATATTACACGCACTAAACGTTTTCTTTGGCATTTATGTAATGTCACCTGCGGAGATGAATTTAGATCCTCACGTACTTTTGTCTTTCTTTTTAAGGCAGGAATTACTTCATAACATATTTATTTAAACAGACATTACGTATAACATTATATCATATTCCTTTAACGCGTCACATATATTATCCGAAAGCCATCTAATCATTTAGTATAAACACCTGTAGTTTTTGCTAGTAGAATTCCCTAATCTAAATTTTCTCGAAATAAAAGATATAGGGTGTTCTCAAGCAAATTATTTAAAATTTTAAAATTTTGATTTTAATTAAAAATATTTGACCTCACCACTATGGAGGGGTCAAATTTTAAAAAATGTTTTCTGACATTAAAATATCATTTTAACTCGAAAAATACTAAAATCACATCACTCATTTTGTGTGGGAATTCTTTTCTTTCATAACAAATACTATAAATGTCTTACAACGATAAATTATATTACTACTACCAACTTATTTGCAACCATCGCAACTTAGTTCTCGCTGAATACCAGCAGCTCCTTAAGAGTCAAATAGCATTGAACGAACAGGTGTTTCTTTATTACAAGACCACGTTTTTAGATTCGCCCTCTCTCTTTGAGTTGACGCCTTTTCTCATTCAAGCTCATTTAACATACCCAACTGAGCCGGTCAACAATCGCCATTCATTCGCCAACTACCATTACTTCCGCATCTCTCACCCTTTTTTGACTGATGACGACAATCCACGAACCAACTATCGCGCCATGTACCGTATGAACCACCTTACGTTCGAAAGGGTTGTAAACGAACTACGCAGAGATCCCGCTTTTCAGTCTAGAGCTGTAAATTTTATCCCTCCATACGTCCAGATTTCATGTGTAATTTGGCGCTTAGCTAACTGTCCCGTTGGCTATCGCTGCGCCCACTTGACTATAGGAGTCTCTCACGGTAGTTACAGAAACTTTACGCAACGTTTTGAAAAAGCCGTTGTTAACAAATTCAAGCATCTTATCGAATGGCCCAAGGACGAGCAGCGTGTCGCTGCAATCAAACATGGTTACGAGTATGGTATAGGCCGCACTGTTTGGGGTCTAACAGCTGTTGGAGCTTTGGACGGCAAGAACGGAACATGCCGAGGATTGGAGGGATTGTAAGGGAGACTTTGCCATGAAACTTACGGCAGTATGTGATGTAAGAGTAAGTTTACTTACATTTCGGTTGGTGATTCAGGTAATAATTTATTTGTGCGATTGTATGCAATGATGTTGATCGTTTTGACATAGGTCGTTCACACGATGCTGCTGCTTTCGACCTCAGCGAGGTAGCAACAGTTGCCTTGGAAAACCACCAAGAATACTTTCCTTTGAATGGGTATATCCTTGCAGGTAAAATATATAAGCGTGAATAAAATCTTCGAAAAAAAACTAAATATGTTTTAGACTCGGCATACCCACTATCGCACCATATAATTGTGCCTTATCCTGCTTCGGAAGTCCTTGGAAGATCTGATGATGCTTTGGCCAAAACAAAGTTCGACAAGATTCATTCATCAACTCAAATGGCCATTAAAAGAGCTTTTGGTATATTGATTTCTCGCTGGAGATTCCTCAGCAAACATATATACATCAAGGATACCAGCGATATTGTGGGTATTATCACAGCTTGTTGTATTTTACACAATCTGTGTATTGAGATGAATGACCCTGTTCTGGAATTAGTAGAAGATGAGCCGAACGATGTGACGAGCGATGAGCCTGCTGCTAGGCCGGATAGTTCTAGTCAGTCAGTCAACAGCACCACCTATCGGAATGGTCAAACTAGAAGGGACAACATCAACCCCTATATGCCTCCTCAACAAAAAACAAGTAATGTTTGTAACAAAATTATATATTTTTATTGATCAGTATTATTATTATTATTTTGAGCCTGTTGGTTTCGATTGGCCATATCCTGAAGGATAGCATCAACAAGTCTTGCCGTTTCCCTGTTACTTTGAGCAAACAGTTCTGCCACTCGATCACTACATGCAAGTAATGCAGCATTGGCCTCCAGACTATACTGAAGAAAGGACTGAAAGTGGTTGTCTCTTTCCAAAGCTTGAGTTTGTTGCACCCGGTTCAAGACACGTAACATGCTGTTCTCGATGCGTTGTTCAGACGCCGATGGTAAAGGCAACATCGAAGCTACTCTTACCTGGGTAAATTGAAAGGGCTCCGATGCGCGTGCTGGTGTTGCTGGTGGTGCTGGTGGTGCTGTTGGTGCTGGTGGTGCTGTTGGTGCTGTTGGTGCTGTTGGTGCTGGTGGTGCTGGTGCTTTTGGTGCTTTTGGTGCTTTTGGCGCTGGTGCTGGTGGTGCTGTTAGTGCTGTTGGTGCTGGTGCTGGTGGTGCTGATGGTGGTGCTGGTGGTGCTGATGGTGGTGCTGGTGGTGCTGGTAGTGCTGATGGTGCTTATGGTGCTGATGGTGATGTTGTTGTTGCTGGTGAGGATGTGGCGGCTGTTGACACACGGGGTGTCTCTAATCTGCGTCTTGCAGTGGGAGGTTGATCTTGTTCACCGACAGCAAAGATTCCCTCGGAACGTACATTACCTGCTGTTCCAGATTGGGTATCCACAGTACGTAACACATCGTCGGCAGTGTTTGTATGGGCAGTATTCTGGCTAGGACCACCAACAACCTCAGGCTCCAAATTTTTATCATCCTCAGGAGCATCTTCAATTCTTGTTCTGAACTCCCCCTGAAATTGAGGAAAAAGTGACAGGTGGAAAATATGAAGGTAAGTCTTTCAGAATGCTATATAATTTGTCATAAATGATAGAACGAGCGGGTGTTGCTTGTCCAGTAGAATTACGGGTGGCGTAATTTCTTTTGAAATTCTGCAAAAGATTTGACCACTTGCTTTTCAACTGTTCGTGGGTCCGAGGAGCACATTCAACATTTGCTGCATGAAATTCACTCGCAAGAAGGTCAAAAATTTCATTTTTTCGCCAAGCTTCTAGCCGAATCCATAGCATGGAAGTGCTCATTATACCTTTCAATAAGCAACAAGGTCTCCGCTTGTCCCCATCCAGATCCTCTAAAGCGTTGTGAGCCTTCGAAATCATCTTCATTTTGGCTTCCACTTCCACGTCCACGCCCATTTCCACGTCCACATCTACGCCCACTTCCACTTCCACTTCCACGTCCACGTCCACGTCCACGTCCAACGATTCCATTCTGGCTGCTCTCAGGCTGACCATTAATAGGGTAAGAAGCATTATTTTGGTTGTTCATTTTTAAAATAGGTAGAGACAAAGGTAAAGTATGTTTATTTTGATAAGAATACAAGAAAGAAATAAAATAACATTGGCCTCTGTGCCATGTACAAATGACAGTTTAGCATTTTCCCAAATTGGAGTTGTGTTTTTTGTGACTTTTGATTTTAATTAAAGGATTTATTTTAAAATTTTAAATAATTTGCTTGAGAACACCCATATACAGTTCTAAAAGTATTTTCTTTTGTTACCTTAATTTACATTTTATCTCCATCCCAAACAATACCTTTTCTAAAATGTCTTGTATGTTAGGAAAGGCGTAAATTTCTACCAATGAGTCATCAATGTTCATGTTTTGTCTTCTCAAATCGAGACATACACGTGTCTTTGTCATCTTATTGTTCTCATCTTTCTTTCCTATTGCGAGCAGTGGCGTATTATATTTATTGTTTGGTTTACATCTGACTACAATACCAGCCTCTAACCATTCATTGATTTGTTTTCTAATTTCAGGCATTTTATGATATGGAATAGGATATTGCGGTATGTCACAATTTCGTGCATCCTTCTTGATTGGTATTCTTACGATATTTTCAGGTAAGTTACAAAATTGTCCAGCTTTTATAATAATATTTCTGGTTATAGAAGGTTGAATTTACTTCATTAATTTCTCTCTCTTTCTTCGATGGTACCAAAATCAGCATCTTCAGGATCATACTTATCAGATGGATCGTTATTCGCACTTTCAAATTGGAGATCTTCATTGATTTCATCATCATCGGGATATTTATGAGCTACGTTGGTTAATCCAATATTCAACTTTGAAAGAATATCTGTCCCAAGAAGTACATCAAAATCAGTTTCCAGTGTATCATTAATTTCTACTACTTCGAAACAAAATTCAAAATTGATGTTATTTAAATATTTAATGGTTATAGGTTCGGTTTGACCAATTATTTTAGCAGTGTTAGACAAGTACAGTGCTCACGGTACCAATTTGCGGTTTTATATATTTTTTTTTGCGGGTTTACAAACTTCCAATTTGGGGGTTTTTTATTGGCCAATTTGCGGGTTTTTTATTCTCACTTTACGGGTTTGCTAGATCCCAATTAGCGTTTTTATTTTTTCAATTTACGTTTTACTTTACAAAATAAACATCTATTATGTTTTCAATTTTAGGCAAGATCATCTTCGAAGATGGCCAAGGAAATCTCTATAATGAGGATGGAAAAGAGCCAATGGACTGGGAAGAAGATGTAGATCCCTACAATTTAGAAAACCTAACTAACTTGACTCAGTATAAAGAACATCAACCAGTTGAATTAGATTCAAATGATCCCGCTTTGGATAAACGAATGGAAGACATTCAAACCAAAGTTTCAACGGGAAATACCGCAGTTAAATACAAAACGTATTCCGTTGACCAAAAAAACTTTGTTTTTGTATTATATTAATATCAAACTTTTTAAAGCTGCAAAAGCTGCAAAATTGTCTGGAGTAAACGAACGCACTGGACAGCAATGGGCAAAAAGACTTAGGGAAGATCCTGAATGGGATATATATTAAAAAAACACGAACAAAGTTAACCGAAAATCCAGTCAGCTTCAAGAGGAGCATAAGCTGTATTTAATAAACTACTTTGATGAGTTTCCTCAGGCTCGCACAAAAGACGCAGTAGATAGTTTGACTGAAAACTTCGAAAACTTTAGTTTAAAAGAAACAGTCGTTGGAGAGTTTACCTCAAGGGAGTGCAATCTTTCTATCAAGAGCGTAACCCGTCACCCTAAAGCTCGTCGTGAGTGGGTAGAGTTATGGTCTGAAACCTCAATGGATTTTAATACCAATTGCATTCTCATCGATGAGAGTGCTTTTGATTTAAACATGAGGCCACCTACTGCAAGATCGGTTAGAGGAACACCGGCTGTTGTTGTCACGCCTTCTACTAAGGCTATTAGCCATACTATTCTTGGTGCTGTTTCTGCATTGGGAATAATAAACATTGAGATACGAGTTCCAGTACCACCAAAAAAAGTAAAAGTAGTAGGTAGCCGTAAAAGAAAATCAACTGCTGTAAAGAAGCCTTCTTTTGGAGGAACTAATTCCGGTCACTACCTTAATTTTATCAAGAAAACTCTCGATCAAATGGATAAATATCCTGAGATGAAAGGATTTTATCTCATTATGGATAACTCTCCTATTCATGATAAGAAAGACGGTGGTATTGACAATATTATTGAATCTAGAGGCTATAAATGTGTTTATCTTCCTCCTTATTCCCCAGAACTTAACCCCATTGACTAGTTCTGGGCAGTAGTTAAGAGTAAAGTTAGAAGAAGCCAGTTTGGGAACACTGAGGATCTTAAGACCAGGATCAGTGAAGCATGTAATGAAATTCCTTTCAAACATCTTCAAGGTTTTGTTAAACACTCATTCGGTACTTTTGTGATATTTGATAGAATGCACGTATAAAAACAATGAGATAAAACAAATATTTTTATTAGGGTAAAAATAGACTAAAAAACTCTGCTGCTATGAAATAATCAATCCTTTTTATATTGCCAACATCTCCTGGATTTATGATGAGTCAACCTTTCTGGTTTTGGAATAAATCTATATTTTAGTCTTCCATCTTGTGTTATCTAAACTCTACTCGTTAGAATTGATTAAAGGTAACGTTGTCCCAGATGTGTGAAACGGGAACACGAGTATTCTGACAAATACTTGGTGCAGTGGCACACTTCTTTGTAAGATCGTGTAACGGATACTGTTAAAAGATACATACTTGTTTGTCAAGTGTAATTGGCAATAGAACATAATAGTTGTAATTGATCATTTATGCTTTAATTTTCTAATGCATAAAATACGATCCCAAATATAGAATATCTTATCGAAATTTGTATATTTGGTTGTAGAAGATAGGTATCCATTAATTCATACACTATTTCTTTATACTCTTTATAGGCAGTATAATTATATCAACATATAAGTAAATGAACCATTTATACTAATAGCTGTTCTATTCTCTCTATGGGTAGCTAAGCCATTGAGAGAACTATTATTATATTAAAATTATTGGAATCGTAACTACGCAGTCACAAGGCGAGCTAATTTTCTGTAATATTCAGACGTTCGGTACTTAAATAGAAAGTTAAGATAATAAAAATAAGATCCTTTATTTAATAATGATTGTTTGGAGTATTTATAGTTTAGGGATAATTGCTGCGGATGGGATAAGTATATGTGTTAGTGTAATTCAGGATAAGTATGAAGTGCTGCGGTCTTGACGACGCAGTAGGTGGATAGTGATACGAGAGTGAGAGTGGCTTGACTGGATATTCGGAGTTTAGAGTATTACATCATTCCCCCCTTTGTTAGAAGATTTGTCGCAGAAGGCCGAGTTAATCATTGGATGCCAGACTCGCATATGCTTGATGTTGGCCGTGGAGACATGGCTGGTAGGGTCGCTCTTGAGGGCAATCTTGAATGAGGTTCCTTCTTGATTATTCTTTTCTAATATGATCCAAGGTCCAGACCAACGTTCTTTGGGAAAGCCTCCGATCTTGTCCAGATTTTTTCTTGCTATCAAGTCGCCGATCTTGTAGTTGTGTTTTATTCTTGATTTCTTGTCGTAGAATTTCTTTTGATATTCTTGAGCCTTCTTGATATTTTCCAATGCTTTGTGGTGAATTAAAGGTATCTTTTCATTCAGGAAGCTCATCCAAGTTTCAGTGTCATAGGTCTTTGGGTCTTGAATATCCAAGGATGGTAGTAGAGGCAATTCGGGTTTTCTTCCATATAAGAGTTCAAAAGGAGAGAATCCAGTGCTTGATTGATTCGCCGTGTTATACGCAAAAGTTACAAAAGGCAGGTATTCGCACCAAGTGTCAGGTTCCTTTCCTACTACTGTCGCTAAGCTTGTTTTTAGAGTTCGGTTTAACCTTTCGACCAGCCCGTCAGTTTGGGGGTGTTCAACCGAAGTAAGAGATCTTGAAACGCCTAACCTTTTGCAGACCATGTTCATTGCATCAGAAATATAATTGCTACCATTATCCGAGATAAGCCTTGTTGGTAAACCGATTTTCAATACCACTTCGTACAATAGAACCTGGACAATGTGATTCGTGTCAAATGAGGGAAGCGCTGCAGTAACTGCCCATTTCGATAAGTATTCCATGATTACTAGAACATATTTGTTGCCGTGCTTGCTTTCAGGTAGAATTGCGATATCGGTTGCCCAAATTTCACCTAAATATTTGGGAGTGATAGGTTTCATAGGTGGTGTTGCTATGTCATTTCGAACCTTGAATCGTTGACATTCTTGACAGTGTTTGACCCAGTTGATTACATCTTCAGCCCGACTTGACCACCATCCAATATTCCTCACCTTCCCCATGGTTTTTTCGACCCCGAAATGTCCACCAGTAGCGATGTTATGAGCATGAGTGAGCACTTTATCCACCATTCCGACAGGTACCACCGGTAAGATTTTACCCAAGTTATCTTCGTGACAAAGGATATTGTTTTTCCAAAGGAAGGGTGACTTGACGCCAGATTTCAGCATCATAGCAATTTTTGGGTCCGCTTTCTGGAGAGCACGAAAATTTTCGATGGTGATATCATTTGCAGAGTCCGAGGCCTGATTATTTTGGTCCAAACGGGAGAGTGCATCTGCGTCGACGTTTTCGAGACCTTTCTTGTGAATAATAGTGTATGGTTGATATTCTTGTAAAGCCATTATCCAGCGAGCTATCCGTCCACGAGGTAGTTTGGTTGCCATGATAGATTTCAATGCCATATGGTCCGTATAAATATTCAACGAAGCTCCGTAGATATAGGGATGAAAGTGTTGTAAAGCCCATACGATTGCGAGACATTCGATTTCCGTGGTATTGTAATTGACTTCGGCTGCTGTCAGTGTTTTACTAGCAAATGCCACCGGTTTGCCATTTTGGACTAAACACGCACCTAACCCAGTGTCAGACCCATCACAGTGAAGATCATATGGTAAATTCGGATTCGGGTATACCAATGAAGGGAGAGTGCTTAATTCTTGTTTTAGTTCCATGAACGCTTGGTTGGCTTCTTGAGTCCATTCATATGGTACATCCTTTTTTAGTAAGTGATATAGCGGTTTGGCCTTACCAGACAACGAGTCGATAAACTTATGATAAAAAACTGCAAACCCCAGGAACCTAAGCAATGACTTTTTACTTGTTGGCGCTTTCCAGTTCTTGACCACCTCGACCTTTTCAGGATTGGAGCGTATTCCTTCACCGTTCACCAAGAATCCAAGAAACTTCACCTCTTTGCAGAACCATTGGCATTTTTTTTTAGAAATTTTCAAGTTGTATGAGTCCAGTCGTTCGAGCATACGTTGAACATCCTCCTGATGCTGTTCAAAAGTCTTGCTGTAGATGATAATGTCATCAATGAAATTCAAACACCGAGGTAAACCTTTGAGAACGATGGACATGAGACGACCGAAAGAGCTAGGACCATTGACCACACCATATGGCATCGACACAAATTGGTAAAGGGACCCATTAGCCTGAAAAGCCGTTTTCTTTGCGGACGACTCGCTTAATTTCAATTGCCAAAACCCTGACTTAAGATCACATGTGGTAAAATACTTGTAACCACGTAAAGTTTCTAAAAGATCAGAAATTAAAGGTAATGGAAATTTGTCCTTAACTGTCACCTTGTTCAAGTTTCGGTAATCAACACAGAATCGAAAGCTGCCATCCGGTTTCTTGATCAACACGACTGGGGAACACCAATCACTCTGACTAGGTACAATCACGTTTTTCGCTAACATTGCTGCTACTTCGGTCTTGATCGCCTCATTTTCAGCTGGGGAACGTCGATAATCACGTGTAACTGTGGGATTTGCTTCGCCGGTATCAATTACATGTTCGTAAGGAGCCGTAGTAATATTCTGTTGGTCGCTTTCATCCGTAAGTTTAGGAAATCGAGAAAGTAGTTCTTCAACCAGTAAACTTGCACTGTTATTTTGCTCTTCGGTGCTCTTATACTTGTATACTTCCTTAGCCTTAGGTCGTAAAACGATATCCTCGTAGTCCATCCAATCCATACCGAGGATTACCTCTTCGTTCTGTTCAGCAACCACAAGTAAATACACCCGACTAGATTCCTGATCGTTGAAAGTAAAATCCATCACTGCTTTTCTATTAGTTGACTGAGTAGTTCGATTACCATATCGGATGATCTGTGTATCGACGATAAATTGTGGTAGGCTTAGTTTCTCAGAGACTTTCTTCGAAATGGTGCTAATTGTTGCTCCAGTATCGACTAAGACCTCTTGTTGTTGTTCATCGCATTGAATAGGAATCTTGAATCTTCTACGGCCACCTTGTTCACTCATGTTGTTGTTACTTTCGTACATAATCTCTTGGGTTTGCAACAAATGCCAAAAAATATCATCTTCCATTTCCACCGGTTCATTAGATGCATCATTAGCTTCCAACTCTTGATTATTTTGCTTGAAAGTTTTGGCTCGGCAATCCCGTTTAAGATGTCCAACCTTGTTACATTTGAAACAGGTTCTTGTTTCCCTTGTGTTACCAAACGATCTTCCACCCTGAGAGCCACCACCGCCTTGAGATCCACCACCACCTTGAGAGCCACCACCGCCTTGAGAGCCACCACCACCTTGAGATCCACCACGACCATAATAATTGCCACCGTTACCATACCTGCGCTGCTGTTGATCCTGGTAGTTTTGCTCACCACCATTGTTAACTGCTTGGGAAGTTGAAGGACCTTCGGATCCAGAAGAGTAATTTGTAATGGGACCCATATATGTATTGGACAATTTTGATTTTGCCAAGGACCGTTCGATTTCCTGTTGCAATGTGGATACCATCTGCCAGAGTTTGGGCCCGATTCATGATAACCGCTTTTTCCAGTTCGGGATGTAGTCGATCTTTCAAGTAATCCAGCTGAATGTTGGCTTGATAAATCCCAGCACGTTGTAGCAGTGTAGTGATACCTGGACCAAATTCCTTCATCGGTTTGTTGCCTTGCTTATAACTCTTTAACTCGTTGAAAGCAGCGAGAGTAGGGTCCATTCCTTGCGCGTGTTGGTGTAAGAATGCTTCCTTCAATTTGCTCCAATCACCGAGCACCATTGGGTCCAACCCAATCAACCAGTCCATACTATCGCCCGTAAGAACTGCTGTCATTTCCTCCGATTTTTCATCATCAGTAAATCCAAGATATTTAGCCAGAACCTCGTACCTTTGCATCCATTGTTGAGCCTCATGAGCCGATCCTTTTTCGAAAGTGGGGAACTTATGTCGTTTCCTTCGTTCCAAAAAGATACGCTGTTGATTGATAGCCTTGGATTCTTTAGTCTCTGGTTTGAGTAAGGTAGTCTGACGCAATTCTTGTTCATTAGTACCACCATGTCCGTGAGTGCTAACCTGAGCTCTTTGGAGTTGAGATTCCAAAAGTAGAATTCGTTGTTGCAATAGTTTCAACTCATCCTGATCCGTCTTCTCCTGAAGCTTGTGTTTACCTTTTTCATCCTTAACAATGTTGGGAGGATTATAAACGCCAGTGATCATTAACTGATAATCATATGGAAGTTCCAAGTCGCGACAAACAGAAAGTGTGGGCCATTGAAATTCATGGACCATTCGGTTCATTTCCATACCGGGAATAGAGTGCAAGAGATACGTGAGTACCTGGTTCAATCTTGACCTTTCATTGTTAACTTGGCCGTCCAGGTTTTCAACCATACGATGTATTTCTTGTGCTTGATCCTGCTGTTCCGAAATGAGTATTTGCAAATGAATACGATCCGCTGGAGCCAAATGTTCCAGTGATTTCAAAATAGCCATGGATCTTTGCTGTTTCACAATCGCCTCCTCCAGGAGTCCTTGTCGGTTCACCTGAACATACATTGCTAATTCATCAAATTTTCGCTTAGCATCCATAAAATGTACCCTGAGAGATTCTCCGTCCATTTGGGATCCGTCATCAACAATAGACATATCGCCGTTACGAACGTCCGAAAAGTCCAAATCAGGAGCGTGGTTATCTGATGTCTTCTTCTTCGTCTTGTCATGAAGACTTGCTGAAGAATAGTTAGCCGCAGACTTGAAAATGGAAGGATCCACCTCTTCCTTCTTCTTTCCTTTAGTATCCGAATCAGTGGGTTTCATTGTATCCGTAGAGAAAGTTGAGCTCTGGGTGTCTTGAGGACCAGGTTGTTCATCAGTAATTTTGGCCATTTTAGCTACTCCACCAATGTAATATTCAGACGTTCGGTACTTAAATAGAAAGTTAAGATAATAAAAATAAGATCCTTTATTTAATAATGATTGTTTGGAGTATTTATAGTTTAGGGATAATTGCTGCGGATGGGATAAGTATATGTGTTAGTGTAATTCAGGATAAGTATGAAGTGCTGCGGTCTTGACGACGCAGTAGGTGGATAGTGATACGAGAGTGAGAGTGGCTTGACTGGATATTCGGAGTTTAGAGTATTACATTTTCAGTCACAAAAGTTACAAAAGTTAGGATTTTTAATGGGGGTGCGGGGGTTTCCCCCGCAAGAGGGGTGGGGGGTTTGGGGGGAGGGGGAACCCCTCCATCCATAAATACGGCCCATAGTATTAGCATGAAAGAGCTTATATCTTATAAAACAGTATTTTTTTTTTTTTAACAGTGTAATTTTTAAGTAGTGATAAAAAAAAATTGGGGGTGCGGGGGTTTCCCCCGCAAGAGGGGAAGGGGGCTGGGGGGAGGGGGGACCCCTCCACCCTAGAATACGGCCCATAGTATTAGCATGAAATTGTTACCTTCTGAAAAACAATGTTCATTTTTTTTTCTACAGAATAATATCTTAAAGTATAATTTTTTTTAATACCGTGAATTTTTTTACAGCCCTATGTTTTTAAAGCGTTAATTTTTTTTACTTCGTAATCTTTTTTAGCAGAGGTACAAAATTAGAGGCTGGGAAAAACCCTTCTTCGAAGAATACGACCCATAACATTAAGCATTAAACTGAAAAAAAGAGCGTATATAAAAATTGACTATTTTGGAGAGAGTCATAATATAAAAGTGACTTTACTGAAAAAGTCGTTCAAAAAAAAAGTAACTATGGAGATTTTGTGGCAAAGGTTACCCTTCGCCCCAGTATAGCAGCCAATAGCATTAAACATTGCGCATAAAATAGTTAATCAGATATTTAAACAATTAATACTTTTTGCGTACATCAACTTTCTAGCCTGGGTTTAGGGATATCGTCTTTTATTTAAACATGTAATGAGAAACATCAAAGTTTTCTCCAGTGTCAAACTGATAATCAGCAGTGTAGCTTAAGCTATAATGGCGCGTGGGCGTCATGGTTAATTAATATATGCTAAGTTTTTGATTTCAAAAACAGGCCTGCGGCAGCACGAGGCTTTTTCGAAGCGCAGCGTACCGAACCATAGTGCAGGTCAAAAATTTACCGCATCGCAGCGAAGGTCAAAATTTTTACCGAAACGGAGGTTTGGTTTGAAAAAGCCTCGTTAATATTAAGTTTCTCTTTCTTATAATTCTTGATTTGATCTGAGAAGATTCTCTTCTCGATCGGTGATATCGTAACTCAGCGGTATAGCTTTCTGTATCCAACTGTCATTCGTATATCGTATTTAGGCCAATCATGCAATCTTTAATATAGAAGTATGTACTCGAAGTAGGAGAAGTTGTATAGCAATATACAAGCGTATGCTGATATGCAACATCAGAGGCTGTTTTAATTTCATAGTTAATTTATTTTAAACGATTTGCTTAATTATTCTTAAGTGAATCGTACCCAAATACGACACTCTTCTCGATCGGTGATATCGTAACTCAGTGGTATAGCATTCTGTAGCTAACTGTCATTCGTATATCGTATTTAGGCCAGTAGTGCAATCTTTAATATAGAAGTATGCACGTGTAGTAGGAGAAGTTTTATGGCAGTATACAAGCGTATGCTGATATGTAACAACAAAGGTGTTTTAATTTCATAGTTTATTTATTTAAACGATTTGCTTAATTATACTTAAGTAAATCGTACCCAAATACGACAGCATCTGTTTATACTATTTCTTATACATGGGAAAAACTACGATGGGTTTATATTATATATTAACAAAGGATTTTACGGAACAGATATCATGAGTAGATTATTGACAAAGATGGGTAATTGAGATTTGACAAATAGTAACAGTCTGGATTTAGTTGACATTGGATAATATGATGGTTCGGGGAATATTTATGGTTTGACACGGGCGGGAAACTAGATTAAGAATAAAAGTAATAGATGATCGGGAAATGTTTACTAAGGTTGAGTCAGACAGGAAGCGGGAGTAATATTGAGAGACAGATTAATGATATATTTTACAAGGAGTTCGGTGGCAGGCTTGATAAACTGATATGATTTTTCGTACAAGGTCTTGCAGGGAGTTTGGTAACGGGCAAGATATACTGATATTAATTTCTAGGACAAGGTTTCACAAGGGGTTAAAATTATGGTTTAAGTTATGCAAACAATATACAGGGTGAGTAAGTTCATAAGAGAAAGTAAAGCAAAAAAAGACGAGAAGATGATTGTGAAATAAATCTGATAAAAAAAAACAAAGAGAAGTGAAACATCAGCTCTATTTATAAAAAAATAAAACAAGAAATCAATTAAAAGAATAAGCAATGACAAGTTTAGTCATAGCTTATGTCGTATTTCCTCCAATAAATATCGTATAGAATGACCTTCAATGTGGTTAAATTATAATATTCGAGTGGTACTCTCATATTACCAGTATAATCTTGTTACAGATTATATATTGGGAATTATATTATTATTGGCTGTTTTTGATTCTCATTAATCTGTTACTGAAGTGTCAGTTAATGAGAATTTTTCACTTAATAATTTGGGCCAATCAATATAAGAAAGTATTGATTGACTTAAGACCATGTAATTCTAATTGCCATGTTTCAGAAGATAGAAACAAGCCACTGCCTATTCCTTACCAGATTCAATCTCCCAGATGTTTGATATAAAAAGCGTCCTCCCTTTTGCGATGACTTTCTCTCCATAACTTTAATAAAGGATTAATAGAGACTCATTTCTTATTACTTCTTTTTTTATTCTGTTTTATCTATTTTTAATATCTCAAACATCACAGCTTATGTGAATCATGACAAACAAATTTAAAGAGCAGACAGATCAAGAATAAAGATTGAGTTAAAAAGCTGTTTACTCTTAAAGCATAAATTTGGGATAAGGTGTAACTTGATTATGACAATTCCTTTCCAATGACGTTCTAGTAAATGAAACATAGTTTACGAAAACTGCAAACCCAAGACTTGTATAAAGATCATTAACAAATTATCATAAAATCTGTCACATACTACCACGTAAATAAACCTATTGTAATATCGTAGATATCAAAATGGTCTTTAAAAATAATCAAAGTAAAGATAAACTTTTATTAAGAGTTCAATGAGCTCGTATTTATACTTTTACGAAGCTGTGTGTAAATTAATAGTAAATCCAATTGGGCTTTACTATTCAATCGTTTATCCATGTATTCTTATTCGTTCATAGCAATCTTTCCATTTTCACAATCTCCAATTTGTCTACTGAGCTCTATTATTGGATTTCTATTGTCTCTGTGATTCAATTGATCTGCGATACAACAACTACTTCATAAGCCAGATTGAGCGTTTGTTAAGGTAGCATTTAAGATGATGTACGTTGTAAAACATGCCAGCTTAACAATTATAAAAGTTTAAGTATAGAAAAAAGGTAATGTTGGGTTCTAAATTTAGTTTTCAACGAGATGATATTACCCATCCATTCTACTGGCAAATATTTAAGATGAAAATCTATTGCAATCTAATGTGATTAAAATTTGGGAATCGACTCACGTGAGCAAGAACGCTATGTCGGGTCAGGTACAAAAAAAACTCGATTCAAATTATCTAAGATCTCTTCCTGCATCTGTTTCAATGAATATAAGCAAAAATGTCTTGTTATTAATGATTTCTTCAGGAACAGCATACTTTTACCAAAAATTATCATATATGAAGAACATAATACTTGTAATAAATCGGTAGTATGATTTAATAAAATAAAAAATAAAAAATAAAATAAAAAATAAAACAAAGTACATAAGTACGTTTAGAATTCCTTTATAAATTTATTGACCAAGATGTTAAGATAATAATTTGGGGTCTATTTATACTAAATGACAGCTGGAAACTAATTTCATATTTGACAGTAATTAGTCATCAATAAATTTCTTCTTTGACTGTCGAATACACAAGTCAAGTTTGTGTTCTTATGTCGGAATGGGTATATTCAGATCCTTTCAATATCACTGGATCTTGTTACTTTATTTACCGATAGATCTGTGATACAGACTATTTCCATTTATGTCAATTACATCTACTTTTATTACGTATACGCTATGTGGTTTGGCACAATACTATCAAGAAGTAAATCTTTTACGCACTTTAATGCATATGATTAGCGTCCCTCTTTAAATTAAAAGAATGTAGACCTTCCTTCTTTTTACAGAGGCGAATATTACCAAACTTAGGAGAATTACACAAAAGCTATATTATTTTGTGGCTTAGATATTTTAATTTTTGTTTCCATGAGGACTTACGTCACCGTCATCCCCAGAGCAAAAAAACATCTATTATTATTTTTTAAAACGCGTATTTTTTTTTTCTTTTTTTCTTTGCGAAACTATTATTGGAAAATGATTCAGCTGCTTTTCGTTGACGTGTAAGTACGAAAGAGTATTTTCAAGTAAAGATGTTTGCACATTTCTAATGTACCAATTAAACAAATAGATTCCTCTGTGCTCTGTTTTGCTTTGTTGTTAAAGTGGTTGTGTTTTTACTGTTGGAAAAGCTTGATAACTTCTTCTCGTTTTTCTGGCTTAGGGGTACAGGCCAATGTTTGCCCATTGACAATGACATTGTGGGAGAAATCCCCAATGCCGTCGTGCCTCCCCTCATTTCCACCACCACCACCATTAACTACTTTCCTGTTGTTTCTTTGGAGCCTATTGCTCCCACACAACCACAAACAACTTTCGGTTCTCTCCGTGAGGTTGGACCAAGTCGAGATTATCTCGCTTCTCCACCACGCGTAGAAAAGGAGTTCCGTTGCCTTGCTCTCTGGTGTGCTTGCCTTGTCGGTGGTCCTTGTGCTGGCCGTGACTATGTGCCTTCACCTCCCAGTGAGTATGGTTTTGTTTCACGTAGTTCTGTTCCTTCTTGGGCATATGCCTGTGAGTACATTACTCGTGCCTGGATGCAGGAAAACAATGTTTTCGGTGCCCCAGTGTCTTCGGTCGTCAACCGACCAAGAGAGCAAACCTACTTGGCTTCCCACGCGGTTTCTTTCCTCTTTAGGGATAACGCGTGTTGTGCGGTTTCTTCCTCGTATGAGGATAACGCACTTTCTACGGTTTCTTCCCCTGCTGGGGATAACGTAGCTCAAGCGGTTTCTTCCTCTTCTGAGGATAACGCTTCTTGTGTGGTTTCTTCCTCTTATGAGGATAACACACCTTCTGCGGTTTCTTTCCCTTATGGGGATAACGCAGCTCAAGCGGTTTCTTTCTCTTATGAGGATTACGCTTCTTGTGTGGTTTCTTCCTCTTATGAGGATAACACACCTTCTGCGGTTTCTTTCCCTTATGGGGATAACGCAGCTCAAGCGGTTTCTTTCTCTTATGAGGATAACGCTTCTTATGCGGTTTCTTTCCCTTATGGGGATAACGCATATTACGATGATGTAGGAGTTGCTTCGGTTTCTTCCTGGTATCCAGAAAGTACAACCTCTCTCGAGAGGGCTGGTCGTCATACCTCGGTATGTCGTCCTCGTACAGCTGGCATGCGCCATCATCGTCTTCGTGCTGGACGTGGTTTGTATAGACCTAGTCCTTCACGACGCCATTATTATGGCAAACTTCGTCTTCGTGCTGCTTTGTTTGCTTGTTTTCAAGCTACAGAGACTATCGACGTTGACGTCGTTTTTTTGAATCCAACAGCTGCTGAAATCGATGATGTCTTCCCTGAACCTATGGAGATTGACTCGTTTGGGGAGTCTTTCGAAGTAGTGGATGGTTTGGCTGAATCTGTAGAGGCCGAAGAGGCTGTTGGTAATGGGTTTTGTGTTGCTCCTGTCTCTGTTCCTGAGGCAGTTTACGATGATCATGTTCCCGATCAGTTCGTTGAGCAAGATGCAGTGGACATCAACGATCTTAGCACAGAAGCTCCCTCTGATGCTAGCGATGATGGCTCATCTGTTACTGAATACGCTGTGAATTCAGATGTGGAGTCAGTCCCTGAAGAAGTATCTCATGATGCTTCTGACGGCTTCATCCCTTACAGCTTTTTCTCCGATTCTTCTTCTGCTTCTGGTTCGGTCTCTGGTGATAGAGACGAAGAAGAGGGTTTTTCTGTAGTGGCAGGCGTCCCTTGAAGAGAAGTTTTGGCTTCTTTTTGTTTTCCTTTGGTGGTAAGATTTTGTCTGGTTTGATCAAACCACTGAAGCCAATAATGAGGTAGAGAAGAAGGAATCACGCGAAGAAAAGTAAGTGGAATTGATTCATCGGGTGGAAATCAATTGGGAAGATTTGGTGGAGTCTTCTGCTGCTGGTAGTAGTTGTCTTTGACGTATTTGCTTTTTCCTAAACATTTGGAAAAGAAAATATGAATGACTCTATTCATCATCATTCAAATAACGTCTTGGCGACATCCAGCAATTATCAAGAATAACAAGATAAATTCTTGGTATAGTATTTTACGTGAAAGCAATATTTTGCAGTGTATGACTATTGATCAAGATCCTATATGCTGCACTATAAGAAATTTACAAACAACGCTTATACGGAAGGTGTTACAACATAGTCGCAATAGCTAACAACTTTAAAAGAAACATCCAATCGTAGAACCTATCGTGAAAGAAATGACTGAAAACAACAAAAAAATTAACTAAGGTCAAACGACCAAAGATCTAATAATCGAGTTTAAAACAACAACCAATTATATAACAACAAATGATATAACAACAACATCAAAACAAAAACCAATATTGAAAAGACGGAAATCTTCAAAATACCCATCCATGTTTGCTAAACTACAAATTTGCAATATGGCCCAAGTCTGAGCGATACAACCTTACGCAAGCACAGCTGAAATTGGGAGATTTAACAAAATTACGGGCCAATAGATATTAGCGGTGCAAAAGCAAGTAATAACATCAAGCATGTAAAAATTTACTATCAACATAAGCAACTATTCAATAGAATTGCATGTTATTCACGGCTGCTTGCTACGAACACCCACCTAACAAACATGGTATAATCCAAATCAAGGTATCTCAATGGACACTTGAAATTTCGTTGAATTTGAGGCAAAAAAGATCAACGATGAAGAGACACGCTTCAGTTTATACTGATACAAATGTAAGTATAATTATGGCATCTTCATAAAACGTTTGAAAGTTAAACTTTTTGTAATTTAGACAGTTGATGACTACATATTGAAAACCGTAGTAAATCAAACTAATGGGAGTTTAAAAACAGTCATCGTACAATATTTAACAAATACGATGCCGTTTATTACCAGCATGCCTTTTGCTTCTACTAGCTTCTACTAGCAGAAATTTATAAATCAACATTGTACCAATTTTACAAATACATCGTGGTTTAGTAAAAGCATCAAAATTAGCTTTTACTAGGGAACGCCAAGAAATTAACAAAATGTATGAAAACCAGACGAGAAAGTAACTTTATTTATTACGAGGCACGTATCAATGTAATCCAGGGATCATTCTTATGCTGACTAATTCTTTAGGCCATCTTTAATTTGTCAGCGGATGTCTAAAAATAACTGATGGGTTAAAGATCTTCTTGTTATATTTCAAAACATCGAACTCAATTGTAGCGAAGATCACAGTAAAAGTCTCCAATGAGTCTTGTACTAGTAACACCAACGAAGAAGAAATTATCTGTTGCTATAAAGAGACTTGAACTGGATCAAGCAGCATTAGTTCTAGAGAAATTAAAAAACAATCTTTACTTTATTAAAGACAGTGCTAATATCAAGCTCCAAATGAAAGGTAAAGCGAAGCATAATGTCTTGTGACGTTTTTATACTTATCTTCTTAGACCTCTTTAGCTTTACCGATGATCCAGAAACAAAACACCTTTAAAAAAAACAAACTCCTTACGTTTTGTCAGCGGCTAATCTTCTGTGAAATAGTCGATTAACACAAGTATAAATACGAGACAGAAAAAAGATGAACTTTATTAAAAATAGGATAAAACCTGATATTTAAACCAGGCTCGGAACTTCAAATAAAGAAGTCCCAAGTATATGTATATTATACTTCAACTACAACATTCTGGAACAAAGCAGTTTTGACTTGCTGCATAATTCCAATCATGATACGCTTTCATGCAATACATTCTTTACACCACCCAGATGTAAAGTAAAAGTAGCATAAGTGATAACAAATACATAATAGTAATTAACACGTTTTACAGTTTGAATAGAAACTGGGTTCTTTATTCGACCCATGTACAAACATGGTCCAGAAATAGCAAAAACATCTTACTTTGCAGCGGTGATATTGAAGATGACGAATATAATTTATCGTCTAGTTTGAATCATGGTCTGTCTTCATATCTGCATGTTTAATGCCACAAGTTGCAAACCAACGGTAAACTACCAATTAAATACAAGAACGACAAAATTTACTCAATTGAGCAGTAACTGGAAATCCCGCTAAACCAAACATCCAATACGGTTCAAAAAAAATTTGTTATCAGTGGTACCGAAAAAAGCAAATTCGTCAAGCCTCTAATTATTATGAGGATACGTTTTCCGGTAACGGTGTTTTCATACAATCAGCTACCAACCACAAATGAAAGATAACCTGTGTGATTTGAAACCGATTTTTATAAACTCCGTCAGACACTGTGTCATTTCGCTGAACTAAGCAATAAAACGGTTCCAAAAAAAATTCAACAACTTGTTTAAGTGGGTTTGAAGTCAAAAACAAATTTTATCGCGTTGTCATCAATTGTATTAGTGCATCGTTTCACACAACCAATCCATAGGATACGTCTCATAACAAAAGGTAAAGCGAACCAAATTTTTAAGATAATACGTTATACTAATTATGCTTATTAGGACTACTTATCAGCGCCGATACGGATGAACGCAAATACTGTTGTCTCTTGTCAAATACCCCGGCGGGTGGTTTGCCACATAATATTGGACGTTTGGGTAAGCATACTATTTTTTTTTAAAAACAGGCGAAGCTTGGAATCATGGTTCTAATTCACATTGTCATGTAGATTCAGGAATTAAAAAAAACAAAGTTTACACATCTTTTCCTAATTCCTAAGCATAGTATATTTTTGTAAATAGGAGTAGTCTTACTATAAATAAAATTTACTAGCCTTAAATTGTACATAAAAAATCCTTTTTTAATAGCATATGGTTGATTTTCACACACTGCCACTTTTAAGGGTTAATGTCTTCATTATAATTTTACAACTGCAGTTGTTTCAGGCAAAAAAAAAAAAAAAAAAAAAAAGAAGGCGTGAGCATTTCGGATGCATTACACTGTTAAGCTGACTATTTTTCTTGCCAAAGTGTATTATAAAAGGGGAGTAATTAACCAATGCTTACGATTAATAATTGTTGAAATGTTAAGAACATCACATTAGTACGACAAACGATTTTAAGTAAAGTTGTTCTTCAAAGGATAAAGAATAGAGCGGATGGTAAATAAGAACAGAAGTAAAGAAAACACCCTATTTGAATGAGAATTTTTTTTTTGTAATCTCCAAAGAATATAGTCGAAATAAACGACTAGACATCTATAAGCAGGCAGCCACTTTTTTGAATTGGAACCAATGGCTAAGTTAGTTATCATTTAGTGTTAACAGAATTATTCGCTCAAACTGATAGGATCAAGCGTTCACAGACGACCTTTTACCCAGACATCAACGGATAGTTATTTACAAGCCGTCTGCTGTTCTTCCGCTCGAATTTGCTACATTACTGATTTCGATGCCATGTTTTATGTAGACGTCAGACAGAAATAAAAAAAAAATTGATGTTGAGCAAATAAGGGGATTATCTTTCCTTTTAAGCTTTTCGTGTACTTGGTTGTTTCCCAGGCCTAGATACCAAAAGCGTAACAGATGTTGATTTTGGCTTTTGCTTGGATATGAGAATCATAAAACCTGCGGAGATAACTGTTTAAATGTTTTTGGCATTGACGATGTATGCTAGATGTCGAAACTTTCAATTAATCCCAGCATATAAATAATTTAAAGGCAACCGTTAGGTGGTCAATAAATTTAGGAGAAATAAATAAATAAAAAAATATTCGTTAGTAATCAAATCTGTAATTTATAATGTGGGTTACAAAAAAAGAATCATTGTCGACACTAAGATGGCCTACTATTCCCACTGGTAAAAGGAAATGAAGAGAGAAGATGCAGTTAGGCGTACGTCGAAAACGTCAGCTTCACGCCTGGTACAAACTTCAGCCGCAACATAACCAACTATGTGTAATATATTTTTTTCAACCAACCTGTTTGATACTATCAATTCAATTTCTTTTTTAACGAGGGGGGACACAATTTCAACATAGAGCCGACTTACTGTATCTGCAGGGGAAGAAATAATGCATACAATGGAACGCTTGTTCAAAACAAAATAGGCAACACACTACCTTTTCTTTAAATATCATTACAAACCATTGTGGATGCTTCGACCAACGAATAACCTGCGTCAGTGCAGCACGTTATATCGGTCAATCTATATGCCACAAGTGATCCAAGAGATTATATCCTTTTAAATCTGCAAATGTTATCCAAAAAGCGCCTTCCATGGGGCACATCCGATATTGCTTGAATAATATCGCTGGCTGTAACAGTACATACTATTCGACCCTTGACTATTCGATTGCAACAACTACCACAGTGGCGGACTATGTGGTAAAAACCCGCAACATGTGGTAAAAACCCGCAACATTAGGTGGTAAAAACGTCCATTTTATACCACCTAATGCTTCGGAATTGTAGTACACTTACCACCTCAGGTGGTAAAACTCCAAAATTTATACCACCTAATGTTGCGGGTTTTTACCACATGTTGCGGGTTTTTACCACCTAATGTTGCGAGTTTTTTCCGCATGTTGCGTACTTATACCACTTTTGGCCAATTTGAAAGGCGTGAACAGACTTTTTCTACAAAAAGTCCACATATATTACATTTATGAAGATAGAAAGAGTTAAATTGCTTGTTTTCATAAACTACCTCAACATATGTGGACATATTTTGAAATTGTAGACTTGGTTTTTACGGGAAATCTTTTCGAAAGCACAAGTTGCTACCTTTGATAGACTGGCGAAATTTTTTCTTATCGTATCCCTATCAGATGAGTCGGAGATCTCATCAACACTTATCATTCAGAAGAGTTTGATAGCGACAATTGATAAAAAATCATGAAGAAATTTGTTTTAAAGGATACCCAGCAATCATAAAATATCCAGGAGTATCAAGGAAAAAAAAACTACAGTTGAGTAAGTGAGGAATGAATGGGTACGGCTTGTTATTTTTCGCTTCGTCATTTGTTGTCGTCATGGCATAGATGTCATATATGTGGGACGTTTCAAAAAATCCAAAAGCCTCTCGTGTTTCTATGACAGTCGAGCGTTTATACCAGAGAATTACGCGGATCCGATCCGCCTCTTACATGATCCAATCAATTATTTAGAAGTGCAAGACAAACAAAACAATAATGAGAGGTGAAAAATTATGTTAGTATATTAAAAAAAGTAGTTTACTCCATACCTTTCATCATACATAGAGTATCTGCATAAGTCGATGCTGTAACAAGGCAAGTATCAAGTTTTTGAACTAGGTTTCGAGTGGTCTGAATAAACGAACTGTTGAATGCAGTACATTTTATTTCTTTCTTAAACTGATCTAGGAAAGGCCAATACAGCATTAGTTATAAACAAGTGCCCTCGTAGTGAGAAAGATTAAACTAAACCTTAATCCTCATTGGGTTTTAATTTTTTTTTTATATATAAACAAGTTTTTTTTTTTTTCTTCTTTCCCCCAAACAAAATTTTTCTTTTAAAAAATATAGTAAGTACATGGGAACATCCCATCCTTATAATGAACTAAAAAGGTACTAGACATATTGTTATATCCCGCTGGTTGTTATGGCTTAACTTACTACTTTATTTTTTGCGTATAAGGTTGCTGTCCACTTCAAATACATGATTGTCAACTACGGTGTAAGTCTATTTAAAAACTTGAAACTGTGTTTATATTTTCTAGATAACAGTATCTTTATTAGTTTGATTCAGCTTTATTAAAGGTAAGTCATATACATAGTTAGGTACCACTTCTGCATCTGTCAGTCTCCATATACCACCAGGACAGCCGAAACTTTACTGTGTATGGTGTCCGGTTTATGTGATGTTGTTTGTCATCCTTATAGTACACATCCCTACAAATAGGTGTTCCATAGTTTCTGTACATGTATAAATTATTCACCGATTATTTCGTTATTAAATAAAAACCATTATAAACATTATTTTTGCCCGTTATATTTTATTATATCCAATGTTATTTTTTGTAAAAACCATCTAGTATTGCAAGGGTTAAAGCCCTAGTTTAATAAACATTTAAAAAATATCCTCCAATACCAACTCATTAAATAATAAGGTTATGATGTTTTCATTCGCCGGAAACAGGAAGTAGCGGTCGGTTTTCATGCAAGAATGGACCGCGACCTCTGGTCCAGGTACAAAATAATTACCGCGACCGCTGGTTCAGGTACAAAATTATGTACCTCGACCTCTGGTCTAATTTTTTCGCGGTCCAAATCATACTTCTACCGGAAAAATTTTTTGCGGTGGACCTTTTAATTTTGCTCATTTTTCAAATCAGTGTAAACTTAAGTATAATACTTAATTTTTTTCGTTTACGTTCTTTCTTCAGTGGTCCATTACGTGCATTGTATTCCAAACTAGCTACTGATATTACTTTATTAGGAAGGTAGATAGTTTATTCTTGAAAGCGGTAATTCTCTCTTGTTTGTTTTCCTTTCGATTCGGTGCCAAATGGACATGACGGAGCAAAAGCAATGAAATATTCAGCATCCCATTACAAAGGTACCGTAGTGTCACACTTGTTCTTAAAAACATTGGTCGAATATATTACCAAACTCATCTTTATCACATATCTAAAAGCTGAAGAAAAATTCAATGTAGTTACTCATATCTACGAATCAAAATTTTCAAAATTACCCTAAGCCCACAGTGAACACCTCTCATGGTTGGTTGAACATAAAGAGAGCACCATTTAAAGATGAAAGTGGAAAAGCTGTAAAATGCTTCCACTCCAGACAAAGCTAACAAAAAAAGTCCTGCCAAAACATTCATACTTTGAACGTACGTCAGACTCTCTATCCAATAAACATTTAGTTGATTGCAAACCATAGTAGCATGAGAATTGTTTTCTACAGCAGAAATTAAAGTTGGTTAAACGCTAAATACAATTTGTATCATGAAAAATTACCATTATTCACCCTGACAAACGTATTTAACATTCTAATCAACAAATCTTCTCTGACATTTCCAGTAAACTTTGTATCTGTCGAGAACGTTCTAAACGTATCATTTTTTATATTACCAGCAAGCGCAGTTGGGCCATCTTTGAGCAAACCAGCATAATCCTCCCAGGATGTTTGATAAACACCTAGAAGTGATTTTCATACGAGACTCTTAACTGTATTTTTTTGTGTTATAGTCTTTTTCCATTGGTTAAGAGCCCTTTTTTTGGATTCGGTTGCTTTGATTATCTCTGCTGTACATGGATTTGTCATTTAATACTGCCTCAAGTCAGCTATACTATCCTGGACAGAAATAGAATTCTGATGTTGTCGAATTAATATACGCGCACAGTTTTATCATACCAAATAGAAATATAATTCAGATTATCTACAGACATGTTAAAATAATAAAAGAAGAGGGGAAACGAACAGTAAAATAATGGGGAACGTCTTTTATATACGAGCACAATAAAATGCAACACCTTTACTTTTTTCTCTTGTCGAAACCAAAACGATGATGTAGCTGCCCGTTGACTGAATTTGCGGATATTATACATTGGTATCGTAAAAACTGAACTATTCTACGTTTACTTACTATAATTCAAGAGCTCGATACATACAATTATAGTGCCCGTTATCATACCCAATTACACCAATAATTTGCCTCAATATACATGAGGATGTCGTGGGACTTTTGTTATGTAACAGCCAAATATATAAAAGTATTATTTAGAGGGTCAAAGATAATTTTATTATGATTGAGGTAAAAGCTTGTCTTAAATATCAACAAACTTTGAGTGACCTATGTCACGACAAGGATGCCAAATTCTTAGTTCACTAAAAGAAAAATCTTTTAGATCCATCCTTTACAGGGCGAAGACCTGATTTGGCGGCGTAAAGGACCCTACCCCTCCTATACATAGAGTTGAACTACCCAGGGGATAGCATGTTGTGAACCATGTTTTACCTCACAGAAAAAGGCGCGCGCCAAAGCACTCTAGCGATTTTATACCCTATGCCCAAATCAAACGTGATCAAACAAAGAACCAGCATATACAACATACACGTATTATTAACAGGATAAGGCGGGTTCAATGTCTACATCCCAACACTCAGCCCAATTGGACTATAATGAATGCAATCACCGCCACTTTCATCTCTTGTCCTGAGACTTTTACATCCCTGATCTGAGGACCTGCAGCAAGAAAGTGACAAAGAACGGCTGGATCCAACTAAACAGTGACTCCCAACGAACGTTGGCCTGATAAGGAATTGTCGAAGGGGTATGAAGTAGCCAGTAATAGACCCCGCAACTAGTGAGTTTGCACGAACGTTGGCCTGATAAGGAATTGTCGAACAGTAACAAGAATTGTCAGAACAAAACAAAACCTTGTCCCTCACTAAGAACGGGATGGGGGCCCCGCATGCTCGAACGTTGGCCTGATAAGGAATTGCCGAGCAAAAACAAGAATTGGTCTGTCCCTCATTAAGAACGGGAAGAAGATCCCGTAATCATTGCGCTTACCACGATAGTTAGCCTGATATGGACTTATCGCCCAGCAACAATGGGTGAGCTTGCACGAACGTTAGCCTGATAAGGCATTGTCGAACAGAAACAATCAATGAGCTTGCACGAACGTTAGCCTGATAAGGAATTGTCGAACAGCAACAAGAATTGTAAGAACAAAACAAAACCTGCTCTCAATAAGAACGGGAAGGAAGACATTGAGATCATCAACAGCTTCCCGAGTTAGGGTTAGGGTTATGTTAGGGTAATGCACAGTCAAATGAGTGAAAAAATAATAGTATGAGAACCAAGGAGAAAAAAAAAACCTGGACAGTAACGTGAGAGTGTATTTTTGAAAAAAGAAGTCACGGATTGTGTGCCTGCGTGCTCCCCCCCCCCCGCACATTAAAAGTGAATTTCGTGCATTTTTTATTTTTTTTATTTTTTTGTTCAGTCAAATCATAAAACTCCTAGTCGTCTTTTCTTAGCTTTTTTCTTAAAGGACTAACTCTATTCAAATACTTTTGTATCATCAACTCTTTATTTGTTCTATACGTGCCACTAAAACTAAGGAATCGTACAAATCAACGTGAATTACTATCGTATAGCAAAAGAACACAGCTTTTTAAAAATTTGGGAAGTTGTTAAGTGGAACTCATCGGATGATTAGACTGCATTTGGACGATCGGGAAACAAACTCTCTCTGACTTTATTTACAACGTAAGAAGCGTAACCTCTCAATACAACGAGATATCAAGGAGGAATATGTTATCTTGGGATCAAAATTAAGTCATGTTAAGGAGAAGCTTTACTGCTTTTACCCATCTGTATACAACTCTCTTAATCAACGATAAAAGTCAAATAACTGTTTAGACACGGACAACGCTATACACCTTTCATTACCTAAGAAGGCTTGGATTGTACGAACAAAATATGACCAATTCTTCAGATAAGGAAATTGCCAGCAAAAAGAGAGATCCACAGATAGACGCTGAAATTCAAATACACAAAAGGTTTCACAACTTTGGACATTTGAAGACATGTATGATTTAAAAGATGTAGTGACGATAATTGGGATGAAGGGTGTGGATTCGAACGCGTAATTAGAATCTGTTCAAGATCAATATGATGAGGATTGAGTTGGAAAAAAACAGGACATATGCTCATCCAAAATGTATTCAAGAGGATTATACGGACCACTGGATGACATGAAATCGGGAATAATCGATTAACAATCATGTAAACTTAAAGTCGATTGCCACTTGAGAAGAAAATACTACCCACGCACCTTTTTAAAAGTGGGATGATGATATGCGCTGCGGGAGGTGACAATATTGGATATACAACCTAAACTGAGCTTTTCACTATGAGTATGAATGTGTTTAAACTGGATATGGCGGCAGTAATAACATCTCATCTTGATGAATCCTTTACTCTCTGCAGGGGCAAACATGTCATAAACCTCAATTAGCATGGTTGTCATTATTATACATCTGTAAAAAAAACACCTATCTTAAGAATCCAATGGCAACGATGTTGCTGTCTCATCCTTGATACAACAAGGACGCTTTAAAAAGCGGTATAAATGAAATGGAGTTGAACTCAGACGATTAAATGGGATACATACTACGGCTGGCCCTGGTGTGACATTCAATATTGAGCTTTATCAAAGTTTACCTTTTCAAGTTGTCTTTTACTATTATAATAGGTTTTTTTCAATTATACCTGTCAACCTCTTCCGATTCATTTTCCATACTATCTTTCCATCTTCAAATTTCCTTCGGTATGTGTACCTTGAAGGACACCGTAGTATGTTTACTGTTTTTCAAAATAAGTGAATTTAGATAATTGCATGGTTGTTAAAACTAAAGGATAATGAATAATGAATTCTACTTTGTATTATACTTAGCATCTTTTCAGGTCATCAACAGAATGACTTAAAAGCCCTCTGGGTGGTATAAGAAAAAAAATTGACATGAACAAAGACGCCTTATTAATATCTTTTCCTTTCAGTTCTTAATAACGGTAGCTAGCAAAATGCTTGTATTTATCCCAGTGAATTCTCTAGAAGCAACACGTTTCTATGACCCCAATTCCACAGTAAACTCATCGACAGCGTTGTCTTTGCATTAAATCACTGTTTTTTAAAAAATTTATAAAAACGTAAACAAGCACTTAATTATATTATTACTCACCTTTCTCCCTTCTCTATACAGACTGGAATCGCAGTTGTCAAAGAGGTATTGATATAATAATAACAAAGGACACAATAAAAATAAGGTATAGTGATATGCAGGATGTCTATACCATTGAGCAGTGGATTCTTCTGTATTGGGGTCCTTCATTTTAAACATTCTCAAGACAAAAAATTGGCCAATCTACCATAAGCAAAAGAATATTACCTGATGATGAATCTCGGATTCGTATATCTGACTACCTTGATATCTAGCGACATCAGGTTCATCACGGATTTTAGAAAGAAGTGTATTCTCGATTCTGATGTGTCTGACATCCGCAACAAGGCAACACGCTACGATCCAGATTTTCCCGGGTCAATAAGCATTTACTTTAGTTAAATGGTACATCATGAGCTGAGCGTTTAGCTGGGAAGTGTTATAATAAAAAACCAAACCGCAAGACTTTAATTGCAGAAAGTAATTAAGTGCCATATCCCTTTCGAGTATGTTTAAAAATGAGAACACAATTTTTGCCTCATTGGATATATTGTGAAAGCCAAATCAAGAAGTCAACAGCGTTTTTTTTTTTATTGAACCAACGACCTTTTATTCTCACAACCATATACAGTTTTGACACTATAAATTCAGACAAACATAAGTTAAAATTCAGATAAATACAAAAATCTGAGCTTTTTTTTTCAGACGAATCAAAATTTAGTGTTCAGAAATTTTAGAACGGGTAATACCTGCATTAAATAACTAAAGCGATAACTTTAGTGGAAAATTATTTTCTTTCTGCTTTTTCTCGACTAAACAAAGCGGGTCGTTTTCCAGTTTCCCTCAAATGGTTCAGTATTTTTTTAAAGTTTAAAGCCGCAGCCAAATCACGATTCCACATTCTTCTTGCAACAATACCAGATGTATTCTCCATTTTTCTGTAACAAGCAATGTTCTTACACCTTATAAATGATTAGATAATTTCTTGTCAATGCAGATTTTTAAATTAATATCACATACCGAAGTAATCCATGACATGTAATGGTCGGCATTTTTCGTCTTTGATATGGTCTTGGATTCACTATGGTTTTGAACTTTTCCAAAGGACTTTCGCATGTAGGACAAAAAGAAGACGTCTTGTATTCGTCAATTAAATATAGTTTAAATACGTTCTTCTTTAACATATCAATTAACCCTTTATTCCTAGTTGGCTCTTGAAACTTGACGTTTGGTGCTGACCAATTTCCAAGTATCAGCGTTGTATTGGATCCAAACTTGTTTTTCAGCTTTCTAACTAATTGAGCATCATTTTTGTCAAAGTACAGTTTGCTAGAAAACTTTAGTTTACGGAATGGCAAAATCTGTAGCTTTTCTAAACGTTGGCTTGCACGATTCCTCAATAGATCCACTTGACCTGTTTCTGACATAATTTTAAGTATTTCTGCTTTTTCCGTGTTATTCAAACGTCTTTTCACATGATTTTGTTGCATCATAATATCCAAATAAGTAGCATACATTTGGATATTAGTAAAATCATCAGGAGGAGCTTGGGGTTGGGGGTAGTAGCCTCGAATTCTTGTCACATACAAATTCCCAAAATACAATTCACCTTTGTTGGTCACTTTGAATTCAAAGCACAAATCAGGAAAATATACTTGTGTTGTATTGTAAGTTTCGTTTCCATAATACTCTCTTAATAGAATATCGACAGATGCTCTTTCTTTGATATAGTTGGAATAGTTTGTTATCTTTACTGAAAAGGATTCGATTTTTGACAAAACCACCTCAGCAGCCTTAATAATTACAGGTTTTGTTTTTTCTCTCAAAAGTCTGAGATGTCTTTGCATTTTTGTTCTATTCATCTTTGTATATATCAAAGTTTGCTTATCTTCTGTTTTACTAGTTTCCTTGAGGCAATACATAAGATCACGTCTTCCAGGATCTATAAGAACACAGTTTCCTTCAGTCCTTCTCAAGTCTGACTGGCTAACCTTCTCTATATACTCTGTTTGATCAACAGTAACCTTTGTTGTACTCTTTGCTTTGGATGTCTTTCTGTTGGTATTCATATTTTGTTTTATGACTGATATACCAACTCCATCTGTTTCGATAGTCCCTTGAAATCGTATAGATTTATCAAATTCCTTGGTTCTTGAAAACCTTGTTCTGAAGGTTAACTACATCACCCCATGTGTCAAACTTGTTCTCTGCTTTTAGTTGCGACGTTTTTTTGAGAATATGATGATGGATTATTTTGCTATCCAATGTCATATAACAAGGAATAAAAGTAGTGCGTAAAGGAAAACAGGTAAACATTTTCATTTTTTTCGCTTCAAACATTACAGCTAGTTTAAAAAAAGCCTTGAAATGGTTCTCTGGTCTTGCCTTTACGTCATAATAAATCGAATTTCTTTGGAACGAGTAGTTCTCTGTGTAACGTGCGTAAAACATAGCCAATTCTTCTAAAGATTGAGCATCTAAACGACCTCTCTCTGGAATCTCTTTTTTGCAATGGCTTGCTTCACCTGGTTGCATGGCTGATAAACCTCTTTCCGGATAGCTGTTTTGATGGCTTGCTCAGTATAACCATTTGCTTTCAGTTTCTCACGAAGATTGCTTGCTTTTTCATCCTTCTTAAACAACTTGTTCACAAAACTGCGTAATCTATTTCCAAAATGCGCCTTCAGGTTATTTATATACGCTGTCTGGATTTTAGTACACTCATATAAAGCAATTTGTTGAGCGTTTGCAAGTGGGATAGGTGTATATCGAGCATTTGTACAATATTCCTTCTTGTATTTGAGAATTATCTGTCTATATTTTTTGGTTATATCCTTAAGTCTTGAGGAGTTTACGACTTTAGTCTGAATAAGGCTTAGAAACACTTCAACAAAAAATCTTTCTTGATAAATTCTTTGAAATCAAAGTCGTCATCCGATTGCAGTTCTTGAATAAGTATGTATTTAATAAAAGCAAATGTGTGCGTTACTAAAATGTTTGTTGTATTGACTAAATCATATAATGGCTGTATGTATTCTTGTTTCCAAATACTTCTTACAGTGGTTTTAACGGCCATTATACGGTTGGGTGTAGCATTAGAAGATTCATGTGGTTCATTACTCTTTTTAACAGATTTTAGAACAATTTCAGGATCAACAGAAGTTGTAGATGAGTAAGAAGCCTTAGGTACAGAAGGAGAAGAAGTATCCCTTGACTGGACAGTCCACGAAACAGGATTATCTGTATTATCTGCTTGTTTGCTTGCTTCACCAGCGTCATATTTTGTGGTGATATATATTGATGAACTATCTATATCCATATCTGCTTCAGCATCATTTAAATTTTCATTAATGTTTTGAAAACTAGAAGTGGAAGCAACTTCAGTGTCTACAGCTTTGCCTTTTCCTTTGAACTTTTTTCCAGGTTTAATATTTCCTGTACTATCTCGAACTATTAAGGAGAGTTGTTTAAATTTAATAAGACTTTCACATGCATTTAAACTAACAATAACGCATACTTGTTCTTTTTCTAGTTGGTATGATGGGCTGGAAATCATCATCACTTAAATTATTTAAAAAGGATCTTTGACATTCAAGCAAATCTGTAGGCACCTGTGAAGTTGATCCTATCAATCCATACATTATGCTGTCAGTACGATTAAACTGTCTTATAGTATTATGATATACCTTCACTATCGTTTATTTCAATATTTTTCCCTTTCCCTTTCATTTGTTTGAAGAAAAAAAAAAAAAAAAAAAAGAAAAAAGTGATCAAATATTCAAAATCAAAAAAATCCAGACTGATAACCGCCACACTGGTTTTTTATATTTGTTGTTGTTTATATTACGTACTCATATTACGTACTCTGTTCCCAATTTGCTCTTCTTGGTTGTTTTTCGTTGGGATAGTTCCCCAATATCCTGCTTATTTTTCTTATAAAATGATGATGGTAATATCTTCCTTAGAAGAACTTTTCTTTACTTTATTTCTCAATTCAAGTCAAGGCATTTATTCTTTTTTTTTTATCTGAAAGCCCAACCAGTAGTGGTAATGAGTGTGTAATTCATGTTTTATTCCTCGTTCTACTGCTAATGAGATACTTAAACAATCGAATAAAAGTAATGTGACTCTGGCTCCTATTACGTGTGTAAACCCACCCCAAATTTGTTGGGCTAAGTGAGCAAATAACTGTAAGATCACAGCGCAACAATCATAGTTTCTCGTAAATTTGGTTGACAAAAATCCGACTCTCATTAAAAGACTCGCATGGAAAGGTATGCCAAGAAAACAATGATCTTCAATTTAACGTAATCACCGCTTGGAAAGCAGCTGGCGTAGACTTCCGAACAAATTATGTATTTATGGATGAGGCCGGCTAAATGCTCATAAAATTATAAGTAAGCATACTCAGTTAAGGGAATACCTATAATTATTCCTGTGCCACCTCAAAAGGATGAAAACCTCAGCATTATTAGCTGTATATCACCTTCGGTACGATCAATTTTTCGAAGGTGAGCCCTTAAAATCGGCTGATGTACCCGAAATTGAGAAAGAGTTCCCTTTGCCAGCTAGAAAAAAAGAAGAAAAGCTAAAGCTGATGATAAGAAGAGTGTAAATCCTTGAAAACCTACCACTGCGCATTATGTCGTAACTTTCGTTCGAAACGTCATGGATATTCTATACAGCCACAACAGGCATGGATTCTATATCGTCATGGATAATTGTAGAATTCATCATTCCCATTATGTTGTTGATGCCATCGAAAGTAGAGGCTATAAGCCTTTATTTATGCCCCCCTATTCCCCATTTTTGAATCCTATTGAGGAGTGCTGGTTCAAGATCAAGAAGCACATCAAAAGAAATCCGCTTTCCACTTTGGACACTTTAACCCCAAGAATTAAGGCAGCCTGTGAGACTATCACTACGGAAGATTGTAATGGTTGAATACGACACTCTGAAACGTACTGGGATAAATGCCTCAACAAAGAATCAAAACTAGTTTAAACTTTTACTTGTCTGAATTTTTATTAACATATTTCTGGAAATAGTTTCCCTTTGTCTGAATAATTTTTTACGTTTGTCTGAAAATATTTTTTTTTAGTCTGAATTTTTTTTTGAGCCTGTCTGAAAATAATTTTCAGCTGTCTAAATTTAAAGTGATAATACTGTATATTTGTAAGTTTCTACCATTTATAAATAAATCGCTACACAGTCTGGGAGATATCCTGAATCAGCACCACCACGAACCTAAAAAAAAAAAAAGTTCCGTGTGACCTAGTTTCCAATGGCCGATCATGTCAGAAATTATTTGATGCGGCCATTAGGTGAAAAAACGATTACATAAATATCGTAAGAATCACATGCACTGTTGTACAATAGATCATTGTGTATATAAACCCAAAAATATTTTTTTTAAAAAAAAGATTGCATTAAAAAAACTTTTTTGGTGTAATCTTGGGGATTTGGGATCAGTGCGCGTTACCAAGTAAGGGTAAAAAAAGATTTATTCCATAAAAAAAAAAAGATGATTAAGTTAGGCCTTGTACAAAAGATCCAAGAAACCCGCAGCCACATCATCAATAATGGTTTTATCAGGCACACTAGCAGCGGTACCGTAAATAGCAGCTGTGGATCCATTACCGGTTGATGGATCCTCCACCAGTCCCTGTACACATTCCTTAAGATCGCTCACAAATAAATCGGCACTTTTCACCCAAGGTAAAGTGGTGGAGATATGGAGTGCTGCAGGGTTTTGAAGTGCACTCAAGTTCCATCCACGAGCTGATAATTTGTCTCCCACATCATAGATATTAAGAGGTTCGTTGGCTCCAAATGAAAGTACAGGTCCAATAGGTTCTCCCTTTACATGAAGTTGTGGAATGGATCGAACACTAACATATAAAAAACATATATTATAAATACAACTTGGATCTCCTCACAATAACAACAACAATAACGAAAATTTTCTTACCCAGCTTCCATAATACGGCGAGCACCAACAATTTGTTTACATGTTTCGAGATAACCATCATCACCCATATGCATCAATGCTGACCAACAACCTGCAATTAAAGCACCAGGACTAGAGATAATAATAGAGAGTTAGATTTAGGGATTATGTCAGATTTTTTTTTCTATTTTGTTTACCGAGAGCCGGCAATACTAGGAGATGCATAGATACCACCTGTCCATTGGGAATACAAAAAGTATTGATATTTTCGAATGGTAGGATTACGATACATGATGATGGAAGAACCCTTGGCAGCAAAACCATATTTGTGGGTATCACAAGAGATAGAGGTAACGCCTTCCACTCTAAAGTCAAAGGGAGTGGTAGGGAATCCAGCCCTTTCCAAGTAAGGCATGATGAAACTACCAAGACAACAATCAACATGCAATCCAATGTCGTACTTCTTTGCTAGTTTGCCTAATTCGACAATATCATCAGCGATACCATGAGGAAAGTTTACGGCTGAACCTGCAATCTTTTAAAGGTATTAGAGATTGTGGTATGATTTTAAGTATTCTTCTTTTACCATGACTGTATTCTTTGTAATAGCTCTTTGCACTTTCTTAATATCGACCTTGAGAGTGACGGGATCAATAGGGACGGTTACAAGTTTGATCTTGAAGTAATTAGCAGCCTTCATAAAAGCAGCATGAATCGTCTCAGGCACAACCCTAAGCATAACAAAAAAAGTTAATTACTGTCATGATATAATTTTAAGGTTGCTTACATTTCAGGGTTATTAATACCCTTCAAATCTTTGTACATGTCACGGTATGTCTTACAAGCCATAAGGATACTTTCGGTACCACCACTTGTCATGGTACCACAGCCCGTGGCAGGAGCGTTATACATGGACAAGACCATTGAAACAGATTCTGCTTCCATACGTCTTACACCGGGAAAGATTTCTGGATGAAGAGGATTGGCAATGGCAAATATGCTATAGGCCTCACCCAAAATTCTCGTTAATTGTTCTCCTCCATGATAAATTGAGCCTGATACTTTTCCACTCTGCCAATCGGCTGCTTTCAGCGTTTGGAACCTTTTTATTTTAAAAAAAGAATCATTTTAGTACGATAACTACTATCACAGTCTTTTTTTTTTTTTGGGGAGGCGGGCGAACTGAACTTACTTGTGTAAACTTTCCATTACTTGTTCTTCGGATAATCCCTTTGCTGGTAAAGTTAAATTGATATCGCAACCAACTTCTTTTGACATCATGGAGTGCTCCATATCTGCTAAAGTACTTCCTAACGCTTCGTTAATTTTCGCTTGCACAGAAGGAAGACGGCGTAATTGCTTGAAAACGAGCTATTTTAGGCACAAATGGTTAGCTATTTCATCGTGTATATCCTATACTTGAGAAATTTGTTTACTTTACCTTGAAGATATATGTCTTGAAATCGTTGAAGGCTCTGGCAGGACCACCCACCAGCACCTTGTTGTAGGCCTTGGACCAATAATTTAATAAGACAAAGACAAACACGATATTCTTCAAGTGTTGTAAGTAGCGACTATCCAAAACATCGTTGGATAATCGAGTAAAACGGATTAATGCAGAAGGTTTTGAAGCTATATTAGCCATATTTGTAAGTAATAAAAAATAAAAATTGAAATAAAAAAAGAAAAAAAAGGAAGATAAAAAAAACAAAAGGTTTGTTTTATAAACCCAAAATTTCGGTCTTTAAAAGTCCGTTCAAGTGTGTGTGTATGTGTGAAACCCGCCTACCCCCAGCAAACACTGGTCAAACTTCTTACTCACCACTGCATCCCTTATAAATTCAGGTACATACTTTTTTTTTAAATAAAATAGAGATGGAGAAAGAAAAACACTGTAGTAGATTACCAACATTTTTTTTTCTCCGATACTTGGGATGCTAGTAATATATGTCACAAAAAAGAGAAGTACAATAAGGCGTGCGCATTAAGGCTAATTCGCATGATACATCGGGTGATCTTTTTCAAAAGTTTTTCAACATGACAACTGTTCGACCTATTCTGTAATACTGTCATTCAACTCCAAGAAGGTCACCTTGTCGTGCTACTAACAAGAATATGCCTCAATAAATGCCACAACTCCCACTTTAACATCCCAGGGATGAACCAAAGCACCTATACATGTATACAGATTGATCAAACCGATAAACTAAACTGAAAAAAAAAAGTAAAAGAAAGAAAGAAAAGAAATCATCTATTGAATGCGTGTTTATTGTAAAAAAAAGGAAAGAGATCTAAAGCACGTCGACATTGGAGATCCTTAATACAGTGTGAGTTTGCTTGTGTTCGATGGTACGCTTATAATTCTTTCTTCTCTTCTTCTTGACGATTTGAATCAATTTGCTCTTGGTATGTTCAATGACGGTGGCACTGATATCGAATACGTTTTCCGCAACATAAGGTGAGCCCTTTAAAGTATAATCCTTGGATCCTAATTCACGCACTTTATCCAACTTGAGCACATCGCCCACCTTGACATCCTTTAAACGATTGACAATAACCTTGTCATTCTTTGTGATTAAAAAGGGTCGTCCAGCAATCTCGGCGACTGCATAGTAACGTAACTGTTCACGAAGTTTTTCAATAGGTGCTGAGCTGCTTTCTTGTGCTGACGTTTGAACTTGACGTAAACTGTCTATAAAAATTTAAAATTAGTCTTTTTTTTTTTTTTTTTAATTATTTGACATTATTATTATTTACTTTGAATGGGTTGTTGCTTAACGAGAGAAGCAGAAGCTAGAAAAGATAAATAATTTGTTTAGACACTCCTCAAGTATTCATTGCATTTCGATTCAACCCCACTAGACTCCATGTTTTTTTCTGCCGCATTTATTTACCTCTGGTTAATGAAGAACCTAACCCTTTAAATAAAGTGGAAATCATGTCTATACTCTGGATACTTAAAAAAAAAAAAGAACAGGGCTGTCCATTAAAATTATTTGAGATGGGTTGAGGTGCGGGCAAGCGTGACTTGTAAATTCAATGTCACAAAAAAACCTAATTTTCTTGCATTGTTCTCATTCATTGATGTGCGTAGCATGCGTTGGGGGAGGGGTTACTTGAACACCCAGTATTTATGCGCAGAAAAGTATGTATTTTATCTAGGTCCCAGTCTTACTCGGATTCTCATTGCGCCTCAAGTCGAAATAATCAAATAAATTTATACCTTTTAAAATTCTTTACAGACTGAGGACCCTGAAAGAATAGACAATAGGATAGCTCTTTCTCAAGTTCACAATCACATGCAAGTCGCTATTATTTGCCCAAACTAATAGATGCCAAATGAGCTGTAATTATCTATTTATACCGGATTACGAGAGGCTACAGAGACATAGGACAATTCCACCTCTTGTCACACCAGGGTACAAAGTTCTTAATTTTCCATTGGATTCTGACATATGCATTACCCATATTTATATTAAATGGAACATATAGCTATACTTATCGGAAATAGTTCTGTCCAGTCAAATATGAAAAGAGGGAGAGAGAGAGGTTTATTTACATACATATTTAATATAAAAAAAAAATAAGGTGAGAGGAGCAAAGATAAAAGACATAGCTGAAAAGAAGTGATGGTAAGGAGAGAGAGAGAGAGCATAAAGTAAAGACATTTTCAATGCTTAAAAAGGAACGGGGTAAAGTTTACTTAATTTAAAGGCTTCATGCCTGCACAAGCAGTCCATACAGACTCAGAAGATTTGATAAGATGCTCCATATATTGCTCTTGGAATTCCAAGTATTGCTCATCGCTTGTCATTTCACAAATTTTGATGACGTAAGGCTTGCAAGAGTCTAAAGTGAGTCGAATGATGTAAAGGAACTCGTTTCGAAGTGGGTGAGTTTCTACAAAAAGAAGTTGGTAAGTGATTTTGTGCAAAGAAGTATTTAAAAAAACAAACTTTACTCAAGTTTACAATCTTCTCAACAAATTCAACAGGTGTATATCCATTATTTTCTAATAATGGAGTCAAATTCTCACAGATATTAGGGTCTTGATCATTTGCATTCAAGATGGATACAACTAAACAGAAATGGTTAGTTTCAAGTCATTTACCACATGGGAAATTACATGTTTTACCTTTGGTTGAGTAATCTCTAACAAACTCATCTCCAGTATCCTAAATCAAAGTTAATTCATGAAGAATATACATAAAAGTAAGCAACATACATCATAACGAGGTTCCAACAATTGAATATATCCTCCTGGCTTCAAGACACGGTAAACTTCAGCCAAAGCCTGAACCCAGTAAGCACGATCAAATGTCATGGAGAATAATCTCATTTGAACAAAATCAAACGAATTATCTTCGAACGAAAGTCCACACAAGACATCCTGTACAGAAAAATCAATATTGGAAGGTCGAATATCTTGAGGAATAGATGAAATTTGATCGATGCCTGTAAATTGTACGTTGGGGTATTCAGTGGCCATATCCTACAATCACACGAAATTAAGATTAATTTTACACACACACACACACAAAGTTTAATAAATACGAACCAAAAGCCAAGTTCCAGAGCCACAGCCCACATCCAAAACACGCAACTCGCTGGATGTAAAATCAAGTTTATCGCTTATTGATTTCAATACATTTCTAGAAAACGTGTGAGTAACAATCCTGATGTTCTTTAATATATATATATATATATATATATATATATATACATACCCTTCAAATAAAACTTTGAGACCAAAGTGTTTCTAAATCAAACAAATCAGTGACCAATGACAAAGATTAAAAAAAAAAAAAAAAAAGACACTCACGACATGGTTTCTATCTGTTTCACCCTTTTGTGTGTTATCAATGTAATTGAAAGAATTGGTTGCTGAAACCAATGAGGCATCGGATTGTACAGAGTTTGTTCCTGGAGGTGACATTGGAGGTGTAGGTGAGTGTCGCTTTATCGATTTAATATTTGTTGAAAGTCGAAGATTTTGTGAAACCGTTCGAAATTTTTTATTATTTTGTGAATGACTGTTTTGATTAATCGAATATTTGGCTCCCATTTTATATCAGAAGAAAGAAGAAAAAAAAGGGGACGAGCGGAGGAAAGAAAAGCGAAAAAGAGAAGCAAAAATAAAAAAAAACCTTACGATGGGGAAAAGGAAATTATGGCTCATGACAAATGAGGCCATATGATTGGTATACACTGCACTATTGGGATGCACGGACGTTCTTTAATGTGCACAACTGTAAAAAAAAAAAGAAAAAAAAACTCTATTCTATAATTAAGTACCAGGTGGGACTAAGTAATCGCCCTCAATGGAACCAACAATGAAATCCGCAAAAACTCATGTTTCAGCTAAAACTCCATCACGTTTCTCATTATGGAAGATTTTTTTTTTTTTTTTTTTTTTTTTTTTTTTTTTGATATCCATCTCATATCAAATATTACATTGAACACAACAAAATATATGCCACGTAAAAAAAAAAAGAGAAATATATTCCCAAGGGAAAGAGAGTTTTGTGCCCTTGTTTTACAATAATTCTGTGACCTTATGTATTTGGATGAATACAAAAAAAAAAAAAGGTCCATGTCTAATATCCCGACTTCGATTAAGAAAGCCATCCATGATCGTCGGTTGATTAATCGGTTCCTCAAAATCGATGTGCGAAATTAATCGATTGTTAATTATTATTACGCCCTGTTTTTTTTCGTGTGTATTATAAATGTGTGTGTGTGTGTGTGTGTCTGTGTGTGTGTGCATGGTCGAGACTTTTTTATAGTTGCTTTTGGGAACAGGAGAGACCTGAGCGTCCCCCTCCCATAACATTTAAATGTACAACTCTAGAATTTTAGTGCCGTCACTTAATTTTGTTTGTGCTTCTTTCAATTCATCCATGAGCGTACTTCAACTCTATACATGCCCTTGACCTTTGTTTTATTCGGAGTGCTTTTTATTGAGATACACAGAAAATTATTGTGTTTCCTCACTTCTTTTACTCCGACCTTGTGTCCACTGCCCAGTACAAAGATTCAATCCAAAAATCCTCATATTGGCTGCCAATGACAAATATGTTGGATACGCGTACTACAATCACTGTCAGAAATGTCTTGGTTTAAAGGTATTTGTCTTAATATATCCCTTGTATAAATCACATACGTCTTATCTCGCATAGAAAGGCCACACTTTATGCCATAATGAATTTTTCCCTCACATGACAACCGTAACAATGGCGATTTAAAACGTCAAAGAGAATGACTTTGGTATATATTTACATACTAATCAGATATTTTTTCTGATACAACCGGCATATCACATGTGGGCGCAAGCAACACCAATGTTGTTGACAGGGTATAGTGCGTGGAAGCTGAGCATCTCACTAACCTATAGACATGTTGATCCGCCAAACATGATTTTTACGCCTAAGTTGTCTGATGTGAGAAAGTCCTTCTATTTAACTAATGTGCCTACTGTCTTTCTGATGAAAGATAGTACTTGCCGTTATTTGAGTTGAGAAAGGTGCATATATCGTATTTTTAAAAGTGAGGCTGTGCATGCATACATCCAATATCAACAATAGTTTCTATAGCGACCAGCTTCCTTACTTTACCACCGGATCCAATAAACAACACAGTCATAATGGAGTAGTATGAGCGAAAAAAAGCTCTCGCTTGTTGCAGTATGTACATGTTGCTTGTTTTCGTTCATGAATCCACGAGAAACTAACTAAAGCCATCATAATCCAATCAAAGGTTCTCTACTCATTCAATGCTCAGCCCATCATTGCTTCATTTAGTATCACCCAACAGATCCATTTTTTCTACCAGCACGACTTGTAGTACCGCACGAACTTTGGTCCTGGGATAACTTTGTGGTTCCATCAACGATCTTGTCACCCATTAAAGCCGCGCCCAGACCACAAGAAATACAAAAGAAAGTCGAGTAATGAAGCAATTTTATTAGGACATGGTGATTCAGTACACTCATGTTAAGCGACTTGTTTATATATTTGACTGCAATTTGACCAAAGTAGATTTAATAATCAAAATATCGGGGCTGCGTAAAATGTCCAAATTACTTTATTTTAAATAACGGGAACACATTCAAACGGTATAAAAGTATTGAGAAGACTTTTTTGTAAATACAGAGGTGAACGTGATTAAAAAGATATGGTCTACGGGAAATGTCTAAGGTCTTATGTATTTTTTTTTTTTTTTTGGTTTTTTTTGCGTGGTCATGCAAAAAGAGTAAAGTTACACCAATCGCAGCCCAAACCTGACAACCAAATTTTGGAGGTCTTTTAAACAGGTCCCTTACGTTAAGAGCGCGAAGTATGTCTCTCAAAATTATCATAAAACCATCGCTTCTTTTTATATAAGATATTAGTTTAAGGTGACATATGAACGAGCTTATAAACAGTTTCGACCATTATTTTTGATGTATTGACGGTAGTGACCATCATATCTTTCAGAAACTGCAGAACACTCTGATTCACCCATCTTCATCCGACTCTCTCTTTAGGAACTACCCTAGGCCCATATAGGTTAATACCCTCATGAACAAGATTGTCCTGATCTAAATTAGCCTGTAGCATTTTACATGCTTAAAAAAATTGTAGACATTACAAACTATATCTATTGGTTGGGGCAAACGGCCAAGACAAAAAAAAATAGCTTTGGTATTTACTCACATATCAGTCAGATTCTTCTTCTTCTAAAAGTCGTATATCATTGGTTCTGATACATTTGGTTGTAAAGGCAGCATTGATGTTGATAGATAATTATTTAAATCATGGAGGATGTCCTACTTAAAAGGAATTGATAAAAAATTAATCTGGATGATTCATGCGAAAACAGTTTCAAAAATCTAGGAAGTAATAGGCAAATGTAATGTAACATCTAGTAATTACTAGTCAGTGGGATCAACGTAGTATTCATGCATTAAGTGACAGGAGTAAAGTTCACACTCGGGAATCTATTCATAGTCTACTGTTCCGGCCCTATCAGATTTTAGCACTTTGTATGGCATAAAATATTTTACTCGCCACAAGGTTTCACCCTGTGAGAAAACTCCAGGCAATATGATGATCCACGGCTATATTTTATGAGAGTATACATGCTTGATGCGACAATTTTTATAATACTTACGATACTCTCGACGCTTTCAAGTGCTGTTTTAGAATTCTTGTAAGTGGCATTAAGCTTTATTATGTATATGATACACTATGCATGCTCAAAATTTATAATATAGGAGCGACATGAAAATTGCTTTTAATGATTGAAGAGACATCTCTCATCCCGAATGCAAAACATGAAGCTTTGTGCAACCACAAGCGGAAATGTCAGCAAAAATATCGTTTGTGGCATTGCTTAATATAGTTCTGTGAACAGTTTTTCAGAGACTTTTTGATACGATACAAAACAATTAGAATGATACTTGCATAGGTCACAACCTTATCTTGAAACGAACTCTTCCAAACATATACCCATAAAATGGCGGTGATTTAAAGAAATAAAAAAACTAAAGCAAAAAAGTTGTGAGCCACGTTCAACAAGCAGTAAGGTTTCTTTTATTGTTCATCGCATCAGGCGTGCGAAATATTTCCCAAAAAAACAAATTATGTCATATCATCATTTAAACTGTCACTTGTAACAGCTTAGATAAGGTGACATTAAAAATGAGGGTAGGGGGTACACATATTACCCGACGGGATATACTTTATTTTCTTAATTTACACAATTAAATAAAATGCCAATGTTACAATTTCATCTTTTTTAAAGGTCCACAAGAAAAATAAAAAGAGAGAGATTTTGTACATGGTTGTCATGATTTCTCTGTTTACACAGCTTAAGAATTCTATTCTTTGTTTCAGAGTGATACTAGCTTTATTTTTTCTATTGTGACAAATGAGGCAATCAGAAAAAAAAAAAAAAACGTGTACACAATAAAAAAAGCTTAGCCCTTTTTTTGTATTCCTACACAAAAAACTCTGTGCTTTTCACTAGTCTCAAGAAAGTTTGGTCTCGGACCTCCAAGTCCGTTTTAAAGCGAAAGGTTAGCCTCGTATGATTTTATGTATCGCGATTCACCAAAGAAGTTCAAACTTTTTTTTTAAAAAAAAGGAAGAGTTACACAAATGTATCACCCCACACAAAAAAAAAAAAAAAAAAAAAAAAAAAAAAAACGTTTTATTAATGCTAAATTGGGATGTTTTTTTTTTTGGTTGTTGCTTCTATTTCAATAAGGTTGATTCTCATCAAACATGATACTACTTGGATCTGGTCCATTCGGTTGGAAATGATGATCACTGGGATAAAATCCTTGACTTAAAAACGAGAGTAATTCTTCGGTGGATTTATCATTGAATTCAGACCCTAACAACACTTTTAGCCCCAACCGAATTTAAGAGAAAATAAACACACATCCATAAAAAATAAAAATACTTACCGTGATGATGCTGCTGCTGCTGCATTTGTTGCTGTTGTTGTTGTTGCTGTAGCATATAATCTAACGTGGGATCTGTCCATTCCATATCATTTGGTGAATCCTGGTAATCATCAAACGGATTATGATCGTCATCCCGATCTGGCGTAGCTAATGCAGAAGAAGCAAAAGGTGCATATGATTTCTTAAAGTTGAATCCTCTCATCACACGTGGTGTTGTAGCCGCCGCCGCCGCTGCTGCTGCTGCTGCTGCTGCCTCTTCTTGACCATTACGGTTCATCATCATCATACTAGAATCCAAACTCCCCGTAGGCACAGACGACGAATACATGACGGGTGCTTGCCCCGGTGATGAACTTGTTGCTGCTCGAGGCGCATACGGCGCAAAACGTCGTGACTGTTGCGTTGTCATGGGTGGTGATCCAATATGCATATCAGCAATAGACCGATTTAAGGATCCGATCCCCGTATTACTATTATTCGGCGAGCTGGATAAAAACATCATTGTATCCGGTAATGAAGACGCCACCGCATGATTCTCCAGAACTGGTGAAGCCAAGACGGGGCTGGCATTCGTTTTTTCGGCCACAGTGGGTTGAATCGCATACCTGTTGGAAATAGGAATCCCATGGGCTCGAGCATGTAAAATCATGTCCTTTTCTTCCTGTAATCTCTGTAAAAGTATCGCTTTTTTACCCGTAGCCGGTTTACCTCGCTGTCTCAACATTTCCTTTAATTCAGACACCGTGATATCCTCAAAATCCACCTTCACAAGCTGATCATCTAATCTCTTTTGTCGCTGTTCTAAATCAAATGGCTGAGAAGCGTTGGCTCGTTGTACTCGTTGAATTTGAATAGGCATCGTACGAGACGGGAAAGAAGAAGCCGCTGCTACAGCAGCAGCCGCTGCAGCTGCTGCTGCAGTGGTGGTGGTGTGATGTGAACTACTAGTGTTATTGGTGTCAATCGATGGTGGTATGTTCATATTGGTGGTAGGTGATTTCGTACTATGGCCCGTACCCGTAGCCACTTTCATCTTATTGTTTAATCGCATGGTGGTGGGTTCTAAAGAGAGTTTGCGTCGACTAGTGGTTTCATTTGAGAGTTCATGGGTTGTGATGGGTACTGAAGTACCAGCCACCGACTCTTGTTTACTCGTAGATGGTTTCTTTGCATAATTTATTCTAAACCTTGCTTGTAATTCATTAAAACGACGTTGATGATCAATTGCATTTGAAGGTAAAGAAGAAGGAGAGGAAATGGGTATAGGTTTTGATTTTCCAGTATTCATACTATTATTATTATTATTGCTATTGTTGTTGTTGTTGTTGTTAGTGGTGGTGGTGGATTTTAACTTTTGTTGACTTGTGATCATCGGTTCTACTTGCGGCGGTGGTGGTGCTTCCTTATTGAACATCGCGGATAAGTTGGAACGCAAAGGTGGTGGTGTTGATGCTGGTTGTGCTGGTGGCTCAGAGAGATCTTTAGCTTTTTGTTGCTGATCTAATAAATATTGCTGCTGTCGGAGAAAGTTAGGATCGGATAGTAGGATGGCAGCTTGAGGATCTTGGAGATAAGATTTTCCTTCATCAAAAAAGTTGAAACTGCTTCCTCCTCCATTATGGTTGATATTATAGTCTTGCAGCTGCATCAAGAAATCTTGAGGTCCACTAGAAGAAGGTGAAGGAGACGTCTCGAAGGGTTGTGTGGGTAGGCTGTGACTGTAATCAAAGTTTAAAAAGGGATTGTTGTTATCGTTCATGTTGTTTAAATCTTCAAACGATTGTCCAAATAACTGATTGGAATCAAAATTGATGTTGTTGCCATCGTCCATTTCATTATTATGATTATAATAATACATTTTTCTTTGCCTGTGTCTATGTTCTATCTCTTTCTCTAAATATAAGCAGGGGGTTCAAAAAAAAAAGTTTTTCTAATTTTTACAGTAAAAAGAGTGTTTATAAAAAAAAAACAGAGCTATTTTAGTTTTGTTCATAAGCAATTGTTTTACAAGTCACTTTTAAAGTTTGAGATGATTTTTACGACCAATTAAATTCGATGTTAAGGGGAGCACGAATTGACATGTCTAAGCTGAGATCCATCTAATGATACAGTTTTCACTCTTTACATTTAGACAATGATAGTTTTTTTTAAGTCGAAATACAATGGAGATTCAAACATAAAATGAAATCAGTTTTCAGATATGTTTAGAAAAGGTTGTTTGATTTACCTGAAGTTATTCTTACGTTGTCACTAATGACGGTGTATCAACCACATTGGAGGTTGCAAGAGTGATCATATTTTTCGATGCTAAGATGCCTCAGTTCCAGAAGATAAATTGCTGTTGTTGCAGTTAAATATCTGAGGGATTTTGTGACCAACAAACTTCGGATTCTCCAATTTCTTTAAATGACAGCCACAAAAGAAAGTGCTTTGTTATAAATACTTGTGCAAAATGAATATCTATTTATTTCACCTTGAAAGTATTATATTCGTCGATATCAAGCAGTAACAATGCACTCAAATTTTGACGGAACTTTAGCTGTCTGTACAAATTATCGACTACTCCATGCCTTAGACTTTTATATCCGTCATGCGACTTATTTTTCAACCCATCTCTAAATATTACCATTGACATTTTGCTTTTATCCCCTTCCTATTAGGATTGACAGTACATACATTGACTAAATTACTGTTTGAAATCTTCGCTATTAAAGTTCTTCAAGGTCAGAGTGGCATTATCCAAAGATAAAACAAGGGTTTTTTTCCCGCAAAAAGAGACTTTGTACATATAGCCATCAGTATAAAAGATGTTCAAAATCATCACGCCTTTCTCATGCAATGACTGTAATTTAGCCGGACTGCTCGTGTTAGAAATAAAAAAGTTGCGTATTGTTCAAAAAAGATATTGCAAGCTTACCTTTTTACTGTCAATTTTCTAAAATCAAAGCATCTAAAAAAAGGCCTTTGTCTGAAAGCAAAAGATTTCTCCTCTTGTACTTAGCGAATTCCCATTCCAAAAATCCCATGTAGGTTTTGATTATCAATTTTGATAAATCGCCATTTTAATAAGCTTATGGATTAAACTAAACATCGTCGGTGGTTGGAATTGTTTCTCTTTATCTTTATGCGTATTTGAGCTTTTATTCTTTATTGACGATTTCTTCTTTTTAGGCCTCATCCGTGACTGATTTGAGCGCTCACTTTGTTGCAATAAATTGGACTGGTATGGTATAGTCAATGGTACTTATATCACTGCTGTTGATTGATAGTTCGCTTCAATTTCTGATTCGTATTTTGACAATATATGCCTAAAAACTGGAATTATATCGAAAGGGGTCTTATACAATGTCGCTTTCGTGGTAGCCGCTGGTGATAACCGATTTTTGATTTCTACAATCAGCGGGTTCAGAAATGTTCGAATTCTGTATTGCGTTTCTTAATCCACAGAGATCCCAATGTTTTCCGACAAAGTTGATGGTTGCATGTTAAACAATTTTTCTAATATATGACCGTAAACGATAGATTTGATACAAGGGATTTGCAAGTCCTATGTATAGTTCGTACCAACCTTTGTAGATACATATAAACAAAAATCTTTTACCTAAAATTCAGTACGGATCATGTATATTTTAAGTAGTTACTCACAATGTTCTCAAAATTTTCATATAAAAGTTGTTGCAGCACATTCCAACATTTTCATACGCGGAAGCTAATATATACTTGATATATTTTCATTTATAAGTCGACATAAAGAATACCAAAAGTTTTCTTGGGAAAACTCGTCCGACAATTCAGCTGGGTATTTGAGAATATGGTAGTTTACAAAGAGCTGTTGTTACAAATCAAGTAGTTACTTCTGATTCGATAAAAAAATAAAAAAAGTATATATATAAAACAATAAACGATAGGTACGATTATAATTCCCTAATACTTTATTCAACTAAAGTTTTAACTCTGGAATAATGGGTCTATTTATACTCTTTTGAAAGCCGACTGTGATTAGAATTGCTAGTCCATATAAATTTGTCTTGACTGTTGAATTCTACCGGAGAAATTTTGATGGCACGACTTGGGAAATGTCTACGTATTTTTTTTCAAACGTATTTTTTAGAATCACGTGAAGGGTCTACACGTCAATTGACATGCCATATATAGGAGGATCGATTTCTTTTTTCTATAAAATCTGTTTCACTGTCATTACAAGCTACTACAGGAACGCAGATATACAACTACCAAGTTTTGATTTGCTTGGGGGGTTTTTGCCAATGTTTCTATTCTAAGTAAAGGCCCAAACGTTATGGATGATGAAACAATCAATTAAATCATCCTGACATAAGCTTGTTTATCAGCCTACAAATAAAGCTGGTTAGAACACTTTATTCCTCTTCTTTTCTTTTCCCTTAACATATTTTTTTCTATCTTGTGAAAGTAACCAATATCGTAAAAAGGTTAGTTAGTAATTGACTCTTGTTTCTTTGAAAAAGACGCTAAATTGAAAAAAAAGATATATCGCGATATTGCAGCTGTGGCTAGTCTTTGCTATAGGAGGGCGACCTCCCAAGCAGGGATCTTGAGTTTTTTTTTTTTTTTTTTTTTTTTTTTTTTTTTTTTGGAACTCACAGGCTGTGAATAACAGTAGTTTTCACTGTGAATGGTGGTGCTCATACTGGCCTGCTGGTCTTAGCCATTTCTGTAAGTGGTATAAAAAAAATACGCTTGAAAAAAATACGGAGGTCTAAACAATTCCCACGACTTGATCACATATTTTTGAAGTGAAAAAAAAGCCTACATGTCTGATATATCAAAAGGTATTTTTTTTAAAAAAACTTAATCTTACTGCTATGATAACTAAAAAATATCCACCTCGTAGCAATAGACACTTATATATCTGATCATAAGACTCCTTCTCTGGCAGCCTTTGTCTTGGATCACGAAAGTCTTGTTTCCACATAGATTGGACAAAATTACTGACGCCAAGGCTAATCTTGAGAGAAAAATGAAGACTGCATACTTTGCCAAGCATCCCAAGAGAAAACGAGGTCCAGGCTTAAAGGTGAATCTTGAAAAACTGTGGTCAACTTCTAAGCTAGATGATTCAGTCATAATCGAAGGAAATAAAACTTTAGAAGCATCTATCAAGGCTAGTGGACGAAAGGCTAGAAAACGATTAGAGGTATTTATTGAATAAGACTCACTTACAGTCCGGTTTATGTTAATATTTTCTTCTAATAGAATAAAAATGCCACAAAAGAGATTGAAAGTGAACAATCCAGTGAAGCAGAAAGCTCTTGTAAGAGTGATGAAGAAGAAGAAACAGTGGACGACATTGCATATACACTCAATCATGAAGATGCCACTGAATTCGAGCAAGCCTTATTTTCTACTACTGACTCACCACATATACTGAAGAATGGTCACAACTTTAGCAAAAGTTTCAAGAGATTTCAGTTAAAATCATATCAGGAAACAAAGTCCTCTGGTTTATTTATCAACGCCAATATTCATGAAATATTGTAAGTAGGCTTTATGTATATCATTCATTAGTACAGATTCTGAATGGCACCAATTTAGATCTTTTTATCACGCCAAAAGACGAGTATGATCAAGCAATGCCGAATGTAATTGGACTCGGTAATATTCAAGAGTTTTACACGGAACTTTTAAATAAATATTGACCCAGATGTAATGGTGGAAAAGAATCTATTTAATGAGTTAACCAACATCTTCAGAGTGAGCATCTAATAACGACGTCTGACTTACTTTGACAGCTTACGTCCTTTTTTTAGAGCGTAAATGAAAACTCTGATCGCAAAGCACTTAAAGTAAATTTACATAATTGATACGAAACTACCGAGATGGAGCTCTCGGTGTTGGCGTACCTGTCTGTGGTGGTATCGGTGAAGCTCTGTGTGGTGGAATCGGTGAATTTTTCGGTGTCGGTGAAGCTCTCGGTTTTATGAAAGCTCTTGTGTATGTGCATGGCGCAACAAGATATTCAAAAAAGAAAGACTTTCTGATATCTGGTGTCCTTGACGCTGACTCTTGTGAAGGTTAAAGATTAGATTTCAAGATAATTGATATATCGATTAACCTGTAAGTACAACATACACGACCCAATAAAATATTTCTGTTTGGAATTCTAACTTGTAATACATAATATAAACAAGTTACCTGGCAATACTCTCATAAACGAAGTGGCTAAAGAATTCGAATTAATAACTAATTATCTTGATACGGTCCTCAGCCTTATATTTTATGATCCCCAAAAGAAACTGATGTACATATGGTAGGTGCAAACGAAAAGATCGTGTGATCATAATGCCTAAAAATATATATGCCAACAACTTTTCTGTAACCAGGCTAAATAAAGCAACTGAGTCTTCGGGCTATAGATATCCTGATGGCGGCAGTTGCATTGTCAGTCAAAGACAAATTTCTTGTTCTACTGGCCTCTATGAAGTGAAAGCAGATTATATGAAAAGCAATGCTGTTGGTACACATCAAGATTTACTCAGGTTATGCATATTCGACAAGGATACTATTGGCAATGAAGATGTGGAGAATGTTGTCTTATTGCAAGCAGTTGGTAAATTTAGTATTTGTTACTCGTTACTGCAAAATATATTTACATGTAGATTTTCAGGATATAGGACACCGTGTGATTGTATATCTGTACCAACAACATGATGGAGGTTTTTATTCTGCCTTTGAAGCTGATAGTATTGAAGTTCCCAGATCTATCCTTGAGCTACCTTGTTTCATAATGAAGCTGGATGATATTAAACGCTTGATCAACCTTTATGAGCTCTTCTGTGCTACGAAGAAGGACAGGTCAAATGTTTTCAAGCTCGAATTGCCCTCACCAAACATTTATGAAATGAACACAATCATCAATACCCGCAAATCTAAGAAGGTAAAGACTTCTTTAGAATTTTAATTATCTTTCTTCTTTCTTCCATCACTTTTTACCCTATGTACACAAACACATACATTTGTATAAACGGCCGAGCAGCCAGAATATTATGTGCATCTTAAAAAACGCTTTTTTTTTGCAAATTTAATTTGTAAAATAAAAAAGTTTACCGTATTACCAATGCTTTTGTTGACTGTCAGCGATCATTTTCTATTCTATTTATGCCCTATTAAGTCTTGACACTTAAAAAATGTGGTCTCATCGGTGTGGGATAACGAGGACTTATTTGCAGGTCCCTCATTTGAGAATCAGCCACAGGTCCCCAGCTATTTTGGGATGTCAGCCAAATAAGGCCTATGGGATAAATAAAAAATGCAATTTTAATTCTTTCATTTGACATTCATCTCGCTAGTTATAATATTTCGCTACCTCAATGATCCGAATGGTGTAAACTTGCCCAAGAAGAATCTTAATAAGGTACATCGATTTACCATTTATGATAATTACTTGTATAAAAAAGTGGGTGATCGTTTTGTGAAGATACCTTATCTTACAGAACGTCAAGATATATTGAAATAGTCACACGATGGTCATGATCACTTTGGATAACATAGCACTTGGTCAATCACATACCGTTTTTACTGGTGGCCGGGAGCTTATGAAAATATGCGTGCCTATTTGAAATATTGATTTGAATGTCAAGTCTGTGATACCATACCTATTCAATCCAGTTCTTTTAATGGTAAATCTGTGGAGGTACTCAAACTATTCGAACAGTTTAGTATTAATTTTGTTGGTCCCTTTCCCGAAAGTACATCTGGTATTCGGTATATCTTGGTCTGTGTTGAAATGTTCTCTCGTTGACCTATTGTTATTCTTACTAAAAAAGTAGATGCCGTAACTGCTGCTCGGTTCCTTTATGATAACATATTTTGCACCTTTGGACCAATAACCAAAACTTTAAAAGACAATGTATCACATTTCCGTGATGAGCTAGTCAACAACCTCATCAAGCTCGTCAAATCTAAACATTTACTAAAAGTCCTTATTATCCTCAGCGTTATGGAATGTGTGAAAAGATGAACGGATTTATCACGAAATCTCTAAGAAAATTAGCTTTGTGTTACCCAAGGAAATGGGATCGCCATATCTCTACAATATTGTATTCTTACCGTATCCGAGCTCATCAAGTTCTAGGAATCTCGCTTTTTAAATTGTTGTATGTTATTAATGCAGGTACTTATGATCAAGATCCAATTGTAAAGTTTGGTAGAACCTTAGGTTTGGAGCGATTGATGTATATTCAAGATGTGCGTGATGATCTAACTGATAAATTTTTGGACGACTATCCAGTCAATAACAATACGCCTCGCTTTTCTGTTCGAGATCTGGTACTTAAGCGTGATTTTGTAAAGAAGAACTCCCTTCAAGGCCACTATTTACAAGGCGGTCATTGCCTATCCTTATCAAATATTTTAGCTATGCGATCTCAGTACAAGAATAATACAGAAAAATAGAAAAAATGTAGTCCATCTGAAGCCCTATTCCTTCAAATAACTTTTTTGGTCTTTTCTAGTCTTTTATTTTCTTCTGTTTCCATTTCTCTCTCTAGTTTATTGATGATCTTGTCATATTTTTACTTTTCTATGTAAAATGGTTTACTTGCGGGAGAGTGAAGGGGTTGAAACAAGTCCACTTCCTAATCAAGCAATTTCCTTTTTATAATCACCTGCAACTTTTAACTATTATTTTTGACACTTTTCTTTATTATTGATTTTTCAATGCGCACATCTTACAAATCAAGTTTCCACTTGCATCACCTTGCCACATTCCTACCATAAGCATATTTAATAAAATACTCAAAAAAATTGTCTTTTTTTGTTTCTTTTTTATATGGTTTTACCTGGTACACGAGAGGATAAGGCTCTACTACACCGACAGCATTGGAAATGATGGATGTGATAATCATGACCCAAAGCACTAGCAGATGGACCATCAATGGAGCTATGACATTGATGGCATATTTTAGATGACCCAGTGGATCCAGCAGCCGTTACTTTTGACTCTATCTTGGAAGTATTACTGGCATAACTACTGATTTCTGGTCTTTTCACCGCCACCTTGGGAGATATTCTACTTGCAGTTGTGCTGGAAGTTGCACTGGGGTAGGTATTAATCTCTGGTCTTTTATGGCTGTTCCACTCGGGTGTTCGGGCTGTTTTAGAGCTAGTGTTTATTTCTTGTCTTTTTGGCTCTTCTTGTTTTGACGAAAAATCAGGTTTTCTGGCAATGGAGGGTTTTGGTTTGATAGGAGGTGGGTTTCTTTCCTGTTGCTGTTGTCGAGGCAGCTGTTGAGTCTTTGATTCGAATGGGGTTGAAGGTTGTTGTCGAGGATGATGATAGTGTTCTTCGCAATAAGGTTTATTATCTCTTACTAAAAATGTACCGTTCGTAAATGGTTTTTTGCAATCCTTTATAAAATTAAAGTTGTTAATATATGTAACCTTCTCTTTCTAGTTATTGGATCACTTACAAAGCAGTTAAAGCATGATTTATGCCACTCCTGTCCCAGAGCATTGATATATTCACCCGAAATATACTGAGAGCATCCACTACACTTTTTACCACACATTTTCATATAATCTTCTTGGCAATAGGGTTTACCTTCATGCACCATAAATGCACTATGATCTCCAAAAGGTTTTTGACAGGCCGTGCAACCAAAATGACCCTCATGATAATGTTTACCTAAAGCACTTATGGCGCTCTGCTAGAAACAACCGAATGAATACATTTTGTTAAAAAAAAAAAAAGGGTGAGAGTTAAATAAAAAGCTTACATTTTCTATGGGCTCATGGCAGAAATCACAATGCAAACTAAACAAAGTCTTATAATCCTTTCCACAATACGGTTGACCGTCCTTTTCAAAATACTGCTCGTTTTCTAGCGTCTTTCGACAGGTTGTACATTTGAAGCAGTGGCTATGCCATATTTTATCCATGGCAGAAACAACTGATCCATCAATCGCTTTTTTACAAGCAGGGCATTCTAATCCAGCATAAATAGGGTTTAGTGTTCTCACCAACGAATCTCGACTATTTGGTTTGGGAGGACGAGGGCTACTGGGGACAGCAGGTGGTGGTGTAGAAGGGGAACTGGTGAAAGGCGGAAGTGGAGGAGTGGGTGGCTTTTGCTGGGCAGGAGGCGCAGGAGGTACAGGAGGACTATATGTTTGCTTCTTTTGATGTTGCTGTTGCTGTTGCTGTTGCTGTTGCTGTTGTTGTTGCTGTTGTTGTTGCTGTTGTTGTTGCTGTTGTTGTTGTCGTTGCTGACGTCTTTGGGCATACAATCTCGGGTTTAATGAGGCTTCAAAAGCATCTGGCTCGGTCGATGAAAAAGATGGTTTGGTTGGCAGCATGGGTTTTGGTGTTTCAGGAAACGCGGGTGTCATGGTATTTGTAGCGTTCACAACAGTACCTGTGGCATCACGTAAGCGCTTCATTCTATCCTGAATGGTGCCATAAGATACTTCATTCTCTTCATCTTCCTGTTGTGGTTGAACAGACATGTTTTGCATTGGGTAGACGAGTTCGCTCTTGATTTGGCTGTACTCTGATTTTTTTTCTTTGTTACTCGAAGGCAAACCATTGAGGTAGTTCTCTGTAGACATTGGTCAATTAGTAAATCGCTTTAACAGAAGAGAAAAAAAAGATTATTTGTTTGTTTACCCAGTTGATCTTTGGTCATGTAAGACATACTGGCTATGTAACGCTCTCTTTTTTATTTATCCCGAGGCAATAAAAAAGAAGACTTGACTTCGGCAATGCGAGATTGGAATAAAAAGGTAAAGTTTGGGTCGGATATTCAAAAACCGAATAACAATATCGTGCCTTTTTTGGACAATCAAACACTTTCTTACAATTTACGATATTTTAGAACTGTTTGCAAATGGAATTCTGATTAATGAACGGTGGCAGTATTTGGGACTGTTTTATAATTTATGAAGATTGCTGGATCAATTAACTCGCGTATATGAGAATTAGAGCACTATTCCTAACAAGAAAATAACCTTTTATTTCAGAAAATCCATCTAATGATATATCCGCAATATCACTAAAAAATTGAAGGTGATGATCACCTGCGGTACCTGTAAAATGAGATTATTAGAACTTTCCTCCTTGCCATTTAAATATTTACTTAAGCCCAATTCAATAAAAATAACAGCCGAGAGATCATTAAAAGTAATGCATGAGACCCTTCTAGCTAAGGGTCCTGGATTGATGACTTGTATACACTAATAAAAGACATTACAATAATATCTGACAAAGGACTTTATATTAATTGGCCCAGTTTCTTTAAAATTAGAAAGATCATTACACACTTTTTTCATCTCAATCTCGTTTAAATCCGTGAAAACTATTGCTTCTTACGGGTGTTACAGTACAACTTGTCAGGACCTGTGTTAAACTCCGCATATGGTTGTACACAAACGAACACACTAATTGTCCTACTTCTGGGTAGCAAGTATGCATTTCAACGCATTAGTTGTGTATTATAACATTGTACACCAATGTATAAATGGCCAAATCCAGAGGGAGTTTTTATAATTGATGGTGAATAGTAAATATGTGTCTATGAGTCTTTTCAATTTAGCTGTAGGTGCTCATGTGGCTTTATTCCTGGGCCGAAGGATTGTTGCTGTAGGATATTCTTATTTTATTGCTCTTCACAGATATGAGCTGAATTTCTAAATCTCAACAAAAACCATGAATGTTTACAATAAAGAACGCACATGAAAAGAAGGGCGGCATGAGGATAGTGTTGTCATGTGTATCTCATCATTGATCAAGATAATCTGTATACATCAACATTGTTTTATGAATGCTGTATGCCAGTTCAATGTGCAAAGAATAAATAGGATCATCGAATTGATTGGTTTACAGCAAATACACCGGAGTTTGCGCAGCTTTTTGAATGAATAGGGGTTTCCAAAAATTTTCACGCCTTTTTTTTTATCAACAACGAAAAAAACAAATATGCATTCCAAACTTGTAGAAGACACAACTAAACAGAACATTATTGAAGAGGTGTGTGTGAGTGAGTGAATGTGGTGTGCGTGTGTGTGTGTGTGTGTGTATGTGTGTATGTGTGTATGTGTGTGTATGTGTGTGCGTGTGTGTCCATGTGTGGTTACTGACTTTTAGACCGATCCATAGGTAGTGCGATTCGATACGAGTCTGGAAGGGAAAGTTTGGCAATGTCCTTTCTGCCATGAGAAGAATGCACCATATCAACTCAATGTACCTCCAAGTACACAGGTAGATAATTGGAAGCAAACAAAACTTTTGATTAAGAGTCATATAGAATTACATAAAAAAGATGTGTTGAGTCAAATGGCTAGAAGAGGTCATGACGGGCAGTATGAAAAGGTTAGCGAAAAGAAGAGAGAGAGATAGAGAGGGAGAGAGTTTGAGAGAAACTGTAATAATTTATTTATGTGAAAAATTAATAGGCGAGGGCTGATAGTTGTAAAAGAGTCCGATTATGGATAACAGGTACCATTAATGACCGTAAGTTATACGAAGAAGATCCACTTTAAACAGGTACTAGATTATTTCTTAATATCTCCACTTCTGGCCAAACCTAAAACCATTTATTATTACCAATTTTATTTATTAGATAAAAAAAGAGATCGACAAAGACAAACCCCGTACTTAGATAAACACACACACACACACACACAATTTTCTTTTTTTTTCATACACACACACAAACACACACATACACACACACACACACACTCACACACAAAAAAATAATATTACCTTTGCAAATACTCTCCCTTTAATTAAACCCATCGCTACTGGTCCATACGATCTTGAATCAGTTGAATTGCTTAAATTATCTCCTCCTACCCAAACATGGCCCTTTGGTACACTGATATATTTTCGTTCTTCTAATGTTGGATCCTCACATATATTATCACCAGGCTTATCATATATAGCGAAAAAAAAAATGTAAATAAAATCAAGCTCTATTCCCCTCCCTCCCCCCAATATAGTAATTACCATGCCAATCACTCGTTTCAATACAGATCTCCCGGGTTTGGCAGGAGATATACAGACAACTACGTCTCCAATTTCTAATTCTCGGAAATGATGTGATACATGTTCAACAGCCACTACACCCGACATACTAAAGTTGGGTAACATGGAAGGTCCAACACACTTTGTAAAAAAAAAAAATCATTGTTTTAGTCCAATAATAAAAAAAGGAAAAATACCTGTTATTTATTTAACTTACCCATGTCACTTCTGCAACATATTGATTAAAAGCATGAGCAAAGCAAGTAAACTGAACTGCAAATTTCGTGACGCGAAGTAACTTGGGAAAAAAACCCATGTCATGTATAAAATAAAATAAAAAAGAGAGAGAGAAGGAGAGGGGCCGTTGTTGTATATATTTTATGCGTACAGCTTTTTTTTTGTGAGGTATACGTGACTGCAAAAAAAGGGGAGCTTTTACAAAAATATAAAAAAAGAGGTGCCCTGTCATTTTCTTCTTTTCTTTCTTGTTGTTGTCATAATACACATGTTTGGATTAAGACGTACACAGATACGTGGACTCTGTTCTACAGCGATACGATGTGCCAAAGCACCTAACCCTTACACCAACACCATTCTTTTACCAAAGACCAATTTTCCTTTAAGAGCAGACGCAGCGAAACGTGAACATTTATTCCGAGACCGTTGTACAAAAGATCTTTACCCTTGGCAGGTAGGTCTTATCAGTATATACCAAAGATGTCATCTTTCTAATCAAAACTATCCTTGCTAGCTGAAAAACAATCCAAAGGATTCATTTATTCTTCATGATGGCCCTCCTTATGCAAACGGAAACGTGCATTCTGGTAAGGGAATACAATAACAATATCTTTTGATTATTAAGCTCATCTTTTGTAAATAGGCCATGCCATGAACAAAATATTAAAAGATATCATCAACAGATATAAAGTCCTGCAAGGTCACAAAGTTTTGTTAGTATACCATTAATCAACATGTAACCTGTTCAATTCTTAAAATCTATGCTCTTTCTTTTAGCTATCGTCCTGGATGGGACTGTCATGGATTGCCGATCGAATTAAAAGCACTGGAACAAATCAGAGTGAGCCCTAACTTACTATACACACACACACGACGATAAAAGGTCTAATAGAGTCATTAGAGAAACGGCGATGACTTATCACCTGTGGATATCCGAAAGATCGCTAAAGCAAAAGCCTTATCCGAAGTTGAGAAACAAATGACAGCATTTAAAGGATGGGGTGTGATGGGCGATTGGGACAAGCCTTATTTGACCCTGAACAGCGGCTATGAAATTCGTCAGTTACGTGTCTTGACCGACATGATTAAGAATGGACATATCTATCGTCAATTGAAACCCGTATATTGGTCCCCTTCTTCCAAATCAGCTTTAGCCGAATCAGAATTAGAATACAACGAAGCACATGTATCTCAATCCATTCATGTTCGTTTCCCAGTCACCAAATTATCCAGCGATTTAAACACCAAATGGAGCAAATACAAGGATATTCATGCATTGATTTGGACTACCACACCTTGGACCATTCCTTCCAATAAAGCCATTTCCGTTCATCCCGATTTATCTTATTCTTTAATCAAGGTCGATTCACATAACTATATTGTTGCCACAGATCGTGTTCAGCCTTTAACACAAGAATTAAATAAGGACGTCGAAATCTTGGAGGAGGTGTCCGGCAAGGACCTTTTAGGTTGTGAATATCAACACCCTCTCAATCAGCAAATCAATCCCATCATTGGTGGTGATCATGTGACTGCAGAATCAGGTACAGGTCTTGTTCATACCGCTCCTGGACACGGTATGGAGGATTACGAAGTATGTTTGGCTCATCACATCGCTCCATTTAGTCCTGTGGATGATGCAGGAAGATTCACTTGGGAAGCAGGAGATCAATTAGAGGGAAAGGAAGCATTTACGGATGGAACAACCACCGTCATTGATATGTTGGGTTCTCATATCATTTTACAACAAGCCTACACACACAAGTATCCCTACGATTGGCGTACAAAGAAACCTGTCATGCTCCGGTAAAAATTGCTTTTTTTCTTTCTTACACACTCATTTTATCTCATATATATTTTTCTTATAAAGTGCAACTGCTCAATGGTTTGCCAATGTCGAACATTTGCAGCAAAAAGCCGTGAATGCATTAAAAAAAGTTCGCATGATTCCCGAAGTCTGTAAGTTTTTAAATCACCGATGAAAAAAAAAGGATATTGAAAGGATAAAAATAGCCATCCGTCGTCTTGAACAATTCACGCTGTCTCGTAAAGAATGGTGTATTTCACGTCAAAGATCTTGGGGAGTACCCATTCCTGCTTTATACGATCAAGATGGAAATGCGTTATTAACAGAAAGCTCGGTGGAATACATTATCCAAATCTTGCAGGAACGTGGTACGGATGTATGGTGGGAGGAAAAGGACGATTCTGTCTTTGTCGCTCCTGAGTATCGAGACAAGGGTAAGACCTATACGCGAGGCTATGACACCATGGATGTCTGGTTTGATAGTGGGTCCTCTTGGACCATGTTAAAGAACATGGCAGATCGAGATAGCAGTAAACCGTTGGCCGATGTGTACCTTGAAGGAAGTGATCAACATCGCGGTTGGTTCCAATCTTCCTTGTTAACATCTATTGCAGTGACAGGTAAAGCACCTTATGGAACTTTAGTGACGCATGGATTTGCATTGGATGAAAAGGGACAGAAAATGTCTAAGAGTATTGGAAATACCTTGGATCCCGAATTGATCACGCACGGTGGAAAAGTAAAGTGTCGTATATATATATTAGTTTATTTTATAACTCATTACTTTTTTTTGTGTATAGGATAAGAAGAAGCATCCCGCCTATGGTAGTGATGTGCTGCGTTATTGGGTTGCCAACTGTGAATACACAAGAGATGTCACAATCGGACCTTCTATCATTGGTAACTTTAACAAAACAAAAAAGAAAAAAATAGAGAAAGAGAGAACGTTAATAATGTAAAAAAAAAAAAGGTATTGTATCCGAGAGTTTACGAAAGATCCGTACCACTGCAAGATTCTTGTTGGGTAACTTGCACGACTTCAATAGAGAAAACTATGTAGACTATGATAATTTACAAGAAGTGGATCAATATATGCTTCATGAATTGTATCATTATAATGATCGTGTTTCGCATGCCTATAGTGATTTTGCCTTCAACCGAGGTAAATAGTGAAGGAAAGCAAGAGGAAAAAAAAAAGACTAAAATGTTTTCACTAGTTGTGCAAAATATCCAGAATTTCACAAACACCACTTTATCGTCGTTTTATTTTGACACGATCAAGGACCGATTGTACAACGAGCCTGCTGGATCCGAATCCAGACGCATGGCACAAACCGTCCTGTACGAAGTATTAAAATCTTACACAACTTCCATTGCACCCTTTGTATGTCACACAGCCGAAGAAATTTATGAAAATTACAAGGCCATCACACCCAAGCCCGAATCTTCGGTTTTTAAGGCTGGTTGGTTAGATTCAGTAAGCGACTTTATTTTACTCTGTGGTCTGTTTAAAAAGTCTTTTAATTTTTTTTTTTTTTTTTTTTTTTGGATGCATGTAGAATGAACAATGGAAGAATGATGCGTTAAATGAAAAATGGTCCGTGCTTTTAAATTTAAAGAGTGAGATTAATCAAGTGTTGGAATCGGCCCGTCAAGAAAAGTAAGTTTTTTTATGTACAACAACTCCTTTAGGTTGCTAAACCCCAATCGGTAGGCGTATTCGTTCCTCGCAAGAAGCATCCGTGTCTTTGTATCTGGAAAGTGGATCAAAGACAAGCCAACTCGTCCAATCCATGCAAGGTAGACAATGATGATAGGGACTCGAAATAATGTTATTCACTTTTTTTCACATAGACTCAGAACTGGCGTCATTGTTCATGATTAGTAAGGTGAACATCATGCATGATCATCAGCCTATCCAAGGCGAATCTCAAAAGGATTCTACAATTCAAGGTAAGCGCAGAGTAATGTATATGGAAGCGTCTTCTTTAACTTACCCACCAAAAAAAAAAAAAAAAAAAAAAAAAAAGGCGATGATGTTAAAATCGTAGTGACAAAATCAGACCAATGTAAATGTCCTCGTTGTTGGAACTATCATTCTATAAGTGAGGATAGTTTATGTACAAGATGTTCTACTGTATTGCAGTAAAATTTTGTTATGTAATACCATATAATGCACTTGTTAAAGTGTATAATAAATCATTCTCTATTCGATGTAAAATGACGAAGTCTATCCGTACCTCTTAACCCCATGCTTCAATAGATTCATTGAGGTTCAATCATAACGAAGGAAAAGTAACACTATCGAAGCATATTATGGCATCAAGCTACAAATTTTTGAATGCTATTGCAGCCTAGCAAAGATGCAAAATCAAAGCATTTGGGTTAAAATATTCCATAATAGAGAGGCGTCGCAATCGATCGTAGTTAGATAGAACGGCTTACTTAAATGAAAAGAGATGGAAAATAATTGTAAGTATCTGCAAGCCAAGTATGCATCATTAGAGAAGTGCTCACGCTAAGCAGAAACTAGTTTGACATATGCTAATCAATTGGAGTACAAGGCATTTGAGAAAGAGCAATGCCTTTGCCATATTGTTATGAGTGACATCAGAGTTGATGCCTTAAACGCAAGCCTCCGCATATTCTTCAAAGCTTGTATCTACACCAGTATTCAAGCAGGTATATACTGGATATTCTTCTGCTTGTATAAATATGCAACAATATCAGCCAGAGCGTTTATTTACTTTTGCCTCTTTCTTACACACCGCAGCCTTTCTTTTTCCAAGTGTTGAGAAGACTGGACAAAAACTCCGCAAAGTTAAAAAGAAAAAGCATCCTGCCAAGTTTGGCTTGTTCAATTTCTACTTTTTCTTTATTGTTTTTATTAATCAATACAATTATTCACCTGCCATTGTTAAAATGGTGTCAGCATAATTAGGATGTTTATTCGCAAGACTATTGTTAACCTTCGTGATGCCACACAACCAACGTAATAATTTATCAGCGTGTAAACAGGCACAGATTTACCTTATTTTTACGTGCAATTGGAGCTCAAAGTAAGCCTGGGTTATTGATAACTAGAGTAATGCCAGTTTCATTTTTTTATAGATAGTAAATTGTACTTACTTACCACGGTTTATTATATTTAGTCTTCGCTGCTAAAGGGGGTGCGGATTCTGATCAAGCCGAAAACGTCAATGACAAGAAACGTGGCGTTGACGGCTCGGTCCAAACAACCGAAGAAAGTGTAGGGGACGATGACGAAGATGGTCCAGAAGAAGGTATTTTCAAAAGTACTGCTAATTTCGTTTTTACTGACTTTTTATAATAGACTCTTCTGTCAACTTCAGCCATAATAAATATGTTTCAACCAGGCCTATTACCTTTTGACTTTTTATCCTACCCATTCTTGCTTTACAACAAGTTCTTGGCCGAGAAAGCCTTTAAAACATTGATGGCGTTCAACTTTGCTTGGAAAACCACTAAACACCTATGTCATCTTCTTATACATTCCGAAACATTAATACTTCAAGAGGGCCTCATAATATGAAGAGTTACATCAACTATGCGCCCTGTCATGCAATACTCATTTATTATTGCCGATGAAAAATTACCTCGCTTGAGAACATAGTCTTCAGTTAAAACTTGGATTGGACGTTTTGTAATCGCACGTCAAATAAATTCTGATATTTGGAGGAATCTAACAGCTGTTACTGTCATATCTGGATTGAAATAAACTCTATAACCTTCTCGAGGGCTTATCAGGTCTCTCTAAAAGTAATCCAAAGGTCATGTAACTCAATAACCATCGTCAAATATTTCCACTTTGCGTCTAGCCTCTTGGAACATCCCCTTCAAGGCTCTGCTAATCTCTCAAACGTGTATCAAGGCTATGTCATCTCAACTCAGTCTATAGTGCAAAGGCTTTAGGACAGCTGTCCTACTTCTGATATTTATTATTCACGTTACAGTATAAGCTAGTGGTCTAGCGTGGCTAGACACGTCGAGGGTTTGTAGCTGTATTCACGATAGATTTGTGTTCCTGGGCTAGGGAGGCTAACAATCCGTTAGTGTAGTCAAAGATCGTCTAGTGGTAGCCTCCACATAGTTACGACTTTAATATTCCTTGCGAATGGGGAATACCCTGTGAACTGGGGTTATGTTTTTGAGTAATTTTTAGAGCAGCTTGTCCTTTTATCCTTTGGTTCTTTGCTGGTGGTTTCTTTAATTAACCCTTTTCCATACCAAACCAAACTTTTACCATCTTTCACTTTTTATTTCAATAAATATTTTTACCTTATTTTTATTAGTTCATTTGGCTTCTTAAAATGATCCGCAAGAATAAACAATTTTTCAGATGATACCTTCAGGCGGTGTTCCGTCATGAAGAAGATTTTTTTATCAATAAAGTTTGAAAGCGTTTCTAGAACAAACATATTCCAGAGTAGCGAGCTACTTCTGGGTTTATTCAGCAAAAAAGTATTATGGTCACGTCACCAAATCTACTCTTGTAACTAATTTTTCCGTCAACCACTGCCTAAGGCTCGCCGGTCTCCTGAAATTGTCGGGTAGCGTCTACAGAAGCAGGTTCGCCAATAGATCGTACTGACATTCCCAAACTTCTGGTTCCAAATACGCGTACAATGTTGGAATTTCATCTCTTTTTGAAAGCTAATTTTTTTCGGCTATGTATGAATAAAAAGCAGTGATTTACACCCTAAAATAAATCAGCGATCAAAAATTGAAAAATATCGCAAACAAATTCGAGCGGAAATAACGATCTTTTTTTAAAAAATATCGCGATTGGCGATATCGATCAAATTTTCTAAAATATCGTTATTGGCAATATCGATCAAATTTTCCAAAATATCGTTATTGGCAATATCGATCAAGCTTTCTAAAATATCGTTATTGGCAATATCGATCAAATCTTCCAAAATATCGTTGGATGGGGTAAAAAAAATGGGGTAATCGATAATCGATATAATATTACTTTTACACCCATGCTAAATCAGTATGCAAGCTTGAAATTGATACGTTTATATATATATTGGGAAAAACAAAATTTTATTTATGAAAAAAACTTAATAACGTCAAATCTGATCATGATGGACCTCTTCAAATATGGAAAATGACCAGTGAAATAAGACCAGAGACAGATATAATGAGAGGAACTACGATAGTGACCATACGAAGACCTCAGACGAATAGCAGTATCACTTACCTGCATAAAGATGGTTTATGTTAATAAGAGAATAAATTATCGTGTTTAGCAATGTGAACCTTTACAAAACCGTGGGATGTACGAGCCTCAAATGAATAGTAATATCAATCAGCTTTAAAAAATTGGGTTAACTTATTAATAAACAAGTATACCAATATCAAGTTATTTAACTTTCCACAAGTAATGAATGTATTGATTCCTTTACCTATAAAAATGCGCCAATAGATATAAGAAAGTAGTTAGAGTTCCTTACCGAGCAAAGAGCATTGGTGTGATCCTATTAGAAAGTTGTAACACGTTTATTATTAGTCACATAACTAAATCTAAATTAATTTAAAAATGATTATGATGAATCAAATACCATTAACTATTCGCATATACATACATTAACCTGTAAGAAAAAGAAAAGTGGAAAAAGAATAAGAATAAAAAGGTTTAAAAAACAAAGTTTGTTTAAATAAGAAAAAAAAAAATTCAGACTCAATTCCTTTTTTTTTGGCAACGCCGTACGGGTTGATTATTTCCTACAGCAACTGATTCATCAGTCTTGTAAATGACAGATTCAAGGCACTCTCCTATTTTTTTTTTTTTTTTTTTTTTTTTTTTTTTGCAAATCTAAATTCATGTATGCTCACGTAAAGTAATTTGGATGTATCGGCCTGTTGAAAACTGGTACGTGTGTAAACGCTTGTTCTTTTTTGACTTTACATATCAAGAAAGTACTCCAGGCTCGAACTTCGTTTTTGGTGAAGTAATAAAGAATCATGACGTTTCCCCTTATTCAAAGGCCATCCCGCGCATGATGAGGCAGAGCAAAAAAAAAATTGTCGTCTTTGATGCAAAGGACCTTGTGTCTACTATTGGGTTGGTGAATGCCGACAGGTCTAACAACAAATATGTAATAAAAACTGGTAAGGCTTTCAAAGTCGATAAGAGTAGTATTACCGGCAGTGTTGGAAAATCATTAAAACCCACAATCACATGTCCCGTTTTCTTATTTTACTTACGTAATCTGAAGCTGTCTTTTTCTTACCCTGGCTATCATCCCCATAAACATTTTTTTTCTTTAAAAAATCACGTTTATTTATTAACATGCTATTGCTACATCTATTTATTTATGTATAGGTTGTTTTTATAGAGATTTGAAAATTTGGCTTTGCGATCAGCGATCAAAAAATCAAAAATATCGATCAAAAAAAACATTTTGATCGCTGATTTATTTAAGGGTGGAAGTCTGGTACTCACTATCACATTTATAAATTAATAACAACTGTCGCTTTTCTACATTTAAATCCGTACTAGCGCTATATCACCACCAAAAAGAAAATTTAATGCAGGGAAAAACAGCATCCTTTCCAAGCCTATGGTTACAAGCTATAACGACGAAGAAATATCTAAGCGGTGACATAAGTGTATCTTTAGTAGACATTGCTGTAAAATCTGGCTATAGACAAAATAAATCAATCGCTTTTTAAAGGGCATTGGCTATGGTTGAAACGTAGTTAAGCCAATGCTTCCTAAATCAGGTAATGCAATCTGTACCCATATTGGTCATACGAGAGTTTGATGATCTCTTGCTTTATCATGAGGAGTTGTATTTAGATCACCGTCACCATGATTTTAATGGATGCGGTTGATAACCTGAAGTTGACCTTCCGGGAGGTCATTTTCTCTTACGTTATTCAAGCCAAAGTATCCACCTCTTTTGTTTCAACTGGCTCCTGTTAATGCATTCATCCATCCATGCATGAAAAAAATAAAAATAAAAAAATAAAAAAATAAAAATTGAATTGAAGTGGATGGATGGATCGAATGCTCTACCATCATTAAATGCTACCAACAAAAACTTTTTTTTTTTAAAAAAAATATATATAGTAAAAAAGCTCTCTGCTTTTGGCACCGTTGCTACGGGGAAAAAAAACCATCACTGAATCCTTAGAAATAATGTTACACAGCACCCTTTTTTTCTCTCTCCCTCTTGCAAGTTGTACCACAGTAGTAGTAGATAAGGAGGAATGGTAAAACTTCGAAAACCGAGGAAATGTACATTTTTATAAAAACGTTTTCCTCCGCTTTTTATTTTTTTACCGCTAAATTACTCTATTTTTATCATTCTTGTTAAGACATTATATGAAGCAAGACATATATATAACAGGTTTATTGCATTCCTGTATTCCGATTACAAGATAATAAATCAAAAAAAAAATGACGAACAATCTTCAGCATAGTCCATCTACCAGCAGATGCCTGTCGGTCAGAATCCAACACATAGTGCGGCACAATAACATTAAACTGTCTTGCGACTTGTGGATATGTTATCAACCCAACTTGACTTATGATGTCGTTCACGTTTACAACAGCAAATTTGTGTGTTTGTATTGGTGCGATTATCTTTACCACTGGGATCGACTTGGCACGGGTCGAAGCCCCATGTTGGTTCATTACCTCCGGCAATGCCAAGAATTGCTTCTGTTTATTCAAAGGCTCGTGCATTAAGTAAAAAACAATGGAGTCAACAAGCCAACAATGATTCGTGGCATTTTGTAAACTGTTAAAAGAGGAGTGAGTTGGCACTTTACTTTTTACTACCGCATGATACTTACTTTTGATATTGACAGTAGAACTTGACGTAATGGTTTCCACGCAACACTACTTTTCTATACCGTCTGAAAATTTAAGTCACGTATACATTCGATCCCTTCCACATGCGTGCCGCCATTGTAATTGTAAAGTTGTCTGGTGTGAACTGTTTATCAGAAAACGTGTGTCGGTAGTATTTGTCGAAAGCGTTCATGATCACCTCTTATTCAACACCTTCTATCAACAAATTCGACGACAATAACTCGACTTGTCAAAAAGGCTCCCACAATTGACATCCTCCAGTATGGTCTGGGCTATCAACAAAGCCTTATTCACCATCATACGGTCTTAGGCTAATTATATTTAAGATGGACTCAATATCTATAACCCTTACAACACAAGCTCGAAGTACAATTTTTTCGATGGTATTACTAGCGTTTTTTTCCACTTTGTCTACTAGATCTAATCAGTTTAGAATATTTTCAATAGTAGGCCCCACGGATCTTGTAAAGTCAGCACGTAGAGGACCTTGTTGTGTGATCATGAACGGTATATGGGTTAAATTGTGTTGAACTTGTCGAAATATAGCACGCGATAGGTTCTTATGACCCATCTGTTCAACAAGAAATTCATACCTATCTTGAACACATCTGTAGAAAGTTAATTAAAGGGGGGTGAGTAACAAAATGTTATGCGAGGCCTCATTATTTCTTTTTTACTTACGTTTCCATTTTGATCAGAGTTTGCCGTTGGACCTCCCGTTTCAAGGTATGACCTAACCGTTTTACCAGCGAAAGGATTGCTTTTTGAGCTCTGGGTTGGAAGTTTTGGGACGATTAGTGTTGAACAACATTTAAAAGAAAGTCAAGCCAATCTACACCACGAGTCCCATCTGTTCTTGCTATCAAGTTATCGAAACTTGCCTAGAACAATTCTGGTATGTATTCTTTTGATTGTTCTATGACGTTGCCTGTTTCCATCTACTTATGCTTTGATATGAAGAAAAGATAGCCGGTTTTCCTCTGGATTTGATAAACATTTGTATAAACAAAGGCATTGCTTTTAGAAATATCTACCATGATAAAATCGTACACAAGCTTACCAAAACCTGTTGCTGTCTGTTTTTACGCATCCAATGCCAAAAATGATGAACCGGAAAAACAAAGAAGCTCGCTGAAGATGCTTGTCTGATATATGTTCGTACCTTGACATTTAAATATATGTATTACAACCATAGTAGGTAACTAATTAACTTTAACTTACAGGCCTGCCTTGCTGGAATTCTGATAAGGATTATGAAGATGATAAGCTATCGTCAAAGTACATTCCTCAATTATCTGGCGCTTGACCTTCAACCTCATAAATTTTGCAGGCGAACCGACTTGTATGAGATCCCACATGTGCGATATCGGCGGTAGCAGGAATGTCACCGGAAGCCAATACTAGGTGTACCTTTGCTCTGCAAATTTAATGCACGTTTTCTTGGACTAATATCTCACGAACCGATACCTCCTTCAATTCCGAAATAATAGGCATCAAAAACGAATCCAAATCCATTCGGTTATATGGATCTGACAAAATGGTTAGTTGAAGCAAGTATGCATCCAAATATTTATCAAGGATTAGTATTAATCTATGTTATTATTTTACAGGAATGCATAAATACGTAATAGAAGGGTTCCAAGTTCAAGATAATGGTGTGGACCATTGTATGAATTTTCATGTGTTTGTTGCGGTTATGGAAACCATCAGTACACAAAGCGATAGCAATGTCATCGTGGAGTGGTGAACTCATATGGATTGACAAAATCCTTGTAATCTTGACCATTGAAAAAATTACGAATCTTACCTTCACTTGTTTCCCTGTTCACTCTCTGCTGCATAAGATCGCTCGTTTTTGGGTTTGCAAGCACTTGTGAAAGCATGTCACTGACGGACATGATGGTGGTGGTTACTGCCTTTGCCGGATTATTCTGATTAATGTATCTGGATTCATTGCAATGTGGACATGTTATCTCATCACGGTCAATTGGAAAGATCTTGCAACAGTTCTACAAGTATCATACTTATGATCGCAAATAGTCAACTTGGACATAACTAATGCATTGATAACATCACCGTGGGATATTCTGGCACGTGGCTCTGTTTGGTTTTTGATAATATGCTTAAAAAACAGGAATTGTCACAATAATGATGTATGTATACCTTCCAATATTTGATCGTGGTCTTTAACAACCGTATTAACCAAACTTACCAGCTCTCTGTATCCCGTCTGAGAAATTCCGTTCTCATCAACGATGTTGGAAAGCTAAATACTAAACAAATCTGCGTTGATAAGCTATTTACACTTATACCACCATTATAGTAAGCAGGAGCAAGGCCTTCGGTTTCTTCATACCTTCATTCAGTTAAATTGGGAACTCTTTCACCCAAATCTCTTGCATCATTGCGGATTGTTATATGTAACCCAAAAGACCGAAGTAAGTGTTTTGTCATATACCTTGTACTTTTATAAAACTTACCTTCTGGCGTTTCTTAGGGCATAGGATAAGCCCTATTTACATCCATAGGAGAGTAAGTCAATGAGTAATTGTTGCTAGCAAATAAAGATCCTTCGACATCCTCATTGGTATCAGCAGGATTCTTTACAGAAAGGATTCTGCGATGATTCCTCAAATCTTGATAAGAATTAAATTCTCTGTTGTGGGTAGGACATGTATGAATACGGGTTATCAATATAACCATATTACGTGTGGGAAAAGAAGAGCTCGAAGTAGGATGGGACATTCCATAGAAAATATTCATTGATGTTAAGTAAAGGAAAAAGGATTTATTGACGGATGATACATCCAACCCTTATTTAGGTAAGTAATATTTTGGGGAAATAAAAATCTCTGACACTTGTACGTCATGAAGAAAGAAATTTGAACTGTGATAATAATGCTTAAATAAATAAATAAAAACTTCGACGCAAACACTTCTAATAATTGCCCATGTTTGAATTAATCAACCATCATCTTTTCTAAATGGCTAAAACTTCAGCTTCTTTAGTTGAATCTGTCAAGAACATTGAAAGAAGCAAACAAATTAAAAGGCAAGACACAGACAAATTAAAACGAATTTTTTCGTACCACTTGATCTTATCAAAGACACATTTCAACTTATGGCAATTGGTGATCTTTGAGAGCAAGGTTTCTTTCTTCACACATATGTTGTTGCAGCCAATCTAAATTGACTTGGTGTTACACAGGATAGGATCTTTCCTATAAATACGCCCTTTTTTTTCTTTCTAATAAATACTTCTTCAGTTTTATCTTGACTAAAAATCTAGTTTCTTAATAATTTGTAATTGACTCCTTTGTGTTTCCCTCAACTTTCATACTTCTTGTTTATCTTAAGTCTATACTTACATATAACAATTAACTCAAAGTTCATATTTTCACACTCGACTCGAATCTCTTTATTACTACAACCGTACATAAGATATTGTTTATAATAACATAATTACTTTTCTTTTTAATCTTGGCAATTCGTTTATATTTATATTACCTACGCCCTCTTAAAATCATCGTTGATTATCTTCTTATCCTAAAAACTTTATATTATAAGATTTCTTAAGTTGACTACTTCCAGTCTGGTGCTCACTTTCATAACTACTTTATTATTAACCTCAGTGTTAATAACCTATATCCACCTTATCCTTTAAGAACTATTACCAGTGTCTTAACAATGTATACCTCTATAGAACGCTAAATTTTTTTCGAATTAAACAAATAAGCTTATGTCTCAGTTGAGCAATCATTCCAGAGAAAGAGATACGTGGAGAAAAATGATAACTGGGTCCAAAAATTTATAGTACCAAGATCGTGCGAAGCAGGATGAACGGCAAACGCACTGGCTTCAAGCAGAAAATATTCACTCTGTTCCCTCTACTAAACATTAAAAATACCAATGTTGGAGCAGATAGTTTTACCCCCGTTTCCACTGCAACAATGGATTCAATGCAGATCGAGCTAAATCAATTGACTAGAGATGTTAGATGTTAAAGGGATGATCTCGGTTGATCGTCCAGAAACACAAATTTGGAAGGATGTACCAATTATAGATAAAACATTTTATCTTATAAAGATGGATGATCTTGCACTTCATGAATATATTGACATTTGCTTATACAAACATTTCTGGTAGGCCAACCTTTCACCTGGTAAGACATTTAAAGTCGCAAAACAGACAGATGCAAGGAAACTAAAGAAAGCAACTCAAGAGGTAGGTATGAAACGATAAATTTTCGTCCTTAATGTATTTAAATATTATTTTTTCTAGACTACCCAATATGACAGTAGTGAGTTAGATAGAAAAGAACAGAGCTCCAGTGACAATGTAGCTGGATCATCTTTGCAGAGCCGTAGGTCATTGTAAGTAAGACTAAATTAATATTGATCAATCTAATCAAATCACTTTTGTTCAAGTCATCTGCTGCTCATTCTGCTCGCCTTCGTCATGAAGATCGTTCTACTACTGGAATTTGTCGTCGAATTACCACGCATACTCTAACGGAGCCATATAGCTCCAAAACGGGTAAACGCAATCACTAATTAAAATGTGTTGATTAGTTATTTCCTCTCTTTAGACTTGATTTTTAGTTCTTTTTATCTCTTGACTAGGTTATTACTTTTTATGTTCTTTCTTTTTGTCAGAGTAGGTATATTTCAGTAAACAATAAACTCGGTGACAATCTTGTAGCAAACAAAAAAAGCCTGATGTTAATGCTAATGTAGCCATTTGGCTCATGCATGAATGATAAATCTTGAAGTTAAACATCTTTCAATTGCAATTCTTATACTTGTTGAGGGTAAGTTTTAAATTATAAACATTCTTTTTTTGGAGAAATTCTTTAATCATCTAGTGCTTTACTTTGTTCATCTCTACAGCCAAGCTTTCAACCATACTTTTCTTTGTCTTCAATAGAAAGCGTAATTTAAACCAGTGAATATCTGAACTTTGCATATGGTAAATCTCGTTACCCCCATATAGTCTGTTTGATCACTACGTTTTCGAACCGCTTGTGAATTAAGGCATAATGATATGATTTTTTTTAAATTTGTCAACAAAATAAGAGAGAGATTGTGTCGCTGTCACTGCGACCATGTATATACATGCACCCTCATCGTTAGTTTTATCATTATTTAAATAAATAAATATAGGTTCTTCATTGCATGTAACAGTTTTTAGAAAACAATTTTTATGGCATATCATATTTGTCGTATTTGGGTACGATTTATTTAAGAATAATTAAGCAAATCCTTTAAATATATAAACCATAAAATTAAAACAACCTTTGATGTTGGATATCAACATACCCTTGTATACCGCTATACAACTTCACCAACTACGAGTAGATACGTCTATTTTAAAGATTGCATGGTAGGCCTAAATATGATATACGAATGATATTTGGATACATAATTTTATACCGCTGACGTACGATATCACCGGTCGAGAAAAGAATTTTCCCAGATCAAATCAAGTATTATAAGAAGGAGAAACTTAATATTAATAGTTCTGTCAATGGATTAGCTACCCATAGAGAGAATAGAACAGCTATTAGTATAAATGGTTCATTTACTTATATGTTAATATAATTATACTGCCTATAAAGAGTATAAAGAAATAGTGTATGAATTAATGGATACCTATCTTCTACAACCAAATATACAAATTTCGATAAGATATTCTATATTTGGGATCGTATTTTATTCATTACAAAGATAATGAATAAATGATCAACTGTAATATTTTACTGCCAATTATCCTTGACAAACAAGTATGCAAATTTTACAGCAACCGTTTCATTATCTGATTGTAATAAATCGGTAGTGTGATTTAATAAAATAAAAAATAAAATAAAAAATAAAACAAAGTACATAGAGTGCATCCGGAGTTCAATAGCAAAATCAATTTTGTGACATTTTGAAGGATTCACCTCCGACTCGTACAAACAATATAAAAGGAAATAGATTCATAGCCAGATCTTAATGTGGGGGAAGGTTTTTTTTTTTTAAAAAAAAAAATTTCAGGATATTTATTTATTTTTTGGGGGGGGAGTCTAATTTTTTTTTTTGGGGGGGGGAGTCTAAGGATTTTTTTTTTTTGGTTTTTTTTTTTAATGGAATGAAAGCCATTAAGGAGCAACTAAACAGCACGTCTGTGTGATCGATATTCTTTGGAAAACTTTCTGATAATCTCATCAGCCTCCATGACATCTTTACCCTTGCTATACGCGTCGATATATCTATAGGCACGGTTATAATACCGTCTATTGATTTTAGGACCGTGCACAACCTCATCATTGTCCAGAAACTCATGGATTCTAGACGTCAGAGTATAAAAGGAGTAATCACACATCATTCGTGAATATCTTTTGGCTGCACCCCAATGTCTTTCAATCCAGTTAGTCTCACAGTGATACTTTGGGTATAATGTAAAGAGGTGACCAGCCTCGAACGTCACAGTCTCCAACATATTCTTCTGTGCCAAAAAATCAGGTTGCTGAGAAAGCAAGTACTCAGCACAGCAGCCAGGTCGAACAGCAGGATCATGCACTGTACCAGAAGGGCATACCTTGCGCAGCGAAGCATTCTTGTCCAACAAGCCGCGCTCCCTCAACAAAATGAGCGTGCCTCTGAAGACCTCACGTGCCTACAAAATATAATGAATCATTGAAATTTAGATTTTCATGTCATGTATTAAGTTCAAATATTTACTCTTGGAAGCCTGTATTGATTCATGAGGTCTTCAAAGGACACTGGTTGCTGCTTTGCCCTTCTGGTAGCAACAATCTTCTTCACGGCTTCCATATTCACCGTCTCGGTCCGGTACATGGGCTGGGCCTTCACTCGACCTTCCTTATCAGTAAAAGTGGTATCCCGAAACCTATACTTATTTGTATCTTTATACTCGGTGACACCGGAACTCATCCTTGAGGCAACAAGAGCATCATCAGCCATGGCTTTGTGGTTAGAGCTCTGGTCAAAGGCAAAGATACCAATACAATCAGGATGTAATTCATTAAAAAGAGGAATTACATCTTTTAATTGATTAGTTAAATCAATGTTCGTCCAATAACCATCACCGTTACTGTTACCAGGAAGAAAGATAACTCTTGAAGTTATTTCAATACCATTGACGGTACCTCTCATTGTTCCATGGCAAGGACACATAAACGAGCTAACCATAACAGATCTTCCTTGGCCCTTAGGAATGATCATGGATTCGTTCTTCTCACACCAACGAGTGACTTTACAATCATTTGAATAAAATATTGATTCGTCGTGAGTAACTAAAACCATCTTCTTTTCATTTTCCTTCAGGTTAGGTTGAACTGGTTCTGAATTCTCATCGTCGAGTGTATAGGTTTCCATACGTTTGTGCCATTCCATCATTTGTTGGGCCCACTTAATACGATAAGAAATGACGTCCGGCCGTTCATGTCCATCAAAGTAACATTGATCTTTTCCTATGCACATACCACAAAAAAACATTAAAGTTTAACCATTAGTAACTATTAATTAATTGCAACTTGTATTTACCTGTCTTGTATTCGAACCCCCATGACTTCAGGTAAGTTGACAAAGCATCATTTGACAGAGGATGTACTTCATCATTTACAATCACATCTGCATCAACCTGTACTTCCGTCGTCATGGCCAAGACCTCCGGTAAGACGTGCTGTCTTAAATAAAGTCGAAGAGCCGGGATACTTCTAAATGTGGCTTTCTGGCCACGAATCCACTCCACGCATTTCTCTTTCACAAAAGGATCACTCAGGATTGATCTCCTCTTCGCATGCTTTCCTTGTTGGTGGAGAGGGATACTTCCGGTCTCCAAGTAAAGCCCCAACCAAATACGGGCTACGCGAAAACGGTAAAATTTTGATGGATCGTGCCAGGAGTTGTTGACCGCACGATCTGCTGCATCAGAATACGCTTCACCCGCCAAAAGAAGCACCATCATTTCCTTCACAATCTTGTATTTCAGATACTGAGTGACACCTTCCATATGTTGTTCACCAGTAGATGCATTACAAAGAACCAATTTTGGATCAATGAGTGGCAACATTGTATGGATTTTTTCCAATGTTGCTTCATCAGGGAATCTGGACTTGTATGGCCCCTTTTTCTTCTTCATAATGGGTGCAAGTTTTTTGGTCAACTTGAAAAAATCGGTCAAGGAACGTGTGCCCACAGCGGCTTTCTTCCAAGCAGACTTCTTTCGACTGATAGTTTCGCGTGCGTATTCAATTTTACGCGTGTATCTCTGCGCACCAGTGGTCTCACTAGCGTTTTTCCACGAGATGGGCATAACTTCGACATCACCTTGAACATCTTCGGAATGGTGAATTTCAACATCGCTGAACTCTCTCACAGCAGCCTCAGCAGCCTCAGCAGCAAGCATTGCAGCTTTCTCTAACGTTGCAGCTCTAACTTTTTTCCCTTGGTTCATTCTTTTTCTTGATTTAGCCATTGGATATGTTATTGTTTGTTTTGATAGATGATAAAAACTTTGCAAAACGTCAAAAATTAAACACTCAATCCCAAACCTTAAAAATTATATGATTCAAACTCCTATAGAGTTTTGTATGGAACTTTAATATAATATTACTAATCTTTCAGTCAATTTATCAATTGGCGCAGACTATTATAACATATTCATATATTTACAAATAAGCTCTTTTAATTAAAAGAGAATATACTTAATACAAAAATGATGGCAAGTACTTCAAAGATTTTTCCCATATAGCAGCTAAATCTTGCTGCGTTTAAAATATAAAAGATTTGGGGGGGACAGTTATTGACACTTAAAAGGGAGTTTGCACCTTGTTTGGATATTTCTTGCAATTGGCGTTAACTAATACAAATTTAAAACATATATTATAAGCTACATCTTCAATTAATAAGGATTCTACTTAGTATCAAAATGACGAGGAGCATTTTAAAAAAAAAATTATTTATATCAGCCATCGGATTGGAGCGGGCTGTGTTACAATTGGTCTTGAGCTATGGTAATTTGAAAGACATATTTCTCACCCTTTATGTACTTTTTTTTGTTGGCGGTGACAAGAACAGATTAAAAGTATTATTTATAATATATATCAATTTTAAAAAGATTCTACTTAGTATCAAAATCACGGGGAACATTTCAATGTTTTTTTTATTTATATCAGCCATCGGATTGGAGTGGGCTGTGTTACAATTGGTCTTTTGAGTAATGGAAATTTTAAAGACATACTTCTCACCCTTTATGTACTTTTTTTTTGTTGGCGGTGACAAGAACAGATTAAAAGTATTATTTATAATGTATATATCAATTTTAAAAAGATTTTACTTAGTATCAAAATCACGGGGAACATTTCAATGCTTTTTTTATTTATATCAGCCATCGGATTGGAGTGGGCTGTGTTACAATTGGTCTTTTGAGTAATGGAAATTTTAAAGACATATTTCTCACCCTTTATGTACTTTTTTTTTGTTGGCGGTGACAAGAACAGATTAAAAGTATTATTTATAATATATATATTAATTTTAAAAAGATTCTACTTAGTATCAAAATCACGGGGAACATTTTGAAGAGTTTCTTCAGCATAAAAATTTAATCAGATTATGTAACGCTGTGATTCAATTGTTTTAGATTTGATGATCAGTGTCATAAATGTTTGCAAGGAAGGTCATTTGCCTTCTGTTCACTTTAGTATAACGCGCTTAATATTACAGCATAAAAACATAATAAGCAACGAGATTCTTAAATTTCAAAGAATTATAATCAGTACAAAAATGCTAGTGAACATTCTAAAGCCTTTGTCCGTCAATAAGAACATCAGATAAGAGCTCGCTGCGTTTAAACAATTTGTCCTTTCTTAAAAAACCTGAAATGAATAACGGCATTTTTTTATTAATTTTGGGCAAAGAGAATATTAATTACATGTCTAGATTTGTTTGTGAACTTTATCATCAAAGTACATGGCCAGCTTAAGTATGCCTGCTGGCGGTAATTAGATTTTTGGCGGCAGATGCTTTAGTTTAAATGTCAGAAACGGTGAATTAAATATCCGGAGCAATCCTATTGGCTAAAATAAAAAAAATGTTCAAATTTTGGCTGTATGTGACAAGTTGAAGCCCCCCCACCTAAAATCACTTTGTAAAAATGGAGATTCGGCTTGCTTTTCTCACAAAAAAATTGTGTAGAACTGTTTTAACTATCATTTAAAACGTATAATAGTGAGCAAAAAAAAATTTAATAATGAAAAAAAAAGGTTGGATTGATTCGAAAGTACCTCCCTGCTTAAAAAAAAATTTTACTATTGAACTCCGGATGCACTCTAAGTACGTTTAGAATTCCTTTATAAATTTATTGACCAAGATGTTAAGATAATAATTTGGGGTCTATTTATACTAAATGACAGCTGGAAACTAATTTCATATTTGACAGTAATTAGTCATCAATAAATTTCTTCTTTGACTGTCGAATACACAAGTCAAGTTTGTGTTCTTATGTCGGAATGGGTATATTCAGATCCTTTCAATATCACTGGATCTTGTTACTTTATTTACCGATAGATCTGTGATACAGACTATTTCCATTTATGTCAATTACATCTACTTTTATTACGTATACGCTATGTGGTTTGGCACACTGATAAATACGGGTCTCCTAAAACTAAAAATTTATCAGAACAATTGTGCTGCCGATCCACTGATAAAGGACAAAGTTTGGAAACAATTATATCGAGTAGTATTCATTTAACTTAAGGCGGGAAAGAAGTATAGATTTTTTCACAAACCAGAAAGTTTAACTCATTATTAGAACCTAGGAGAGGAGTGCAATATAAAAGGGATCAATTATTTCTTAACAGCAGAGTTCGTTTAGTCTATTTATACCTCACAGAAAGATATACGTTTATCTCATTACTTGTCCATTTTGTTAATTTTGTAAAATACCACACTACTGGCTAGAATTAATCTCAAGTAAGGTTGCCTTGGATGAACCGATCTGGGACACTCTTATTGTTTTATTTGAAATACTAAAAACCAGTGAGATATCATGTAACAGTAGCTTGACAAACGATACGTAAGGTTGTAATACTTAATTTTCTTCGGTAGAACATGAAGTTCCATTATGGCGAAAAATCTGTTGAAGACTTTAACAAATGTGTTGACAAAATTAATAAGTGATACTGTCAAATAGATCTTTGAGAAATAGTTGGCATCGATTTCTTTACCACCGAACTTGTTGACAAAATTAACAAATATTGTTGATTATTTAAATAAAGTAGTTTGATGGAACTTTGTTACCTTTGTAAACGACTTTGTTGATTTTACGATTACGTCTTGTTGAACTTCTCAACAGTTTTTTTTTGTATTATAAACGATTCATGTTGATATAGCGCTAGTACGGATTTAGATTTAAAAAAGGACAATTATTATTATATAACAATTGTGATAGTGAGCACCAGACTTTTAGTTGTCAACTTAGTTTTATTATTTATTAAGAGTATTTCTGTAGTGATCTTAGACGATAAAATATATGGATAAGACAATAAAATGCAAATCGATAATAATACAGTGAGAGATGAGAAGAGAATATAGTTCTTAGATGTCAAAGAGAAAAGAGTTTACGACGGGTTTATGGAAGAAGATGATGTGATTGAATAATTTACAATAGACAACAAACAGCAACAAAAAGCGGAGGAAATACTACTAGTATCAATTACAAGATAAATCCCAAATTTAGGTGAAGACAAAACTAAAGAATATTTATTAAAAATGAAAAAAAGAAGCGTATTTATAGGAAAGATCCTATCCTGTGTAACAACAAGCCACATTATTATTGGCTGCAACAATGTTGAAACATCCAACAACAATGTTCGTGTTTCAACCCGTGTTGTCGCGCTGTTTCATATTTCCATTCCTTAAACGGTATAAATCAAGCGATGGTTGCTGATTTCGTTATCATTCATTCATCATTGTATATACAACACATGGTTAACTGGCAAACAGATTATATTATTGTATATGCAATGGCTTTTAAAAATCCCAAATATCTTTAATTGTAATAAGGCAAAGCGTCTATCTGAGCATTTGTTCTTATAGACGACATAACCGTAAATAAGGCACATATAGTTTCTACATAAAAATAGACGACTTATACACATTTAATAAAGATTAAGATCGTTTGCACCCGACCTCGAACGAAACATAAAACCAAAAAAGATTGTTTCATATGAAGGTATTTATCCTCTAAAATAAAATTAGAACCACAAAGACATGCTTTATGGCAATATCAACGTTACTTTGACCGTCCACCATACATCAGAAGTACAGTTAGTCTTCAACAAACGATAAAACAATATGTGAGCGATTATTAAAAAGATATGTATGTTCAAAAGACATACCGTACTATATTTAAATAAAGTGTGTCCAAATTTAGAGAAATAACTGAGGTGATCGATATTAGTCTTCTGATTCAAGTATACAAAGAAAAATTAAAGCTTTATCTGAAGCACCTCTCCGTTTTGTTTAAAAAAAAGTAAGAAATAAAGGTGTATCGTACTAGCCTCTATAAGTGGCAGTTAGGATTTCGGGTATATAAAGAGCAAAGGGTACTCCTAGACGACCTGAATGAGAGAAGCTGTTAGTTTTAAAGATAAGAAAAACATTAAACAGTTCCTTTTAAAATCGAATTCAAGTACCTTACTGTTGAAGATATCATAGATATAATAATAAAGGTAATTGTCACATCGCGTTAAGGATGGACAATAAATATAAAAGTTAATCATGAATTACACATTACCCCGCTTGTTCTCATCCTACCGTTGGAGTCTGTACACAGGGCAAATCCCTGTGGCGAGTAAATATTTATTCTGCAAAAGCAATACAATCGAATGGGCCTGGACTATAGAATATTAATAGATCCTGAGTACAAATATTACTCTTGTCATTTGATGTTATAACTGTTGATCCCTCTGACTAATATTTATATACTCAGTATGGAAGGGCTAAATTTAAAGACATGTTGATTATTTACTATCACCAGATTATTACATCATGATTCAATAAGGCGCCTAATATTCTCCCTAGAACTATCCCCGTTCTTTATATAAATATTCATAGTTTTTTCTCATAGACCATCAATACATTTTATACGTTTTTAATTACATTTTCTCGTCCATAATAAAGTGGTATCCAAGTTCTAACAGTATCACTTTTGGTTTATTTTTAATTTTGTTCTCCATGCAAAACACTTACATATAAAGAAAAGCGTTAAAACACGTTGGGGTTATTGAGAGAAGATCCTCTTTAAGCTACAAAAAAAGTCAGCATCGTTTGTGGTGACATAGCAAGGCTATAGCCATATTAGAGCTAAGTAATATTTATCCGTTCTGATACCATTTGTGATATAAGCTTAACAATAAATGTCATAGTAAGGACTATAAGGATATCACATCACAAGTCTAATATGGTATGTCTGAGAAATACTTAAAATTTAGTTTAAAGCAAACAGAGTTAAGAAGACTTAACACTATGGCGGACATTAGTGTTCGCACTTTTCGAGCTTGCTCCGATCTTGCGCCAGTTCGAACGAAGCTCGAACCGAGTTTTTGTACTCGAGCTTGCGCCACTTTTTTTGGGTTCGAGCGAGCTTCGATCGATGCTCGCTCGAAGCTCGCTCGGCTAAGATGTCGATAGTAGTCACTTTAAAGTTAAGGTCCTTGAAAGACTACAGATGGCATTTCCCCCTGAGTTTAATCTTTTCTTCCCTTTACCATTTTTTTTTTTATTTATGCTCTAATAATTCCAATTAAAATGCTTTTGACTTTTATTTAATTATACAACCAACAAACACATTTACCATAGAAAATGAAACAGTGTTGCACACTATACCCAACTAAGCCAATTTTTTACAGCAACCATAGTAACATGACGTAGCAGAATTAATATAAACTTTCATGTTCAAAAATCCAAATGTATTATAATTATAGATGCAGTAATAGTTTGATTTAATTGTCCGAATTTGGTGTTAAGGCTGGTGAAAAAAAAGTTTTTTTTTTCTTTTTCCAACTTCTATTTCAATAAATAACAATTTTATTATCATAATTTTCTGTAATTAACAGCACTTTGACGTGCACATTGTGTAATAAAAAGGGCGAGCGAGTTCGAGCCATCGTATTCGCAACCGAGCAGAGCTTAAGAAACTTCGAGCGAGCTCGAGCTGCAAAAAAACGCATTCGAGCGAGCTTTGACTGGAACACAATCGAAGCTCGCTCAAGAGTTTCGATCTTCATTCCGAACACTAATCCTGTTACCTTTAACTGCTTATTTTGTAAATATGTTACACTTGGAATTACTGTCATCTTAGACACACTGTACTTCCATATCTTTAGTAAGCCTTAGTCACTGTGTTCTTGTAACCTTGTGATATGATAGTACTAAGTATCTTTATTGGGTAATTGATTCCTTAATGATTCTTAATGTATTGATGTCATAGATATGGATTTATTTAATGTACCAACAATATAGCAGATCACCACAAAAACATTTCTAGAACCGTCAATATGTAGCTTAGATGTTATAAAAAGTATCTCAAAGTTAAAATTAGATTGCTATTTGCCAAAAATTTGATGCAATATTGATCCGAATTTGATGGGTTATGGTATAAAAAACGATTTTTTGCGCTTGTGAAGCAAATGGTAATAAGTTGCAATTTTTTTTTTTTTTTTTTTAAAAAAAAAAAAAAGATGTTGCGCCTGGAAAAACTTGCGAATGACAAGGGATTCAAAATTTACCAGTGTAAGAGAATGTGGTGTGCCAAAAGCTTGTTAAGGGAGAGCTTTTAAAGTGACAACCAAACACACAGAAGAAGACTAACAGTAAAAGGTCCTATAGCGGTTTGTTACATCAATATCAACAACAAAGTATAAAAATGTAGAATCAACAAGATTCCGATAGTTCAGACACTATCAATGACGCTTTCGATGATATGGGTTGCGATGAGTCCCCCATCATAGCAGACGTGCTGTAAGTTGTTTTATTATTTTTTATACAGTTCTCCTCGACGAGAGGTAGCGAATGAATCTTCACGTAAAAGACCAAGAAGAAGATAATAGTTGTGTCTGGTCGACATGATTGGCCCATTCTGCTTTTTTAGTTTCTTTATTAGTGTGTATTTTAGCGTTCTTTTGACTTACATTGTTTTCCCTCTTTCTTTTACTTTTATTTATCTTTTAAAATAAATAGCCTTCAAATAAAGATGGTAAAGCTATATAGCCCCTTAAAAATAACGGAATGTGTAAAGAAATATGTTGGAATTAGGTATGTTTGCAATGACTGAAGCAATGCCATGTAGTCTGTATAATAAACTAAAGGGGTTTTTTTTAGTCTATTTTTGTTATTTTGATCAAACTGAAGTACATCTGTATAATACAACCATTTTCCATAGATAATGGTCCTTATAAATAGACGGTTCTATCTTTACCGGTAAATAGCCTTTAAAAAGTTATGTTTTATTCTTATTGATATCATACTGCTTACATATAGACTATTTATTCTGTGTACCTTTCACTCAAACGACGACATTTTAGGAACACAACCGGTCAAATAATCATCGACATCAGAAATTAAGGCTGGTAATATAATGTAGAATTAATTACAATATTACTATTTTCTAGCAATACCTTTATAGAGTATATAGAGAGTCAAAGGTAAGCTAAAGTAACACCCAAGCATTATAATGGTATATTTTATTGCCATGTATACAACCACAAACCTAAATAAAAAGATTAAAGTTATATCAAACCCTCCTATACACCACTGAAATGTAAATAAACAATACAATAAAACGTGCTTTACTGCCAATAATAACAATGAATAAGAAAATGTGAGTCTGCCAAATATAAAAGAATGGGTCTAAAAAAAAGGTTAAGGGTTTGTCCGTTTTAAAAAAATGGCAACTTTGAACGTTTTGTTATTATAGAATATCATAACTCCCACTTTTACAAGCCAGGAAAATGGAAGGTGTGAGTGATTTGTCTTCAACAAACTAAAATAGATGCCATTTTTAAAACCATAAAACAGCAGCTGTGAACCTCTTGGCTTCATTCAACTGTTAAAGGTGCCATTTTTGCCAGCCAAAAATATGGCCACTGTGCCTCTTTTGTTATTATAGAATATCATGTCTGCCACTTTTGCACGCCGAAAAAATGGCAGTTTTGTGAAGTAAATGGCAAATAGTTGCCATTATTTCCGCCATAGTGTAAACTGATGGCAAAACCGAAAAAAACGTCTTCTAATAATGTGCTGCGCGATGTATGTCATAACATTACGAATAATTTTCTTTATCACCTAGGTATTGAAACAGTTCATTGTCTTCTTTTCCAAATAAGGCTCGACAGACTTCGCTTATTTCAAAATATATTATCCTTTTCATAGGCCAAATTAATTAGATTTGAAGCAAGTAAGCCACAGTAAATTGTTTAAAAGTTATTTAATTAAACTCTCTTGAAAAGTGGAGGAGACACTATTTATGACAGATAACGCTCCAATTAAAACACGACGTAATCATCCAATAACCCCAGTCATAAGATTATCTTATGAGGCTTTGTCACGGTATAGATAGAACTAAGGTTAACGATCCTCTTGACAACCTTTCGAATTCGTCTTTTTCAGGTGTAATTGTTGGCACTAACATTTGAGACTTTATTGGTTTAATATTCTATAATGCGTTCTTCTTGTATCTGATTAACATTTTCGGGGTAGTTGTTTTTCTTGCTTTTGATTATATGGTCCTTATAGTTGTACTCAAATTGGCAACTAACCAGCATAAGTAGATTAACCAATATTTGAGATTGTGTCTGACTTCATGTTAGGCAATGCCATCCTGATTCTAATTTTTACATCGACATTCATTCCACCTAGTGAATCAAAAAAAAAAAAAAAAGCAGAATGTATTTTAATACGTGAAATCGTTGGAAAGCTTTTTTTTGGACGTACCTTCAGAAAGTCGGAAAGGTCGTGGAGAAGCTCTGAACTTTTGGTTACGCTTATAAGAAGGAATTGTTTTCTACAGCATGCGTCAGTTTTTTAACTTTGGCTCATCTGCATTCTCAGGTTCGGAAAGAGATTTTTGATATGAGGAGTCTCCTAAACTAATTAAAAGAGACAGAGATAAAGACAAGAAATATAAAAAAAAAAGAAAAAAAAAATTACAGCAACCAGTATTCCTAAGTGGTCCCCCACCATAGTACTGACTGGCCCAGATATTGCTTAACTGCGGATGTCAGGAACGAGGGAGGAACGAGACAGGCAGGACAGGACAGAGAATGAATAGCTTCTTGAAGCAGGTTATTTATTTAAGAATAAAAGGGAGAAAAGAAAAGAGAAGATGATTATGAAATATATCTGATAAAGAAAACTGGGAGAAGTGAAATTTATCAGCTATATTTATATATATTTATAGAGAAAGGAAAACAAGAAATTAAATAAAAGAATAAGCAATGACAAAAGTTAGTCATAGCTTATGTGAATCATGACAAAGGATTTAAAGAGTTGACAGATCAATGATGAATATTGAGTCTGAAAGCTGGTTACTCATATTGCATATTTGGGGCATAAAATGTAACAGGATCATGACAGCGGAGATCAGACGGGATCCGGTGTATCCAATATTGTGTCGCCGTACTTGGATTTTGAAGCCAGCTAATAAATCATTGCTTAACCGTATCAAGCCGGCTTTCAAAGTTACAAAACCGGAATGACAAAAAAAAAGACCCAAGAATTAATATGATTAATTGTTTCTTGATCTAAAATAAATAAAAATAGCTTTCCCTAACGTGCCACCAATCTTAAAGCGACCAAAATTTTGAATTTGTATCAAAAAAACGTGAAACATGGAAAGTCAACCTATTGTATAAAAAGAAAAAATACAAGTAAAATATAATTTTTATTGGTGGTCTTACTCGGCATGTATTTATTTTTCTATACGAAAGGTACTTCATTTCAGCACATTTTTGAAGAGTTTTTACCAGTTTATCGTGGTCACTACTGTTGATGCCTTTATCAATATTATAATGATTGTTTTGACTTTGCAGTACATATCATATTTAGTGATTCGGATCGCTTTTTTTTTTTTTTTTTTTTTTTTTTTTTTTTTTTTTTTTTTTTTTTTTTTTTTGCGGGGCCACGCAAAGCGCAGGTTGAAGCAACCGACGTGTATGGCACTAATAAACATTTAGTAAATTTGGAGGGACTGTAACTCCCTACCATCACAGTACATATGACATTGAGTGAAAAAGTATGGATTAGCATTGAGTGTGCTGGGAGGGGCTGTAAGTCCCGATCATTACAGTACGTATATCATTGGGCGAAAAAAATATGGATTAGCATTGAGTAAATTTGAAGGCGTTAAAAGCCACAACCAACACAGTACCTAAATCATTGAGTGAAAAAAAAATTTGGATTTTGCAATGATTGAGCTGGGCAGTGCTGTACGAGCATCCCCAGCAGTGGGCTTAAAGTTGTTTCATCTAACCGAAACTTAAAAAAAAAACTTTAAAATTTTGCTAAAGCAAGAGATTTTTAAAGTAAAAAAAAAAAAAAAATTCCGTCTTTGACAATAAAACAATTATCCCTTTTTAAAAAAATTAACCTTTTTCCTCTTTCAAGAAATGGACGATATGTACGACTCTGAAAACGACCAAGCCAACTTGGACATGGTTCTTGACAACCTCAATGTTTACGATAAAGAGTTGGTCAATGATGATACCTACACCAACGTTACGGACTACTCCTGTGGCAACGACAGCAATGAGAGTGATTTCGAGGATCAAAGCGAAGCTATTGCGTTTGCGCCTAAACAGAATCTTGCTTGGACGAATGCTCTGGACCTCGAAATGTGTAAGTCTTGGCTGACAGTGTCGGAAAGACCCTACGTAGAAAATTTAGTAAAAGCAACTGTTTTTGGGAAGTGTATCCTTTTCAACTTCAAGGCTTCCGGGAGAAAAGCCTGTCCAGAAAGAACGGAAAAAAGTTTTGAAAGCCCTCTGGAGAGTTGCTCTTGCTTTGGTCAGCAAGGTTTGTGGTGCTGTCGCTGCAATTAAACGACATAATGCAAGTGGTAAAGTTGGTTCTGACGATCTAAGAATTATGATTAGATTTATCCTAAAAGATTAGAATTTACAGCAGATATTTCTATAAATATGTGCGTAATAGCTTCAAGCTTTTTGAACAAAACTATAAAGTCTGTTTAAAAACGTCCCTTGCTTTCACCAACGTAATGATACCCCTTAAGTGTAAAATCAGTTGAAGCGCAGAGATCGCAAAATTGAAGCAAAGAGGGAAAAGGTAATGAATAGCAGAGTTGCCACCTCTTCATCTCCACGTAACCATGCTGATACTGATTCTAGTAGGCCGGCAACAGTCGAAGACGATGAGGATGCCATGAGTGACGAATCGGTTGCAGTACGTCCTATTGGACGTAAAAAAACCAAGAAGGATGCTCATTTAGACACGGAGTACCAAGGACGTTAGATGGATCAGACAAGATCCAATCCTAAGCAGACGACAACCTTAGGAAGGTCCCTACAAAGATGGACAATGCCGGGGAGATTCAACTTTGTCAGATTAAAAAAGATCGCTAACTGCGTGAAAAAGAAAGAGATAACGCCTTGTTCAAGATTAACATGAAGGATTTTGATGGTAATGAGACGGCTTCATTATAAGCTTAATTGTCAGGAGCATTAAAGCGATCTCGAGAACGATCAAGAATTGCAAGACTTGCCAGAGAACAATAAATTTTAGTTTTTTTTTAATCGATTATATTTAATTTTATAATGTGATTTTTCATTAGTTTGAGGAGCTTCCAAATTCTTTTATGTGCCAAACATGGGAGACCAGGGCAGCTTTCAATCTGAAGAGCACAGATGAGTCTATGATATGACCATGACGTTTAAAAAAGTTACTGAAGCTGAAATGTGAACGATCACGAGAAATGTCAACAACCTCAGCAGGATTAACAGAATGCGTTTTGTCGAATCTGTTCGATATCATATCGCTTTCGTCGCGCTCAACCTCAGCAATCATGTTGTGGATGATGATACATGCTTTCATGATCGTATCAAGGTTATCATTTTTCCTTAGTCTTGCAGGATTACTGATAATGTCAAGTCCAGCCTGCAACACACCATACGCTCTCTCCACCTCCTTGCAACATGCTTCTTGGGCTTTAGCAAAATTCTATTTAAGACGAAAAGTCGATTAATATCCCAAATACCAAGTATTGTTTCTGGAAACAATAGTTACAGCTTCGGAACCAGGTCTAGGGATAGAACAGGTTTTGCCAATGTTCGCATAATTAGGGTATATCCCGTCACTAAGATAATACCCCGAATTAAACTCTTCGTCACCAATGTTGAGCTTGACATCGGGACGGCTTACGTCCTTATACCTATCAAAAATAACCGATCTATTGAGAACATTGATATCATTGAGCGAGCCAGGCAAACCAAAATTGGTATGCGACATCCACAAATCCTAAGAAGCCACATCTTCAAGAATAATGGTTGGCGTCTTGTCTTTGTCCGTATACTGCCAAGGATATGCTGTTGGGGAGTTTTTCAATGCCTAGTGCATGGAATCTATCGAATTTGACACCTACAGTAATTTCCTGAACACAATTACTATTATCTTGTCACCCAACTATAGCGTATATTACCTATGTGTTATAAGTACTATGTATATTGAAAATACATTCCTACTGGTACCACACAGTACTAGCTCCCTCATATGTCAAACTGAGATCAGATTTTATATTCGTTTCTGGACTGGTCGAGTAGCTGCCGAATAGTCTAGTTTCTCATAAATTTATTTTAATAATCGAATCAAGAACCCTGTCATTAAATGGATAGCCTATAATACTCTAGAAATGCCGGGTAATGGTCAATTTTGCTTCTTTTATGTAACTATAAGCTATTTCTCATATGTAACTGATTTCTAAATCTAATTCTACCATTTCCCATTTTGGGGGTAAATAGTCAATTCGATCTGCCCAGGAAAATCTTGAAGTAAAAATTGAATATTAAAATGACCTTTATTTTTATCATGACAAACTCTCGAACTTGTAATAAAGGATTACAAAGTCTCATTTCCTTACATGCTTTATTTTCCAAGTTACAATTCCCTTTTTTATCTTCAATTATCACAACATCCACCCTGCAGAATGTCTATAATGGTACTAGGTTAATTTTTAGAAAATTCACAAGAACTTTTGTAGAAGCTGAGATTGCTATTGGTGATAGAGCAGATCTCATTGTTGTGATTCCCACCATATCAATATCTGCAGATAATGCCAACGTACCATTTAGCCTACTTCGACGTCAATCTCTGTCCAACCTGCATTTGGAATGACCATCGACAAATGGCAATGTCAAACTCTTTCCTTCAATGCTATTTGTCTCCTTATACCCGTTTTCACGAACGGTCAATTTTATGTTGCTTTGTCCCGGGTTCGTGATTCTGCTGATATTAAGATAACTTTACCGAATGAGCCGCCATTATCAACACTCGCAGACAACGTTGTATTTAACGAAGTCATAACTAGGCCACACAATTAAGCATAAAGTAATCATTACCAATAAAATCTATTGTTATCCCATTTATAAGAATTGAGTGGTGTCGGTGCCTCGCCGCAGGCGCAGAATCGCCCCCAGCAGGAACGTAGATTATTATTAACGTAGCGAAGCGAAGTCTAAAAAATACTGAAGTGGGTCCGGCCGCATTCTCGTTTAAGTAAAAAATTATTCTCCTTACACGTTTTCGGGAGATGAAAGAACAAGGAATAACTGTTCTCTCATTTGCCAATTGGTGAAGGCAAAATCTGTTTCAATCTTTACGACATCAAATAGAGTAATCCTTGAATGTTGAGGTAGGCATTGAAACAATGATCATATACAATTTTTTAACTTGATGCTTTAGTAAATTGCACCCTACAAACAAAGTTCGAAACTTTTTTTTTTTTTATTTTTTTTTTTTTTAGTATCTGACAGAAAAAAGTGACTTATTTTTTAAAAAAAAACACTAATACGTCATCAATTTGCGGGGCGCAGCAGTTTGTTTTTATTTTAATCATGGACTATATTTTGGTTTTATTTTCTTCTTCTTTTTCTTTAAACAAGTGTTCAAAAAATGCTCCAGAACGTTTTTACCGACGAGTAAGTATTAAATAAGTGATTTAAAAGTACTTCATTTACGCGATGCTAATGTTGAGATTGCATAGGTTAATGTGTGACATTACACACCGCGCCCACTTGGTTTTCTTTTTCGCCTGGTTTTACGCCAGCTTTTTCATTCTTTTCCTCTCGGAAAAATTTGCTTGTCTCTTTGGTTCGGTCAGCGCGTTTGTCAGTGCTTGGCGACGATCAAGTAAGCAACCACCGGTGGTGATTGGTGAGCTTTTTTTCCTCTGCGATGGCAGAATTACACCGGTCGCTCTGGCCAAAAAAAACTCCTTGGTTTCCTCTTCTTCTTCTGTGGTTTCTTCTTCCACTGTTGTTACCTCTTCTTCTGCTGCCCCCTCTTCTGTTGTTCCCTCTGCTTGTGTTCTTGCGTCTCCCGCTGCTTCCCCCTCTCCTGAGGATGTTGCATTTTCGTCTGTGTTCCTCTCGCCGTTGGATGTGCCCTCATCGAATCCTGAGGTTACTCAGCAGTCCTTTTTCCTTCGGTCGGCACCTGTCTTGTCCAATAAAATGGACAGACAGTGCTACTCCTTGGACTTTGCGCGTGTTGCGGGTTTGCCCTGCTTTAGTGATGGTAGCTCGCCAACCATCGGGCAGCCCAACAAAAAACTTTCTTCTGGGGCCTCCTTTGGCTTTGGCTGTGAAGCCATTACCCAAGCGTTGCTTGCGGCTGGTGTTGTTGCTCCTCCTGTTGCCTCATTTGCTCCTCCTGTTGCCTCGTGTGCTTCTCCTGTTGCTTCGGTTGCTCCTCCTATTGCCTCTGTTGCCTCTGTTGCTCCTCCCGTTGCTTCTGGTGCAGCTCCTGTGGCCTATGCTGCTTTTCCTGCGGCCTCTGGTGCACCGCCTGTGGCCTCTGCTGCTTTTCCTGCGGCCTCTGCTGCCTTTCCTGCGGCCTCTGCTGCTTTTCCTGCGGCCTCTGCTGCTCCGCCTGTGGCCTCTGTTGGTCTTCCTGTGGCCTCTGTGGATCCTCCGGCACCTTGTGTGGCTTCTCCTGGGGTCTCTGTTGTTGCTCCTGTTGTTTGTGTTTCTCCTTCTGCGGCTGTTGTTGCTGTTTCTGCGGCCTCTGTTGCCCCTCGTGAGGTGACTACTGTCGATTCTGGCTTTTCGTGGAGTTCTTTTGCTCCTTCCGTGACTGGTCCCTTTGTCTTCGGTTCGTCGGTCTGTTCGCCTTTGCCTGCTCTTGCCCCTTCGGGTATTGCGCAATTGGTTGGTGCCTCTTCGGTTGGCGTATCCGCTAGACCTGCTCCTGCAGTTGCTTGTTCGGTTGCTGGCTCCCTTCCTGTTTCTTCTGCTGGCGAGACCTTCTTCGCCAGATTAGCTGCCGATGAAGACGGTAAGAAAAAGAAATTTTAAACATATCATAGTATTTCTAATTAATGTTTTCTTTTCGATGTAGAATATTTGGACTCGCTGGCAGAAGAAATAGATAAACTTCTTGATCGAGATTTCGATTTTTAAAATTTTTGTTCATGTCTTTGTTTTCAAATGTGCTTTTGTGTATAATATGTGGAGTTTGGTTATAAAGAGAGGGTATACGGTCGTGAATGGATGTTTTATATTTTCAAGTTGAAAGTTAGGACTGTAAGTTGTTAATTTAGAAACAAACAAGTCAACTTCATGACAAATTTGACAATTTTAACGTCATTGAAGTAGAGTGAGAATTCTTCTTTTTTTTTGAAAAGTAACCATCAGTTCATTTAACACATTACCACTTCGAAATTTGGAATTGGCGTACGATGGACGTCCAAAACATTTTTTTAGTCTATTGTCTCCTATGTAAAGCAACATAATTAAAAAATTGAAAGACAAAAGAAAATACGACACTAAGTCACAACACACCCCGAAAGACATAGGTTTTTCGTTTATTTAAAAATAGAATTTTCGTCTCAAGAAAATTCTTTTTTTCCCTTTCAGAATTGTTTATTTTTTTTTTTTTTTTTTTTTTTTTTTTTTGCTGAAATGATTCTTCATCTTTGCAATTGCGACCAATGCTGAAAAACATCTTCTCATGAGGTCGAAGGAGAGCTTTTCATCAACAATTCCAGTTATTATATTTCGAAACAAAAGCGCTTCAATGACATGCTGAACAGCAATATGTAAAGTAAGACTGATATCCTTACTTTTCCACGCAGCGAGGTTAAAATAAAGCAGCTTTAATAGATTGCGCAAGAATGGCTGAAATGGAAGAGATCATTCCGGTCCTCGAAACAGTCTGCATTGAACAAGATTCGTGCGCAACGTTTAAAAAAAGGTTTGATCGCAAACCAGGTTTATTAAAAAGTATTATGAATGACAGAAGCAGCCGTAACGTCGAAGTATATGGAAAAATTATCGAATAATTCAGACATGTAAGCATGGTAAATGAAAAGAGCGATGAAGATGAAAAAAAAAAAAAAATGCAGCAAAAGCTAGTGTTAATGAGAATGTGTGCCAAAAGGAATGTCGCAATCTATGCAGAAATGAATGTCAAACATACTGCCCAGCACCAAATTGAAACCAGTTCAGATTTTTATAAAGCTGAGTCACCAATTAGAGTGGCATATATCCATTATTTGCTACGGGTATCAAGGATAAAAATGCTTCATTAAGATAGCTACTTTTACTATCATTTTGTCATGAACCACGTGGTCAATACTTTAATGCATACGCGCATACATGCACCCCCGCATAGATCTGCATGTATATGCAGATCATATTTGACAGCCCATGTGACCAAACCATCAGACACCACCATGAGACCGATCACGAGTCATCACCATGGGACCACGCCTCAAGACCAAACCAACATCCGCCACCACCCTCGTCCCATGATTCCGCCACAGTACCTCGCCTCAAGACCTTCCCCAAGGCCTTAACTCCAGACCCTTCACGTTAAGAAGATAGTCCTTAAGACTATCTTCCTTTTATTATAAATACCTTAGATTATTTAGACAAGTACAGATCTTTATCTGATATCTTGTATAACTTATTATCATTATATAAACTTAGCTTTACTACCTTTTCTTGCCTGTCTTCCCGCAAAACTTATAGTCCTACCTAGTACCTAGCCTTGCCTTGTAAGTATAAAGAGACCTGTCCTCGTACCTAGTAACATCCGGCTAATTCCTGACACATTTAGTTTATATCACTACCTTAAAATTGGCTATTGGCAGTAACTTACCTGCTTTACCAAAGTGGGCCATAACAATTGAGATAAACTTAAGTAAGGTTTGGAAATATAGTGTTACGAGATATAAGGTTTGTAAAAATAATTTGAATTAATCTATGTGTCAAGAAGTTACTGTTTTGCATGGAGAACAAAATAAAAAATAAACCAAAAGTGATACTGTTAGAACTTGGATACCACTTTATTATGGACGAAAAAATATAATTAAAAACGTATTAAAAATGTATTCAAAAATGTCTTGATGATCTATGAGAAAGACTATGGATATTTATATTAAGAACTGGGATAGTTCTAGAGAGAATAGTAAGCGCCTTATTGGATCATGATGTAATAATCTGGTGATAGTAAATAATCAACATGTCTTTAAATTTAGCCCTTCCATACTAAGCATATAAATATTAATCAGAGGGATCAACAGTTATAACATCAAATGACAAGAGTAATATTTGTGCTCAGGATCTATTAATATTCTATAGTCCAGGCCCATTCGATTGTATTGCTTTTGCACAATAAATATTTACTTGCCACAGGGATGTGCCTTGTGTACAGACTCCAACGGTAGGATGAGAACAAGTGGGGTAATGCGTGATTCATGATTAACTTTTATATTTATTATCCATCCATAATGTGATGTGACAATTAACTTTATTATTATATCTATGATATCCTCAACACTTATTCGCCCTGTTTATTGTCTGCATAACCTAACCATGATCTCAAACCCCTTGTCAAACCTTCAATGCAAAATACGGCGTCTATTTGTTTGGAACTGGTGCAGGATTTTTGGAAAATTCGTACCACTTTTTTTTATGAAAAAAAGAGAAGCCGGTTAAATAGTTGAATCCATCAAAAAATGAAGAGAATGATGTCGTACACAAAAAGGAGCTATGGTGTATGATATCTAATAATCGTTCAAATGGGTATCGCGTTGTAGTGAACAGATTCTTTAAATTCAATATTAAAGTAGTTTTTGGATACCGTAGTATCAATAAATTCTAATCGACGGTCATCTGAAATCACAAAAGGGGTTAGACCAGAACAGTAAGAGCACTGCAGCAGTTACACTTAAAAAAAACTCTTACCCTTAAGAGCACTAAAAAGGTTGTGTGTACCTGGATAGATATTTTTTGTTTTCTCTGTAAGATTTCTTCCTTGTCAAAATAGCTGGCATTGTTTATTTTATTGAAAAAGGAAAAATGGATGATTGTTGCTACATCAATTTTTAACTTTGGAAAACGTGAAGGTAAGACAAACAAAACGTTCAGGACATTGCTCGAGGGAAAAACCTTAATTTAACATTTTAAGCCCCACTGCTAGGTGCTCTAAAAGTAAAACAGCTTGTTTTAATATGATATAAAGATATCATGAATAATGTAGACTTTCGATCGTAAATGCACTCTTTAATAACGAGGAAAGTAGTTCTGGCGCCAACTCTATTTAAAATAAAAGCAAAAAATAATAAAAAAAAAAAAAGTTCACAGTTAAAAATAGAATTATCATCTCATCATAAAAAAGGTCTTTTTTCCCCTTTCAGATTTTTTTTATTATTTTTTGCCAAAATGATTCTTCATCTTTGTAAATGCGACAAATGCTTAAGAAAAAATCCTCAACGAGTCGAGCTCCGTATCACCAGCTACAATTACCATTTTGAAGGACAAATGCGTTTCAATGCACTAATGTCTGTTAGTAACAACAGCAAGACATGATTAGTTTCTTCAGGTGAAAACCAAAAAAAGATTAACAGCCTAAATAAAACGTCAAAGATCGAATGAGATTGAAGAAGACATTCCCAACGTTGAGGTAATGCCGTTAAACAAGGCTCATGCACATTGCTAAAAAAAAAAAACTTTCATCGCAAACTAATTTTACAAACAGATATCATGAATGACATAAGCAACAGTAATGTCGAAGAATATGAAGACAATATCGAAGAAGCCGAAGATGTAAGCATGGTAGTTGATGGGGAAGATGACGATGACGATGACGACGAACGAGAAGAAGAAGAAGAGGAAGTTTTGTGACGATGGGAATATTGGAACAAACGTCGAGAAGAATGTCGATCCTAAAAAAACTGAGGCACAAATCAGAGCAAACATGTATGGATTATTTGCTGCCAGTTTTAAGGTTAAGGAAGGTCTCACCGATAAAGCAGCTGATACCGTTCTTCAGTTTTTGAACATCGCTTTAAAGGATGCCAATGATAGTAATCAACCTGCTTTGCCAAGTCGTTCAAAACAGTTGAGAAAAATTTAATGGTGATTGGGATGCTGGTGTCACCAGATATACGGTTTGCGGAAAATGCCATTCAATCTATGCTCCTGAAGTGACCAAGGTATGATAATTCACGTTCTTAAAATCAACGTCTAATCATTATAATGCAGGATAAAACACCCTCTCAACAATCATGTTCTTGTGTCTCGCTGGATGGTGATGTTTGTGACGAAGTTTTGTTTGAGCAGGTGAAGAAACGTAATAGCAACAGCATCTACAAGCCCAAATTTGTTTACCTCTACAAGTCTCTCAAACCTTCGTTGCAAGAGTTGATGCTTCGCCCCGAATTTGAATCTACAATGAATGATTGGAGATTAAGAGATGTTGTTCCAGAAACGTATTACGACATATATGATGGTAAAATGCTCAAAACATTGATGGATAACACCGGCCTTTCATTTTCAACATTGCGAAATCCGTTGTATGCAACGTTAAATGTCGACTGATTCCAACCTTTTGATAATGTAAATTATTCTTGTGGTGCTAATTACATGTGCATCAATAATTGGAAAAGAGAAGACCGATTTAAGGAAGAAAACATCATCCTGGTTGGGCTTATGCCTGTTGGAAAAGAGCCAAAACTGGACCGAATCAACACGTACTTGAAACCCTTGGTTGATGAGCTTTTAGAATTTAAAAACAGGAGAGATGATGAAAACGGCGGCGAAACATGACGGGATTAAATTCCATTGTGCTTTGTTGATGTTGGCATGCAATATCCCTGCTTGCAGGAAAGTAGCTGGTTTTGCAGCTCATTCCAGTGGCCATGCGTGTAACAAGTGTGATGGTCAATTCCCCTTGGTTGAAGGTAGACCTGATTTTTCCGGAATCAACACTGTTGCCAGTAAATGGTCTGAACGATCGAAGGCAAGCAACTTGCGAGCGGCGTTAAGTTGGCGCAATGCCACTACTGAGAAAGAAAGAGAGGACCTCGTGAAGGCAAATGGACCAACGTATTCCGAACTGCCTCGATTGGGGGTACTTTAATGTTATTAGACAGAGCATTATTGATCCCATGCAC